GACAACGATAGGACCTACGAAGACGCTTGGTGGGATGAGGGTAATCTCAAAACTTTGTAAAGCTTCGACCAATGCCTCTCTCTCAATGCCTCAGACTTGAGCTCCCCGATAAGGACGTTCGACTTGAGAAGCGTCTTGATAGTTTCTTGCACATACTCGAAAGCAGCATACTGTCGCATTCGACTGGGCATGTCCCGGGTTGAGGCAAGGATAGCGTCCAATTCTTGGCGAAGCTTTCGAGGCTAGAAACCATGTCAGCTTCTTTTCAAGAGCAGTCGAGCCATAACGTACCTGTACAGCTGTCCAAAGCACTTCGCGCAACAGAGCCAATCTGCCCCATATACCCGACAGCGCCGTCCATACTGCCTTCAAGTCCCTCACTTCTTCATTTACAGGCTGCAGCCTGTTGTCCTTGGTATGCTCAAGGTCAAGAGCCTCCTTGGCACGGTGGACCAGATCATACTCTTCCAAAAGTCGACTAAGACGACCCTCAAATACGTTGAGCGTGTTGATAGCAGTTTCAGATTTGATGCTACCCTGGAGAGGCTTGTTCTCTTCCCAGTCGGCAATGAAATTGCGAATCTTTTGGTCAATGACCTTGTCTTCGGCCACGATTTTGAGCTGCAAGCCAGCAACCTGCTCCTTGATCGAGTCGTCCTTCCTCTTGAGAATATCCGAGAATGCGCCCCACTCGCCTTGGATCTGGTCAATGTAGAGCCAGTCGGCGGGGAAAGAGAATCGTTGCCTCTCCAGCGTCCTCTGGCCTCGCTCAAACTCTTCAATCTCTGGCCCCCAGACCTGGACCTTGCGCTTGAGGTCTTGTACGAGGGTGATAAAAGACACAGCCCGAGCAGTCGAACTGCCTTCGATGGTAAGCCCCTCGAGGTCCGTTCGCGCCTTCAAGATGGCCGCGTAGGTATCCTTCTCATTGATACCAAGACGTGTTCCGTACCTGGTGAGCAGTTCTCGCTGCCAGGAATCGTATTTGGCGTTGACCTTGCTTTGAGCGTTGGTATAGTCGATGATGCAGACACCAAAGCCCTTGCGGGTATCAGCAGTGTCGAAAGTGGTACGAGTCTGTCGAATATCGGACAGAAGCTTGCCCCAGTCGGAAAGGGAGTCGCCCAGCCGGTTGTAGACAAACTCGGCTTCGAGATCCCAAAGAGATTGGAACTGCAGCCACTTGTCGACGTAGGCGGAAACAGTTTGGACCTTGTCTTGAATGAGGGCAAGGGGTTGTTGGAGGGTGCCATCGGGGAAAGTGGTGAGCTACAGGGTATTAGAAAAGCATCCTCTGAATCGTTGAAATACTCACCAAACCGATATACGTCGTCTCCTCCACACTAGCCTCCTCCACTTGCAGACTGATCTCATATCTCGAACTCCTGATTCTGTTGAGGTTACAGACTATACCGAGGGCGTCCTGGAATTGCCCAAGCCACTCTTGCCTTGCAAGCTCAATTGGCGGGTCAAGGTAGATGACCTGGTTTCTGATTCGGATCTCGTGAATCAGAGGTTCGATGGTAATATCCATTTTGTGACCAGAAGGCAGGGTGACTTCAGCGTTAGGCGCGTCTTCGTCCTTGCTGAACTCGCTACACCAGATATCGATGGCGTTGGTCAACCTCTCGCTCAGAACTTTGTCGATCTTCTCGTTCAACGTAGCGACCCAAGCATCGAGGTTGCTATAGTTCTCCAGATTGAGATGATCCACAGACTTTTGGATCTGAGTAAGCAAAGAGGAGAACGCCTCAGTGTTGTAGTCGCAGACGGCGAGCTCGTCGACGATTCGGTTGATGTCGTTGTAGATCTCGATAAGAGCGTTGGTCTTGTCCTGGAGTAAGGAGATGACACTCGCAAACTCGCGAACAAAGAGGAAGTGTCGGGATTCTCGACCGTCGGCAGGAGCACCAGGTAAGAAACGGTGGCCTTCATAGGCATTGACGAGGTGGTCCCATTGCATTTTGATACCTAAAGTATGTCAGCTATGCCTCTTATAATGATCATCAACATACCTCGCTCAATCATCTGCTGCGCGTGAGCCCGATAACTCGCCAAGAGGATCTCCACCTCTGCATTCTTCTCGATCAAATCCAAGGTTTGCGTATACGTCCTCACAGACTCCATCAAACTGACCGCATGTGGGTAGACTCTCTTCGCGTCCTTGGCCTTGTGACTGATGGTCAGCGGCACGGGGAAGCCGAGCCAGATGAGGGATCGGACTTCCTTGAAAAGCGCAATGACCTGTGGGTCGAACTGAACGACGAGCTGGAGCTGACCTTGAGCATTTGTAGCCGTCGCTCGCGTTCTGATGACATCGAATAGTCGACCAGTGATCGTCAAGTTGCCTCGCTTCGTGATATCGCTAATCCAGGCATCGTAGAGCGGCCTTGTATCGAGTTTGGATCGGAAAGAGGCGCTTTCAACTTGAAGTTTGTGACCATCCGCGTATGATTCCCAACCTTTACCGAGAACATCTTCGACGCGCTTCATATACGTCAACAGCTGACGCTCAATCTGTCGTGCCCAAATGATGGCCGACGAGACCGAAGGGAAATCACGCATCTGCGACATGTGATACGCTTGAGAGTTCCTATAGTTAGCAGTAAACTTCTGACGGAGCTGTCGGATATCTTCTTTCACGGATTCGATCAAGCGCGTTTGGTATTCTTGAATGGCGCCTCTGATTTTGGGTCGGACAAACAGAGTGTTGAATTTGGAGAACACTCGGAACATCTCCTGGGCATTTCGCGCCGTGGCGAGTTTGTCTCGCAATCGAGAGATGATCTGGTTTTCGATTCTGGCAACTCGGTCATTGTACGCCGTCTCGGCAGTATACCAAATCTCTGAGCCCTCGGGCGAGACATCAAGAACGTCGACATTCTTGACGCTCTCGTAACTGAGTCGCACTTCCTGCTCCATGTCGATCTCAAAAGGCGCATCACCGCCGAGACCGGTGAAGCTACGGGTGGAGCTGGTCATGACTCGGAGTTGTTCGTGCGATCGGCGGAAGGCTCGGAGGTAGGTGATGCGCTCTTGGAGCTTGGCATGCACGGGGTTGATCTTGATAGAGATGAACTTCTCTGCTCGCTTCCGAGACACTACATTTACGATCAGCCACATTCCAGTCGACCAAATTGGCAATTTGCTCACCTTCACGCGCAACATTTGTAAAGTCCTTCATATTCTCCTCCCACGTCCCAAACACTTCCGCCCCCAGAGCCATGACTTCTTCGAACTTGGCATAGTCCATATACATCAGCCTCTGCGAGCTCAAGATCTTCAAGAGCTGGTCGTTAAAGTCTGACGAGATGGCTTCGACGAGAGGAAGGGTGCGTCGGATGGGGTAGGGACTGAGCTTGAGCTTTTTGTTTAAGTGCGCAAAGATCAGGTAGATGGCGTCTTGGATCTTTTCGAGATCCGTAGCGGCGAGAAGCTCGTCCAGGGGAAAGTCTTTCATGAGGATATTGTGCTTGTGGACTATGCAGCAGTCAGCTTTGCCATCTACCTCGGAGGACTATACGTACCAAGATCGGCAGCCTCCTTCAGACCAGTGTCTGCAATGAAACTGACAGTGGCATGGAATCTTTTGGCATGTTTGAGAACATCCAAAGCCAGCGTCACCTCCTCACCACCCAACTGCGCTTCGATACCCTCCAGAGCATGCTCCATACTCAACCAAAAGTTGATCTCTTGCGAAGCCGTACCACTCGATACGTCACGGTTCAGCTTCGTGACTGCCTGGATCTCCTTGATCCACGAGTTGACATCTGCTTGGAGTTTGTTGAGGAAAGCAGGGTCGGAGAGAAGGGATTGGGGCTCGACAGCATCGGGAGAGACACGTTGACCCGTACTGCGGCATTGAACCACCGCCTTTCTGATAGCAGGGTGTACAGAAAGGTGCACTTCGGGTATCTCGACATTCTGCTTCAAATGAAGCAAAGACAGCTCGAGCTCGGCAAACTTCTTTTTGGTGACTGGGATACCCATCTGCGCCTCTCCACCCTTCTTGCTCGCTACCTCGCCAAGAGTCGCGATGGACTGCTTAGAACTGACATATGAGTCGAACCAAGGTGCCACACCCCAGTGCACGAGGCTGTGGAGACCGTCGTAGGGTGTGCTTTGCACCGTGGGGGTGGACACAACGGTTCCAGGGCCGGATGGTGCTCCGTCGTCCTCGACAAGCATTGGAGCGACTGACGAGGATGAAATTTGGAGGAAATGGAGCTGAGTACCGAGGGCATTGATAGAGTCGAGCGTGGGTGAGGTTTTGATCAGGGCAAGGGTGCCGAGAGTGTGTGAGGAGTGGGGAGGGGTCGGTGGGAGGTGAAGTCGGTAAGTGATCCGTGCCACAGGTGTATCTGCCGCCAGATGAGTATATTCCCCTCTCGCCTAGTAGACCGCTCACCTTCTTCGTCTACATCCAGATATCGTTCTTTCGTGATATACACCACTTGGCAACCTACATCAGTAGCAAACCTTACCGTCTTTTCATCAAAATTGGGGTCTTCGAACAGAGTATCATTGAGTGCTTGGGGAGTCGCCGACATCACTAGGGGGCTGTCAGCGGGGATTCAGCATCACTGTGCTCCAGTACATACCAAGTGACAGTAAGCTCCCGAGGTATGCCCTGAAGACGGCGACATCAAAGAGCAATCCGTCGCCAGGGGGCAGGGCCAGGACCCCATCCTCTGTTTGGGACGAGGCCATGCTGGGTATATGGCCGTCGGAATAGATGGCGGGAGTAGAGCCTGTAGGGCAAGTAGGCAATGGTATGGACGTTGACTGATTCAGTATAATAATTCAGCGGTGCATGAGCCTGCGCGTCAACTGCACGACGCGTGAAAGACGGGACCAAATCGGCGGCTACCTCCGTTCTCGGCGAGTCGGCAGTAGCAGTCCCGCGGGCGACACCGAACTATCGATCGTCTCACTATGACGTCCACCTCGAGTCTTCCATCTCTCTCTCTGCCACATTAATCTGCAACGCATCACTCAACATGGGTCTCAACAGCCCTATCCCAGGTGAGCATAACAACCATACAAACGACCAGTACTAACCGGCACCCAGTCCGCCTTCAAGACGAATCTCGCAAAGCTGCCAAGATCCGTACGTCTTCTTAATCTGGAAATGAAAGGGATGTGACTAAAGTGCTTTGGTGCAGTGAGGAGCTTTGTGGATGTCAACAACAATGGACTTGACAAGGTCATTCCTCGAACAGTGCTCGAACGAGCCGAAGGATTCGCCATCTTTACCGTATTCAAAGCAGGCTTTTTGTTCTCTGCCCGAGCCGGTTCGGGAGTCGTAGTTGCCAAGCTTCCAGATGGATGTGAGTGCAGCCCTCAGTACTTGAGCTTGCGCTGATATACATGCAGCTTGGTCACCACCGAGCGCCATAGGTCTAGGCGGTTTGGGCTTTGGAGGCCAAGCCGGAGCTGAGTAAGTTGCCTACACCGCACGCGCAGACATCGTGGCAAGGCTGACGTAGTCTGCAGAGTCACAGACTTTTTGATTGTGTTGAACGTAGGTGGTTCCTGGCCTAATAAAGGATGTGCTGACGGGACTGTACATAGTCGCACTCTGCTGTGGCGTCCTTCATGTCGGCCGGATCCTTGACTATCGGCGGTAACCTCTCTGTGAGTATCTCATCTGCCAGAACAACATCCGACTCACTTTATCAGGTGGCTGTGGGACCTCTAGGACGCAATGCCGAGGGTTCCGGCGCGCTGAATAGCAAAGGCAAACTCGCCGCCATGTACTCCTACTCGAAAACCAAGGGCCTCTTTGGCGGTGTCTCCGTAGAAGGCTCAGTCATTGTCGAACGCCAAGACGCAAACCGCATGGCTTACGGCGGAAACGTCTCTTCCAAGCAAATTCTCTCTGGTCACATCTTGGACGGTATAGACATGCCCGATTGGGCATTTGTGTTGTTGGACCAGCTGGAAAAGTGTACAGCACTGCCAGGCGGACAAAAGTGGATCAACAGGGACAAGGAAAATGAGGAAGGTGGCGGGGGCATGGGCTGGAGTACACCAGAATCCGGGCGCGGGGGAGGAGGGTATGCTTTCAGTGAAGGCTCAGCTGCTACCGGCAGCACCCCGCCTCCGAACCGCAGACGCGCCGGAAGTCTCTTTGGCAAAGACAAAGAACCCTCCCGCTCCGACTCTCCATCCAGCAACCGCCGTGGCAGCATCCTAAACCCTTTCAACAGCGGCACTTCCAGCCCCCGAAAAGGGTCCCTCGGCCCAGGTCATACCAGCGAAGCATACACTGCCGGGTTGACGTCAGACTCGCAAGGGCCGATGGGCTTGGGTGTGGGACATGGCTCAAAGCCGTCTGGAGGGAGGGCGAGGAGTGGGTCGTTACTGAAAGACGGCGAGGTTCCCGTGCCGTTCTCGTATATGAAGGAGAAGAAGGACAAAGATTTGCTCGCAGACTGGGACTCTTCATCCCACCAAAAGACACCTTCCAACGGCAGTTCTACCCAGCGCGACCTGCTAGGTCAATGGGACAGCGACGGCAACGGTCTCAACGCCAGCTTTAGCCGCCTATCCACCGACCCCCGCGCACGATCCGACTCTCGCTCCAGACCACCATTCGACAACATCCTCGAACACCCCAAACCATCCACTTCCACCTTTTACACCTCGGTATCTGCTGAGCCAGATTATACGCCGAGAGAAAGTGTGTCAAGGTACGCGGGCATGGATCTGGCGGCGCTCGAGGCCCAGAGGGCCAAGCAGCAGGATGAAAGGGCGAGGTACGGTTCACCGTCCAAGAAGAATCGACCATTCTCTTCATACGTTGCTTCTGCTCCAAAATCATCCAGGAGCGAGTTTTCGCCCTTTGACGATGACTCTACGGGCAGACTACGGTCCGACTCCTATTCGAAACCGTTCGAAGACTATCAAAAATCTGCTAGATCAATCCCATCACCGTGGAACTCTTCGCCTCAGAAACCATCTAGCTCTTCTTCCCCCAAACCCGAGATCCGTCTCAAGCAAGGGCTCGATGATCTCAACGACGGGTACGCCCGTGCTGTGGCTTTGTTTGACTTTAAGGCCGGTGCCGATGGGGATCTCGGGTTCAGCGCCGGGCAGGTCGTGATTGTGACAGATTCCGTGGGCGAGGGAGGACAATGGTGGGAGGGGAGGCTAGCGAGCGAGGGCAACTATGGTAGGAAGGGTATATTCCCTTCCACTTACGTTGAGGTGCTGGGTTTGCCGAAGGATTTGAAGGGAGGCGTGACGAGGAGTGAATTGAGGAAAAGGATTGCTAGGGATGAGTTTGACTAGGGGCTGGGGACTATCTGAGGCGAGTTAGCATGTACTGTACTATAGTGCGTTTCGATCATGATATGGAAAAGCTGCAAGAGGATTTGTTCATTGTAGACTAGTTTATTAGAGGCCAGTGTGGTTCTATAATGTAACACTCGGCGCGCCGAATGTGGGTTCTGGGTAGGGTATACTTCTCCTACTCTTCCAAGCCATTTTCTACATGCTGAAGCCATCCCTTCTGGGCCCACTCTACCCCTTGTAGCTTGAATATAAATGTTTGTATAATAGCAGCGCGTGCTGGTACCCGAAGGAATAATCGTGGGTGATGTTGATACAACGTTAAACCGTTAAATTGTAATAGGTACAGTCGGGGTCGAAAGATTGCGGTACAATGTGGTGTCGTTTCATTGAGAAGGTTGACTGGGAGTATGGGGGGTCAAGAGGCGGGGCGTTACATGACTGTGCGGCAAGACATCAATACGAGCCCTTGATCAACCGTGCGGAAGAAGCAACTCACTCGTACAGCACCCAGCCTCTGGCGGTGAGTAAGGATCCTCATTCTTCCCAGGCGGTCCCCAGACAGAAGGAAGAATCGGGTCTTTTGTGGAGCTGCAATGCTTGATCAAGCTGACGCTGGCTTCGCTCACTCGAACTCGGGGTCGAGCGAGGTCCTCCCTGAGCCGAGTGTTGTGCTCTTTCAGGCGCCGGAGCTTGAGCTCTGACATGGTTGTCTTGTGGGGGCGGGATAGATTGGCAGGGGAGATACCGTTGGAGGACATGGTGAGGGGGTTGTGGATGTAGTGATGTAGTGGACCCAAGATTGGTGTTTTGGAAAGAGATGCAAAGGCAAGCATCAGACCCGAGATTTAGGAGAGGCACAGTGCCTGAGCCCTGAAGCGCAATTGTCGAACGCCTTTTGTTCTGCGGAAGTATTTCTTGAATATCTTTTCGCCTTTCTTTGGTTAAATCCAGTCGCGTCGAGGGCGAGAGATGTCAATTCTCTTTCGCATCTCTTTTGTCTTTACCTCTTGTGCCAGTACCACTTCAAGATCAAATTCGACGTCTCGAATATCATCAGCAATATAATCTGCAACATGCAAGACATCAATCCTACCCCTCCCTCAGCAATCCCTTCCACCGACCTTCTCTCTCTCCCTCCATAGCCGAGTAACCCTCGTGCCCCTGCTTCTAGCACCCCCTAGTAGCGGTACCCATTGGAGGGGCATACGAAAGACCTTGTACCTACCAGCCTCTGTGCCGGTGTACTCGCCTGACTTTGATATAAGCCGGAGGCTACCTCATATCCCGTACTCTTTGAGTGCGTGATACATTGGGAAGCCTTGACTCGGGTCCAGAACATCTCTTCTCTTATACATGTGCTTTATAGTCAATGCAATGATGTATGGTGTGTTTCATGCAAGCTGTGATACCAAGAGATAGGGAGCGACCCAAAAGGAGCCTACTGGAGTACGGTTGATCACCCAGCAAGCTGTCTGCCATTCGTAAATATGGCATGTGGCAAGTATGGCAAGATGTTATACATACTACTATGCTACACGTGTTCTGATCTACCCACAACTATACTATATGCGGCTCTCAGATGGTACCAAGCCGCCGGCCTGGAAGCTTCGGCGATTCGAAAATGTTGTGCTGACGACCGAAGTTGGCCCCGTCTTTGGTAGTAGGAGACTGCGCAAACATCTGGCTCATCATCTCCTTGATCTCGTCCACTAAGCGCTTGATCAGCATACCACTCGATTCTGCGACTTGCAGATTGACGTACACTCTTTCCTGATATCCTCGTTCTCCTGTTTGCCGTCCAACCGGTTCTCGCGTATGACTGTTCGAAGATCCTTGTAATCCTTCTTCCACTGTTCTCCTGACGTTTGCAGCATGTTGGCGATGGTAATTTGAGATTTAATCTACATGTGACCAGTCAGCGCCTAATAGTCAGAGGCCGAGGAAAAACGTACGTCGAAGAGTTTCATCAAGAGGACAACGTTCTCGTTGGCGTCCGAGATCTTGTCTCCAATCTCACCAGACTTGCGCCAGAGTTGGATTTTGGAAAGAGATGCGAGGTCGGATAGGAGCTTCTGGTTCTTGTCCAATGCCCTGGATTGACATGAGCCCTCTGCTTTCACCAATGGCAATATACTGACCTCATAAGCTGGGAGATGTTGCCCTGCATCATGGGCGGTAGCTTTCCATCGCAATCTTTGATCGCTGTGAGCATCGTCTCGCTAACAATGGCACATCGCTCAACCTGTGTACTGTTAGACAGACTTCCACCATCGCGGAGAAGGTAAAGTACTCACCAGACCCAAAGCTGAAACTCTCATACTTGCCACTAGCGCAGCACTTGCCATCATCTGACTGACCACCTCACATACTAATCCCACAACAGGCACCCAGCCAGCGCCCTCTTTCAATCCCGCAGCTATGGCAGAGACAGCTGTAGCAGCGTCTTGGAGGCGACGTTCAGCTTTGCTGGCGGATTCGAGAGCGTCGTCAACCTCAGACTGGGTGGTGGTAGCCGAGTCGATCTTTTCGTCGTCGCTGATAACTGTTGGGGAACGGCTCTCGAGCTGGATCGCACGCTTGACGTCGTATCCTGGGTACTTTGGGCCGGTTAGCACGTTGTATCAGATTGAGAAGACAGCGATGTACCTCGAGACTCGTCATCAAATCAGCAAGGCTGTCCAACGCCTTGGCGAGGGTATCTTTCACTTTGCTGGAGCTGCGATAGTGATGGAGCCAAGAGGGATGCGCAAGGTCTTCAACCATGGGTGCCGTCTTGTCAAACCATCTGTGTTGTTGTTGTTGGTTGTGCTCTTTTTGCGCCGCCTAGTGGTGCACTCACTCGACCAAGTGTCCCATGTTGCGGATTCTAACATCCCAGGCATCTCCTCCTATGCGTTGCGCCACTGCCAACGCTTCTCGAGCAGGTACGACAGCACATCGTTCGACCTATAATCGATCAGCAACCGATTTCCATGATGTAAGATCGACTCACTAGAAGATAAGCTTGTACCTTGGCGACACTCATGTGGGTAGCACACTCCATCATCTTCTCAGAACCGGTATACGCTCGTCCGAGTAACGCATACCACAGCGAGCCTTTGGTAGAGGCCCTTGTAGCTGCTGCTGAGGCGACAATGGAGGCTTGCAGATGTGCGAGTGCGTCTTGAGCCGACTCCAATGCTACTTCTTCTCGATAGAGATCACTGAAGGACGAGAGGCGGTCGCCAGGGGCCGGGGGCAGTGTTTCGTCCGGGGTGGTGGCGATGGCAGGGGTGATGATGCCGGGCTCGGCTGTGAGTGGCGGGGTGGCGGTCATGGTTAGTGGTCTGTGGTACCGGTGGCAAGGTTAGAATACACCAGGTTGTTCCCAGTTATATACTTTGGTGTGAGATGTGATGCGATGCCAGGATGATACACCCGAGGTGACAAAGCCGGAAGGCCGTGGGGAGTTGCTTCCTTTGACATCTGATCGGTAGACCCGAAGCGAGTGGGGGTGTCGTATCAGGGCGCTGTCAGTGCTGTGCGTTCTTTGGCCCCCCTTCAGATCCGACGATCGAGAGGCGATGAGAATGACCATGACTTGGCCAGGCTTTAGATCATGGGTGGATACGTGTGAATGCAAGAAGACCAAGCGCAACAAGGATGAATATAGGAACCATACAACCAAACAAAGGGTCTGAAGGTGACGTAGATTAGATGTGGTGATCAGAGAAACATTCATACTGTGTACATCGAAAGCCGGCGTGGCCAAATGGTTACGGCGTTCGCTTCCTATGATCTGATCAAGACGTGTTAGCGAGAGATTGTGGGTTCGATCCCCACCGTTGGTTTCTTTTTGTTTTCTTGTCCATAACACTTTTTGTCACCGTCAATCTGTCTATGCATACGTAGACGCTGTCCTGCGGTGGCTTCGCATGCCATTCCGTTTTTATGCATACTGGCAGCTTTCATGAAGTGCGCGGCTGGTGCGCGGCCTGGCTGAAACAGACTCCGCTGAACGCAATAACCCATGTATGGGTCAATACGAGGCCCTCATATCGTGATCATGACACAGTACAGCTATGAGAAAGAAAAGGATAGGGTATCCTGTGACAACGGGTAGTTACATGTGAGGAGACGCCCCCCAGTACAGACATTTGAACCATCCATCTCGGCATCCCAACAGTCTTCCGTCATTCCACGAAAGTGAGCTCTTTCGTTCTATGGCGGGCATACAAGTCTTTATACTTTTCCCATAACCTATAGTCAAGGATAAGCATGACTCTCGAAGGCTTTCATGTAAGCTTACCTGGTCAATTCTGTAATGTATTCCCGCTGAAGAGCGCGCACTTTTTCGTCGCTTGGGTGCGGATCGCGCTCGACGTGTATGGGCTTGCCGACTACAGACACTATAGGATGGCGAAAGGGCTGAACGTCTTTCGTCAGTTGCGTTCGAGCGACCTCAGCAATCAACCTACCATCAAGCCGTAACTGTCTGTACCAACGATGTCAGATGTCAGCATGTGTGTCACTCAAGCTTTGCGCGGATGGCGTACAATTAAAAAGTCTATCAAACGCAAGTCAGCGGCTGTGCCCAATATCTCGAGAACAGGAACTCACCCTCGACCATAGAATAACGGTAGTGTAAAACCGAATGCCTTCTGGAACCGTTTTTGCAGCTTGTACACCATCGAACCTTTCGCATTCGCTCTACATCCGATTCGTCAGTCACGCCCAAGGTATTGTGATCGGAGCACCGACAATTGAGCATAGATCTACATCCTTGTCAGCTTTGAGTCAAGACCCAACGTGCACACTCACGTCGTTCTCCCCAAAAGAAAACACTGGCACCAAGTCCGCGCCCTCTCTGATAGCCATCTTCACGAACCCGAATCTCTTCTTCAAAGTCAAATCCGCCGTACCGGGATGAGCCGACAGACTCTCGGCAGCTCCTCCAATCACAATCGCAATCGCGCTACCGGGCCCCTGCGAGAGCACGTTTGCACACGACTTTTTGGACACTGAGCCGCATCCGTGAATGAGGAGCAGCTCGCGATAGAAGGGGATTTTGAAGTTGGATTCGAGAGTGAGAAGATGAGGTTCGAGGCCCGGAAAGTATTCTGAAAAGCTGGTACCCTCGGTAGCAAAAGTAGCAAAGGCGCCCCTATACCGCAATCAGCTAGATCATGCTTGCAAGTCCGTGGACGCTCACATTCCGATAATTCCATGCGGATGATACCCAAAGAGGTATGGCCTATCTGGAGGAAGATCTGCCTCCTACACATGGTGTCAGATCACTGCTTTTGTCATACTTACGAAACATCATATGCTCACCTTCACGAGACTGAAACAACAGTAGTCGTCATTAGCACTGTCTTGCTATCCTGTGTCACTTGCTTACCTGCAAGGGTAATATTCTGGGTACTCTTCAGCACTATACACTCGTCAGAAGTTGGAGTAGACTCACGGGCAAAGTATGTCCAGAGCGAACTAGATCTAGCCCATTCCTGCGGACGCCCTCCATGCAGCGGCGCTCGGTCGAACGCTATCCAGAAGAAATATGGTATCAGGATATACCAGCACTGCGGTAATGATCTGTCATGCCTTGGGTCAGTATTGCCCCGTGATTACAGGATCCCGACACGTACAACAAGAGGAGCAGCAGCATTATACTGATCGGCAAGAAGAACGCCCAGAAAGCAACAGCTGCCGTTTGTAGTCGGCGATGCGGCGGTATATGCAAAGGCGCAAACCTACAATTCGTCAGAAGATAGCTCGGAGGATGTCTACACTCACTTCTTTTCAATTCCAGTCTCCAGTTGATCTCGCAAATCGTCCAATTTGAGTGTCCCCATCAACGGACTCGTTCTTCCCATACGCGTGTTTGCGTCTTTCCCACTCTGCAATCTCTCATTTAACGTCTGCGTTCCCTCCTTCACGTGCCCGAAATATCCACCATTGTCTTCCTTCTCGAACCCATCACCATCCAACAGAATCTGATCCCCGTCCTGTCCGGCATTCCGCCGTCGCAGTTGTTGTTGCGAATCGTCGCCGGGCGTGGCCGGAGTTACCCGGAAGACGTCCTGTTTGGTTCCCACCCGCTCGAAAGCGTTGGGACCGAGGAAGTCAGGGCCGAGGCTGGTCATGCTGGCTGGGCGGGGGCGAATTATACAGGCTGAGGAGAGAAATGGCCGACAAGGACAACTTCGTCTCACTCATGACTGACGTCGTCGCAACTCCACAACACCCCGCACGTGGCGGCGCACACCGCCTGCGACGTAAGCCTGATGACAAAAGCTTGATGTTGCATTCACGTCGACAAGTACTGAGTACTGTAGTGCAGACATGTACAGTACATATGGAATGGCTGGGTTCCATAGGTGCGTCTTATGGATACGTTTTTTGAACTGCTCCAAAGTCTACAAGTAAATGCATACAACATGTACAAACTATGGGACGCCGCCCAGATCGTTCACAAGTCTGGGACGTGAAGAGTTTGTGTGCGCTGCCAAGAGGTGCAAGGCGAGGGCGCGTTGGCACAGCGAAGAAGAACCATGTACCGAATGGGTCCGGTATTGTACTGGGAAAGAGGAAGTCAGTTCTGATGCATCGCATACACCTTGTTGGTTGGACTCACTGAAAGTCTTTTGTATCCCACGTTTAAAGAGCCGGCGCTGGTGGATTCTCATTTTCCACCATCGCTATGAACTGTTCCGGAGTCATGTATTCGATCTAAAACACGGCCCATCAGTATGTAATGATCATCTCAAAAATGTGGACTCACTCCATGACTATAATTCCGCTCCACCTTCTTCCTGTTCGCGTCTCCTAGCTCAAAGTGCCCCACATACACATATCTAGTATACACCAGCTCATCATTTGTCTTCATGGCCGTAAGATCTCTCAATTGCTCGAGAATCACTTCTTCCCGATCGACCGGGTCTGGCGCCGGCAGCGCCTGCCCGGCGTCTCTGGCAACCATCTGTTCAAAGTGGCCCTGCTCTACACCAATACACTTCTTGACGAGTGCCTCAAAGTCGTTTTGGCGGACAACATCGGTCAGCCATAGACGCCATTCCATCAAGGGTCTCTTGAGCTTCTTCATTGGCGGGTTGCAGCTGACCGAAAGGCCATAGGCCTCACCCCAGGGGGCGCCGGTATGAAAGGCGTGACCCCCATCGAGAGGGAGGCTGCTGATGAGAGCGCTGAATGACTCGGTGGGGTCCGGGCTTAGGCTACAAAATCGGTTACTATCATTTCGGAAAAAGGCAGTTGTGGACTTACTCGTAGTCGTGATCGTCCCACGTCTGCTTCAAAAAGCAAAGCACAGACGGGGTCAGATATGCGCCCCATCTCCGCGTGCCCCTCAATGCTTTCATCACTCTCACCCACATCTTTGGGTGCTTCAACAGAAGATACGGGGATAGTGTCACCACGTTTTCTGGGATCACGTTCAGAGACTGAACAGGACACAGAAAAGGGTCGACATTTGCTGCCGATGCGAGCGGGACTGCTTGGCCATTGTCACTCAATTCGGGACCGTCCGGAAATTTGGTATCAGAGCGGAGCCGTTGTAGGGTGAGGAGGAGCTTTGGGGATTTGCTCAGGGGCGAGGGCAGCCGAGCTGTCGTTGGTGTGGGTATGGAGGTGGTGGGGAGTGCTTTCGGGGAACTGTCAACAGGCGCGGGCGGTCGAGCTGACGTCGGTGTCGGGATGTAATTTGGTTTGATCGTCGAAGGGGAACTGACGATAGTGAGACCCAGATGCGATGTCCCCTGCTGTTGCCGCTGACTTTGAACATTGTCACCGCTGGCCAGAGGAGCCGGGGACTGAGACTGGGATGTTTCTTGGGTTGCAGATATTGATAGTCGGGGATCATTCGGTGCGTTCGACTGTACGGCAGTCGTTGGAGGTTGCGGCGGGACCTGTGCCTTGTTGCGCGGTTGATAGATAGCTATAGAAGGCTTGGGCTGGTCGGCGCTGCCTTGTCTTGTGACACCACTACGAGAAGCCGTTAGTGGACAGCTGCCTGTAAAAGATACTGCGTGGTACTTACTTTAATGGCTTGCCAGCCCTGTCAGCAGGCGGTGAATATGTCCCGTCCCTACAAGTCCATGAGCACTCTCCTATTCACTGACTGGTACTCACCGAGTAGGAGTCACGCCTGACCCTTCTCTTGATCTATCCAAAGACGCCCTGCCCCTTGGCACAGGCGGAGGTGTCATCGATCCTGCCAAGGACGACGTTGTGCTGCCCACTCTACGCATCTGCGCTGGAGTCCCATCTGACGTCTTTCTCTGCGCTACTCCTGGGCGCTGCTGTTCCTCCGACGCCCGGCCGACGGACAGCCTGGTCGTAGATGCCAAAAAATCCGTATCTTTCTTCCTCTGGGTTGTCTTGGAGGTGTGGGGGAAGTAGCTGGTCTTTGATCTCTTTGGCGAGACTGGGCTAGCACCGTCTTCTCCTGTCATCCTCCTCTTTCGAGCTTCTTGGGGTGTTATAATCTCGTCGTCATTACCGATGTGTTTGATACGCTTAGGTTGCTCGTACTTTGGACGCTCTTTTCCACCAGGGCCAAGGATAGCTGCCGGAGTGCTGGAGGGCAATGAGCTTGTCTCGATATTGTGGGAGGTAGTCAAGTCGATCGATCCTGGATGAAAGGCGCGGCGTTCGCCCGTTTGACCGGGTGAATGGCCGACAGTGACCGGTGACTCGCCAACAAGCGCATCGGAGATTGAGGACGATCGAACGGGCTGATCGACACGCAGAGGCTGTATACCCGGACCAGCGGCGCTAGGTTCTGGCAGTGCGGCGGCGGGAGCGTGAGGAGACGGGCCTGAAAGAGGCCTGGTAGAACCGGATGCAGTAGCAGCTTCCCGTCTTGGTTCGTGGACCGAATGGTGATTGACTGCATCGGATGTTGAGAGCACAGCATGGGAAGGTTGAGCCGGCTTTGGGGGGGTAGAACTAGCAGGTTCAGGCACTGGTTGTGTCCTTTTTGCAATCTTCATGGTTTTCAGCCAATCCTTTGCGACCGCAGGGGTCTGTTGAGCTGCAGAGGACGCATGGAGGGCTTCTCTCTTGGGATCTTTCCGAGGAACTTTTCTTGGATCATACGACTCCTTGACCTTTTTCTGAGCTCCTGCGGGAGGTTTGGCCAAGGACGTAGACGATGGAGGGTTGGACGATGTAGACGATGGCGGTTTGGCAGACGATGGAGCCTTGGGTGGGACCGTGGACTGGGCAGCTTTCCCGGGGGGAGGGACGGACCCCTTGGAGGATGAAGGCTTGTCCGTCGCGGCAGGGACTGCGGTCTGCTCAGGAGAGGGTGCGGGTGCCTGGGTAGACGTTGAGGCGGTGGCAGGTATAGATGAAGGAGGGTGGACAGTCGGTGGAGCTTCGGACGGGACTGTGGACGGGGTAGCTTTGCCGGGAGGAGGAACGGAACCCTTGGATGATGGTGGCTTATCCGTCCCAAAAGTGACTATTCCCTGCTCAGGATTGGGCGCGGGTACCTGTGCAGACGTTTGGGCACTGGCGGGAGTAGGAGATTTGACAGCCGGTGGATCCTTGGATGGCACTGCGGATTGAACAGAGTTGTCGGCGAGAGGGACGGATCCCTTGGAGGATGGGGGCTTGTCCGTCTTGGCAGGAGCTACGGGCTGATTGGGGGCGGTCACCGGCACCTGGGCAGGTGTTGAGGCGGCGGCAGGTATAGATGAAGAGGTGTTGACAGACGGTGAAGCCTGGGCCGTGACTGTCGTCGGTGCAGATTCACCGAGAGGAGGGATGGATTTCTCAGAAGATGGGGGTTTGTCGGTCCCATCAGAGGCTGTGGGGTATTCGGAAGCGGGCGGCGGTGCTTGGGCAGACGTTGGAGCGGTACTCAAGGAACGTCGCTCTGATGTTATCGGCGCCGAGGTCGCGGTTGACTCAGTGACACCGAGCGGAGGCAGCTCGAATATGCCATGATCCAGCTCCCCAAAATCGACGGCATCCCCCGTTTTCTCCCCCTCCTTGTCACTCCCTGCTCGCGGAGCCTTCTCTGCCGAGTCATTCTGGCCTTCTACAGTCTCCGATACCCTCTCCTCGGATGTTGCTCCGTCTCTCTCCTCTACCTTGACTTCAGTCGGCTTCCCGGTTTTGGGTACGCCAGCTTGAGAACCTGACCTGGAATTGCTAGGCCTCGGTACCTTTATTCTCCTTGAGGAAGAGAGTGGTGTGTCGACTGAAGAATCTGAGTCGGTTGACGAGGTCACCACCGATTTTCTCTTGCTAGCCGCAGGCTTGTCTGTTTTGATGTTGGGGATATTGGGTTTACCCTGACCAGCTGCCTTTCTCCTGGGGGCCTGCGTGGCTTTCAGAGGGACAGCATCGTCGTCTTCAGTCAAGTCGCTCTCGTCTGACGACCTGTTCAATATTCTGGACGAGAAGGGCCTCCTCCCTTCCGTCTTCATTCCCATGGCTTGTTCTGAGCGCTTCTTGAATTTGAGCCAATGGTAGTGGTCGGAATAGCGCTTGGGACATCTGAACATCCCTGTGGCTTGACCCCTGCTGACACGCTCGACATGAGCCCTCTGCAGCTCCTGGCGCTTCTTGAATAGTTTCCAGCTTCTTGTGGGTTCTTCGTTCAGCCATTGCTCTGGGATAACGAAAAAACATGTGATCAGCAATATGATGGTATCACAGGTCCATCAACTCACTCATTGCATGAGAAGGCAGGAAGTATCTGTCTCCAATTTTGTCCAGAGGTTCTAGCGACCCATCGGAGGGCGTCATTCCCATGCCCGCCCAGAACCTTCTCAACCATCAGTCACGGCCTTGATCCACGAGACGAATACTCACCGGACAATAACAGGCGGCTTTGGCCCTTCGAAAGAGTCAACAGGTTGCGGCCTTGATGATGTTAACGCCAGTAAAGACTCATTGGGGCATCACGTACGAATCAGACAGAGCCTTCAGATATCCTTTCCACTGTGAACGCTGGGTGAGCTTGTATCTCGGTATCAAGGGGTACACGCACAATCACACCATAATGCTATTCGAGAGTAAGCTTAGTCCTGTCTATCTGATGCAAAGTCTTACCCATTGCGGCTTGGCCTTGGCAGCTTCCTCCCTCATCACCCGCGCTTGACTCTTCCTGCCTCTGCTCTTCTTTTCGGGTTCTCTGAACGAGTACGCGTACGGTATGGCATCTATGTGATTTATCAGGCGCATGATCCCATGAAGAAATCCAGTCCAGACACACCGACGTTGTATTCCTGGTCCGGGTCTTCTTCTTCATTATCCGGGCTCTCGTACGCGTCGCCATCTTCGACGCTAGATATGTCAGAGTCGCTCGAGTCGCATGACTGTTCATGGCGTTGGACTGGCTTGCGAGGTGTAGGGGCCATGTATTGGGCGTGGGGCGGCCATTGACTAGGCGGAAATTGCTAAAATTATTGTGAAAGAGAGCGTACAAATACGTCGCCTTCGGCCTCCTTGGCGTCGAGGTCAAAAACAACGTTTTTTGATCCCGTTCAGGTTCTACGCTGGTTCTACTATGTACGTGTTTCAACATCGAACCTGAAGTTGGATCAAGCTCAGGACACAATCAGGACAAGCAGGTTTCAGCATGTAACAGACTGCTGCCGAACCGCAATGCAATATGCCTCCGTATTGGTTATGTTCACAATCTACGATCAGGCCGGTAGTACGTATCAAGTATCGGAGGCGGACCATGTGCCCCATCACATTCTTGTCAATAGGACTGCATTCGTGTGGATTTGTACATTTATCGTAGCGTCGGGAGCGAGGGGCTTGCGCCGAGCCTACATTTATTGATCTACTATCACGATCATGCGCCTGTTATAACGCCTCAATCGTTCACAACCGCGCTTCAGCAGTGGGCGACGACTCGGCTACGACTTTGATGACTATCTCGAGGGTCAGTTCCCCACCAATAGACCACTCCCGGCCAAACTCACTAGCATCAATGACCGCCGGATCCCCAATAGACGACAAATCCCCCAACGAATCCGTCTCCCCCACGACAACCTTTCTCAAGATCCTCCTCATAATCTTGCCAGATCGCGTCTTTGGCTGTTCCGGTATAATGTAAATCTTCTTTGGTGCCGCAAAGGGCCCGATGATGGAACGGACTTGAGCCGTGAGGGCTTTCGCGAGTGCGTCGGGCTGGGTTTGGGTCTGAGCGGAAGGGGCGGATTGAGGTTTGAGGGTGACGAATGCGTGGACGGATTGGCCTGTGAAGGGATCGGGGATGCCGACTACGGCTGTTTCGGCGACGGAGGGGTGGGCGAGGAGGGCGGATTCGACTTCGGCAGTAGACATGCGGTGGCCCGACACACTACGCACTGTCAATTCTGACCATCGCATATGAGAAGCAGACTCACTTGATAACATCATCCACACGTCCTCGGATCCAGAGATACCCATCCTTATCCCTATACGCTCCATCCCCAAAGAAAAAGTATCCCGGGTAAGGCCTCATATACGTATCGAGATACCGCTTATGATCGCCATAGATAGTCCTTGCCAAAGAAGGCCAGTGTCGCTTGCTGACCAACACCCCTTCAACCTCGTTCCCCTGGAGCACCTTGCCAGTTTTGGCTTCCAGTATCTCGAGCTCATGCCCGAAAAAGGGAAAGGTGGCAGAACCGGCTTTGGTGGGTACTGCCCCAGGAAGAGGCGAGATGACGGCAGAGCCCGTTTCAGTCATCCAATAAGTATCCACCACCGCACATCTACCCCTGCCCACGGTGTTGTAGTACCAAAGCCAAGCTTCAGGATTGATCGGCTCGCCCGCAGTACCCAGTACCCGCAAAGAACTCAAATCGTGCTTGACCACATACTCGTCCCCTTTCGAGCGCAAAAGCCGGATCGCAGTGGGAGCAGTATAGATCTGCGTAATCTTCCACTTGTCAACTATATCCCAGAACCGGCTCGGCGTAGGGTAGGTGGGGATGGATTTGAATACGGTGGTGGTGACTCTGAGGAGGAGGGGGCCGTAGACGATATGGGTATGTCCCAAGACCCAGCCGACGTCGGCGAAGCACCCGTAGCGGTCGCCTGGGTGGACGTCGAATGTGTATTTGACGGCGAGGTAGGCACAGAGTAGGTAGCCTGCGGTGGAGTGGACGACGCCTTTCGGTACGCCTGTCGATCCGGATGTCTATCCTCAACGTTAGCTGGCGCCATCGTGCTGTGATTTGGGACTTGCGTAGATCATAAACAACGGGTCTTCGCTGTTCATCCTCTCACAAGGACAGAAGCCAGCAGCAGCCTCGAGCTCATCATGCCACCATCGATCCCTGCCTTCAGTCATCGATACTGAAGCGCCTGTACGCTGGTAAACCAGGACGTGTTTCACGGCGGGACATCTCGGCAGCGCAGCATCCACAACTAGTATCCGTCAGTACATGCACGATACGAGTACGATGGAAACTCACTTTCATTCAGAGGAATAGTCTTGCCTCCTCGTATGCCTTCACTATGATTGGTATTAGCACCGGTCAAGTGGGAACGAACGCGTTCAACGTACTCTGCAGTGAGGATGATCCTGCTATGACTGTCATTGATACGGTCGCCGAGACTCTCAGCGCTAAAGCCAGCAAATACCGCACAATGTACTGCTCCAATCCTCGCACAAGCCAAGAACGCAGCTACAATCTGCCAAGTCATCGGCATACTACCACCCATCAGCCCTACACCAACGCCAGAAAGAGCGAGACATGCTAGATGATCACGACATCGCCTTTCTTTGCGCCATACAATTTGAGTACGTTGGCGAGTCTGTTGACTTTGGAGAAGAGCTCGGCGAATGTGATTTCGCGAGAGTCGGACGGCTCGTCGGCTTCGTAGATGATGGCAGCTTTGAGAGGGTCGGTGTGGTAGTGTCTGTCTAGAGCGTTGTAACAGGCGTTGAGGATCCCATCTGCACTGCTCAAAGCATCAGCAGAGACTCTCAACGAACATGTAGATGAAAGACATACAACCAATGTACATCCCCATTCTCAAACCCTCCCCCCCGCACGCTCCCAAAAGGCTCATACCAAGTCAAGCTCGACAACGCCTTCTCCCTCCACCATCCATCACTGTCCGGGCCTACCGACTTGCCCCACTCTTCGCGATAGGCTTCGATATCACCGCTAATGTGTGGAGCTGGGCGTCCGTTGCCTGGGCGGGGGGAGAGGGGCGGGTAGGTCTTGTCTTGAGGGAGGTGCTGGTCGGCTGACATTGGGAGGTCGCTGGGGTCGTAGATGTCGAGAGGAGACGGGTGGAAGAGACATCTTGGCCGTGCTTTGTGATGTCCTCACTTGCCCGTACAAAAGACATCTCATGACCCGTCTTCTTAACCCACCGGATGTGCACAACACCCGGAATGTGGAGGCCCGTGCCTGGTGCGCTCATAATCTCTTGCATTTCTTGGATTGCGATGGAGTCACCGCATGCTGCTGGCCTGTTACAAATATCTATCTGCATGGGAGCTGAGAATATACTAGCATACATATCTTTTCACCCTTTATCTCTACGTGTAGTTACATATGGACATATTGATCACTGAACAACCAAAAGAGCACTAACGCTTCGCGAGCGCGTCTTCGGTGTACCAGTTCAGACCGAGCAATGCTATGACAAGTTAGATTGTGCAAATCATGCGAGCAGTGGATCACGTACAAGGCTCATCCAAAGACCGGTGCTGATATCCGAGGACAGCAAGCTAAGACCCAACATCAGCCACCCATTGATCACCCAAAAACGTCAAGCACTTACACCTCCAGGCTCGGCACAGAGATGATATCCCGTCTGCACAGGTAGATCACACCACCTTGCAATAAAGCATCGCGAAAAGTGGCCATGAGAAAAGATGAGGACGTCTGCGCAATTGGCGTCGTCAGAGCCCAGGGCATCGTCCTTGTGCTGCACCAAGCGTCAGCTCGTCCTGACAAAGAAAGACCTGGTAGGTGCTTACAGCGCTATGGATAGCCCTGACCCTCGCAATGACCCGGTCCACCCTATCGCTGATTTCCTGAGGACTCTCTCCCGGGGTCTCACCAGCCGGACAACCGTCGTTCCATATACTCCACCCCGGCCTCTGCGCCGCGATTTCTGAAGAGAGCAGGCCCTCGTATGCTCCATAGTCCCATTCAGAGACTTCGGGGTCGGTTGTGATGTTTGCTTTGGGCGGTTTGTGCTCGCCAAAGAGCTACATATCACTGTCAGTAGTTGGATTTGAGGAGATGGGGAGGGCGTACAAGCTCAGCGGTTCGGGCTGCTCGTGCGCGGGGGGAGATGATGATGTTGCGGACGTGCTCGGGCTGGATTAACTCTGCAAAACGTCAGCACCAAACGATCAGATGGATATTGCACATACTACCAGGACCGATCATGCGGGGGCTCATATCGAGGACCATCTGCTCGCCTTTGGCGGTCAGGGGAATATCAGTCACACCAGTCTTGAGATACTGTCAGCTGGGCAATGTGGGCAGCGGAAGAAGCATACGTGTCTGCCATTCAAAGACCATTCAGTCTCGCCTGCAAAGTGAGAGTCAGCGGTGGCTCGACGGTGAGCTATGAACGTACCGTGGCGGATGAGATACACTCTGGGCATACGTTTGGGCATATTGGGCGTGGCAGAGGTGATAGGGAATAAAAGAAAGCAATAAAGACGAGAATAGCTAGCACTGTCTACATCGAATCGATCAATGACGACGGCCGCAATGGCAGGTGGAGGTGAACAGCGGCACGTGGGTGCCACGCGGGTTGTGAGCTCAGGGACTGCAGGGAAATTCTCGACGGGATCAAATGGCGGGCGCGGCCTTTGTTGTTTGTGCTCTGGCCTCCTTTTTCAGCTATATACCACGATCAAATTACTATTACACCCACGCTCATTACCCCGCTGCCATGAAGTACTCCCTCCTCGCCCTCGCAGCCGCTGCCGCCGTCGCAGCCCAGGTACGTCATTCTGCTCCCGGCGACCCCCACTCACCCCCGCAGAATTCGACCGACAGTGTCCTGATCCCCTCCAACATCACAGACTCGTGCACCTCTTTCCTCACAGAGCTCAACGCAGACGCCACCCTTTCCGAGTGCGTCACCCCCCTCATCAACGCCACCGCCTCCTTCTCCCCCACCGCCGTCGCCGCCACAAACCTCACAGAGGACAGCATCAACTATACCTTGGCCTCCGTCTGCAAGACCAACACTGGTTGCTCAGACACCACCATCCGCACCTGGCTCTCCAGGTTCTACTCCCAGTGCTCGGCCGAGCTGACCTCGTCTGACGGCTACAACTCGGACGTCAGGGAGCTCTACGACATCTTGTATGTTGTAAACCCCCTCAAGGGCGCCGTCTGCTCGGTCGACTCCTCCAACCAGGAGTACTGCGTCAACGAGATTGTCGCGTCCGAGTCTACCGACAGCTCTTCCGCGTCCAACTCTACGAGCAACAGCACCGCGCTCTACGCCAACTTTGCTGCCTCTGACAGCGTCCTCTCCCCCATCCAGCTCGCCGCCTCCAACCTCTACATCGAGGTCTCCGCCTCTGCCTCTTCCTTGAAGAAGCGCGTCCTCTCCACCCTCTCTTCCCGTGCCGCCCAGTCGGTCAACATGGCGACCATCATCACCCCCAACGCCACCACCTACAAGTCCACCAACCTCCCCTTCCTCTTCCTCCAGCCCACCCTCTCTTCCTCTGCCCTCTGTACCCCCTGTACCCGTGAGGTCATGGTCTCGTACATCAAGTGGGAGACCCAGGTGCCTTACGCGTTGGGTTTGAGCAAATCGCCCATCCTCGGTGGCCAGTCTGCGCTCTGGTCTGCCATCAACTCTACTTGTGGCACTGCGTTCGTCAACGCCATCAAGTCGCAGGTTGGCACCAGCTTGAGCAGCAACTCTTCCAGCTCTGGCGCTGAGAGCATGATGGCGGTTCAGGGTATGGCTGGTATGACCGCGTTGGTCGGTGCCACCTTTGCCGCTGGTATCGTCGCCATCTTTGTCTAAGGGTTTTTTTTCTTTCAAACCCTTCTTTTATTGCTTTCATAATTAGACGAGATCAATGAGAGTTTCACGACAAAAAAAAACATTTTATTTGTATCTCCATGACCCTTCTCTACCCTCCGGCTGTTTCATATTCTCCCCTCATCGAGGGTTACCGACTTATGTCGCCGTATCTATTTCTTCTGTGGACACTCTTATCCCCGTATTTGCCTACTCTTCTTGCCCCTCGCTCTTCATTTCGCTTATACCCTGGTGTTTATGAATGGACTTGTCTGTTCGAGACTGGCTGCGATACTCTGCTATGTTGGACTTGTCTTTGATATTGACACTACTTTGCTTTGCAAAAAAGAAATAGCAAAAAGCTAATGCTCTGGAATGACCGCGCGTCCGCAAGCGAACGGGTTCAATTAGCAATTGGGTGTATAATTGTTGTGCTACGCGGCCTTGGAATATTTTGGCGACTTTTTGCCGTTATGTCGTGGGTCATCACTCACTTTTCCTCAAACCGCAAACCACTCATCCTGCGCAACTGCAGCCGCCACGACTCATCGAGAAGGCTCCCGGCTACGAGTCCGAGTGTCCACACTTGGACCGTACATGCATGCAAGTCAAATCAATTAAATTCTAAACACCCCCAAGCTCTCCCAAAGCATCCACAAAGGCCTTGGGGCTAACAATCTCCGTCGCACCATACGTAACCTTCTTCCCCTGCCCCGTCTGCTGCCCACCCTGCCCCTGCCCCGTCCTCGCCGCCCACTCTACCAAATTCCCATACTCCACATACCCCCCTCCGCCTACCACAAACACCACAGCCTCGCCATACTGGCTCCTGCCTTTATTCTGCCCGCCTTGGCCCGGTCGGTTCCGGGATGTGCGGGGGTCAAAGTAGAGGTAGTCGTCCGTATCTTGGAGTGCCTGTGTACTGGCCGAGGCGGGGTCCATGAGGGCTTCGACGAGGCGGGTGAGGGTGAGGTCTTTCTTGGCGGGGAGGAAGGATTTGACGCCCGAGATGAGATTGTCGAGGCCTACAGCGGGGATACCACCTTCGCGTAGTCTATCAGTGATCTACAACTCGTCAGCACATCCCCAATATGCTTTCAAGGAGGACTCACTCGGTTACCCAATACACTGAAACCTCGCGTCCATTCACCACCGCTAGCCACGGGCGGTGCCGCCACAACAGGCTGAGCAGCCATCGTCGACATCCTCACAAACTCGCGCACCTTCTTGACATACTCCAACGCCCTCGTGTCCGCCCCATGGTCCTTCAACAGCTCTTCCAGCTGCTTCAAGTCGTCTTTCGAGACCGCACCGTCTTGGGTGGAGAGAAAGTAGATGATGACGAGTCGGAGCTGATCTTCCGGCGTCGGGTTGGCAGTCTGCCCGGGCTCGTCCGTCTGGCCGTTGAGCACATTCACAATACTCGCCTTATTCTGCTTGACAGCATTCTCCTCCACCTGGAACAAGTTGTCCAGCCCCCTCTCCTTGATCGCCTGCAACAGCGCCGTCGCAATGTTCATATGCGTATCCAACGTCGTCTTTCTCGCCGTCAACTCGGGGAGCGCAGTGATGGCAGTCTTGAGATTGGCAGTGTTGGAGGTGAAATCAATCTGGCCGACGTCGTTGACGTCGCTGATACCGGTGGAGCGGGTGATCTCGGCAGCGTCGGATTTGTATTTGGAGAGGTCGGCGTCGATGTCTTCGGCGACGGAGGGGAAGGGGTTGTTGGCGTTCTTGGCCCAGAAAAAGTCTTTCGAGTCAATGTCGTAAGACTTTTTCTGCAGGCGGCCATTCTCGGGGGCCTAGACGATATGAGCTTCCGTTATCTAGAGCATCGAGAGACGTACCTCGACAGTGACGCGGTTCAACTTCATATCCAAGACATCATGCACCAAAGCCTGGTATGTCCACGAATGCGAGAGCATTGGTATCAGGTCCATGTTCCTGTCCAGGATGGCCAAGAGTGGCCGTTGGAGGTCGCCCACGCCGTAGACCTGAGCGCCCCGGGAAGAGGTGGATGCGAGGTGGTCTCGGAGCTTGGCGTCGAGGCGGCGGGCGACCATCTCTGCGGCGTTTCCTCGGGGGCAGCGGATAATGGGGGTCATGTCTGAATCATGTCAGTCGTGCCACCGTCGAGCGAGACGGTACTCACTCATAGTTGTGATAACACTGAAAAGACCCTTGGCAATCCGCTCAACCTCCTCTTCGATAGTCACCTCTGTCGCCTTTGGGTCGTTCAACACCACATACGTCGGCTTTCCCTCCACATATTCTTCCTTTACAGGCTTCTTTCCTTTTCCTGCATTCACGTCCGGCTTGACCTCTCTTCTTGGCAAGAGCGAAAAGAGGTTGGGGGAAGGGACGATAAAGTCGAGGAATTGGTCGGTGACCGAGGAGATGAGCTGGCCTGTGGATCCCGAGGGGTCGTTGGTGAGGATGAGAGAGGCGAGCTCTTCCATCAGCGCCCTGGGGAGGGATGATGTGAATGCGAGGTAGTAGGAAGAGTAGAGCGGGGGGTTCAAATCCTAAGAGCTGCGCATCAGCTCGGGTCCATTTGAAGAGTCGAACGACACACCTCTGCAATACGCCTGATACTTGACAGTGTAGGAGACACAAAGTAGACTGCAGGGACATCAGCCAGAGGAGGTCGGGGTGTATGCAATTGCCTGTCCACGATATGAGCGTTCTGCACGACCCGCATGGCATCTCGTCGCTCACATATGCAGCGTCACGCCCTGTTCGCGCAGATCCTGCACCCGCAGGCTGGTCGCGAGGATATCCTTGCTGGCCTCATCGAGGATGAGCACTTTCCAGACGAGGGGCGCCTGGGCAGAGTCGTTGAAGGTGGTGCCAGGGGAGGCCGGGCGGGGGAAGGGGCCGGCGGCGGCGGTGGTGGCGGCGGGGGCGGTGTTGAGGTTGAGGAGGGTGAGGAGGGTCTGCGTCTGGGAGGCGAGGAGGGACGGGCGGGACATCGCGGGGGATGAGAGGAGACAGCAAGATGGGAGAGAAGCGTTACTAGTGTCGTTCGGGGCGGAAAGCGCAATACCGCCTCAGATGCGCTTAACGGCTGCTATTGAACGCGCAGAATTGAGCCACTATTGTCCAATGTGTACAAGCTGTACTCGTATATAACCCGATATACATACCCAAACAGAAACAATCACATAACCCGACCTATCCACTATCGCCCCCGAAAAACCCAAAAAGAGATCATGAACAAATCACGCCGCCACCTCCTTCTGCTGCCCGCGCATATGTTCCGGGACAAAATGCACCTTGCTAGCCACTTCCTCCGCATCCTCCAACGCAGCCTGTCTGGCGAGCTCGGCAGAGGCCATACGGTTGCGCGCCATCGCTTCGGCGATGAATTCGCCCCCAGTCTTTTGTACATGTCAGCTTTAAAAGTACAAGGGGAGGGCGGGGGTTGACTGACGATAGGCGGGTACTTTTTCTCAGGACCTTGGATGATGGTGTTGATTCGAGCTTGGTTGAAGAATGCGATAGAGTATCTTTTCTCTCTGTTAGCTCTCTCCTCCAGCATTCGGGAGTTGGCGCACCTGGGACCACGGCTCTCATCACCTTCCGGCAATCTGACGCGATGAAAAGTCGATTTCAGACGATCATCGCTCCAACGCATGAGCTGGTCTCCAATATTACACACGATCCTATCCTGCCTCGCTTCAACAGGGAGCCAAGTCTGGCCGAGACCAAAGTCGCCGACGACTTTGCGACCGGGGCAGACTTCGAGCCCGCCTTCGCCTTCGCGTTGAAAGAGCTTTTCACCGCCACGCATCAGCCTGGGTTGATTCAGAATGGAGGGTAGGGGAGGCAGAGGGACGTACCATGGTGAGGATGTCAAAGTCGGCATGCGCACCAGCACGCCAAAAGTTGGGGCCGAAGGATTTGCCTTCGGTGGAATGGTAGTGCAGCAGACGCAGGACGTTCTGGCAGTCGCCTTGGCCGGTCTCGACTGTACCTTCGGTAAAGACGTCCAGCGGGAGCCCGAGGCCTTCGGCGAAACATTCCATCACCTTGACCGACAATCTACTCCCTATCAGCCCAGCTAATCCACAATGAGAAAAGACTCACGCCTGCACCTCCCCCATAAACCCCTCCGCCCCCTTCCTGAACCCCTCCAAATCCTCATCCGCCGGCCACAGCCCCTCCATCCTCGCAAACTGCAACTGCATACTCTCCTTCTGGTCCGCCGTTCCCGTACTCGGCCTGACTTGGGTATTCTTCTCCCAGCCTGCGTTCTTACCGTTGAGCGCGGTTTTGGACTTGGTACTGTCGGGGAGGGCGAAGAAGGATTGGGAGAGGGCGAAGGCGGAGGCGATGGTGGTGGGGGAGATGCCGTGGTTTTGGAGTGTACTGGGGTTGGGTTAGATGGGGGGCATGTGGGAAGGGAGGGGGGCGTACAAGAAGCCGACGTTGGTAGAGGCGTCCATGAGCTCTTTGATGATCTCGTGACGACGGGCGTCAAAGTCGTGAAGACTGATACAGGGGACAGCCATCTTGCTTGCTCTTTCAACTTTTCAAGTGTGAAGGGTGGAGGGAACCAAACTTGTCTTACTCTTTTATTATGCACCTCTGCTATTCGGCGCCCATCTCCGATCAACCAGGAGTAAAAGATAAGCATCCTTATCTGCTCCCGCGCACTTCTTTCTGCTTCTTTCTGCTTGTACCATACCATACTGCATTAATCCACTGGTGCAAAACGACAGAGTATTCAAGACAGCCCTCTGAACATGCCCCACTGCATATGCTACAACACTCTCAGCCCATCTACCCAAACATCTTGGAGAACGCCTTCCTCTCCTTCTCCTTCCTCTCCTTCCTCCTAACCTCCACCGTCTTCAACAAGTTGAGCACACCAGCATCCCCTGGCACGAGCTCCAAAGCCGCCTTCAAGTCCTTCTCCGCGCTCTCATCGTCCTTCTTCGCTACAAGCGCCTGGGCCCGGCGGTAGAGCGCCTTGCCCTTCTCCGCGGGGGTCAAGTCGGGGATGGCAAGGGCGCGGGTTGTGAGAGAGACAACGAGGTTGTTGGTATTGGGCGAAGGAGCAAGTTTGAGCGCGGCAAGAGCGGCGTTGGTAAGGAGAGGCAGGCGGGTGGACCTGTACCCATCCGCAAGCTCTTGAGGCGCTTCAGGGTGGACATCAAGGTACCTCAACGCCTTCTGGTACTTGTCGAGCGCAACAGCAAAGTTGCCAGCTTTAAACTCCTTCGTACCCACCTCCCTCAACTTTTGCCCCACCACCAACGCCTCATCCGCCTTGTCCACATTCACCCCCTCCTCATCCTGGGGGAAATCTTCCCAGATATCGCCGTCCGAGTTGGCCTGCTTGGCCTTGTTTTCGGCCTCGAGCTTTTGGATGTCGTCGGGGGAGAGGACGCCGGCGGAGGAGATGACGACGGGTTGGATGGGTTTGTCAGAGTTGGTGGGGATGGATTCGATGTGGCGAACGAGGGAGCGGTTGGAGAGGACTTTGCCAAAGACGACGTGCTTGCCGTCGAGGTGGGGCGTGGGAACGCTTCAAGGTTGTTAGTCGAGACTCAAAGTAGATGGGAGAATACGTACGTGGTGATGAAGAATTGAGAGCCGTTGGTGGAAGGACCAGCGTTGGCCATAGAGAGCATCATGGGCTTTTCGTGCTTCAATTCAAAGTTTTCGTCCTCAAACTATAATACGCGTCAGCTATACGCTCAATAATACTGCAATATAGGCTAAAGGACTTGCCTTTTCGCCGTAGATGGACTCTCCACCGGTACCGTTACCCCGTGTAAAGTCACCGCCCTGCAACATGAACCCCTTGATACACCTGTGGAACGCCGACCCGGCGTAGGCGAGCTTGACACCAGCAGCATTGGTCTTGTCTCCAATACAGAGATGCTTAAAGTTCTCCGCCGTCTGTAATCTCCCACGTTAGTATTCGAAAAGTACAATGGAGATGGGTGTCGCACCTTGGGGACGACATCGTCAAAGAGCTCAAAGGTGATCCTGCCGGCGGGCTCGTCGCCGATGGAGATGTCAAAGTAGGTGACGGTGTTGGGCATTGTGGGGTGTGATTGATACAGGGGGTGCAGAGGGATAAAAGAAGAAGAAGAAGAAGAAGAAGAAGAAGAAGAGAGATGGACAGGCCGGCTACTCGTTTCCAGAGTGTTCGACGAGAGTGGAGGTCGCAATTTAGTCCCGCAGTCAGTCCGGCCGCCGAGGGGATTGGCATTTGTCTTCCTTCATTCTGGCTTTAATTTAGTCGAGAAGGATCTTCTACAAGACGGCTGATATATTGTGCGCAGACGTAGCCACTTTCGATTGCCTCCGAGTCAACTGCGGGGCACAAAAGCCCCCGTGCTCGAACCCCTCACCTTCCCTCTTCGAATCGAAAATCCAGAATGTTCTGCCACCAAAACGTATTTCAATTGTCCTACTTCATCGACGGCCATAGCCTCCTCAGAGTACCGCGTCCCGTCTGATCCGCGAAGTCAACTAGGAGAGCGCTCGGTTAGTACCAGGGTGGGGGACCACCTGGGAATCCCGGGTGCCGTCGTTTTTCCTTTTTTTTTCCATCGGTACTTTTTGGCGAGACACAGAGCCAGATGCTCGTTGGCACACCCCAGCATGTGCGACGCCCGGATGGAGAAGCCCAGCCCACGCTGCTGGTCTGAAACCCATACTTGCCGTGAGTCCAAAGTGTCATCTTCCCTATGCCATGTGATCCTGGGAACACGGCTACAGCATCGCTCGGCGGATTCAGAATCGCAAGAAGGATTGCTCCAAGTCTGAAGATGACGACTGTTGCCTTCAGAGAATGATCCACGAGCACGATGACTTTGAAAGTCCTCCTCCTCCCGTTATCCAAACTCTTCTGGCAAATGCACACACGTCTCACCGTATCCTCATTCCATTCATAGATGCCTCACATGCAGTATTTGTCATTCTCTACTGCACTCTCTCCCGCGTGCACTCACCTCCCCAGCCGCTCTACGCGCAAGGCTTGTCGGGCAAGTGCATCGACAATATCTATGAGAAGGAGAAGCCCGACACATAATATTACTGCACTTGATGTTCTTGTCAAGCAGTCGACGACGATACAAAATCCCTTATCAACTTCAAAACCTCCGCATTCTTGTCATGATGGACTGAGTGGTTGGCGTTGGGAAAGATGACGAGCTTGGAGTTTGGGGCGCGCTCGTGTATGAGCTTTGATTGAGCTATGATAGCGCCCTTCATAAGCGGACGGGGCATTAAGAACGTAGGAGAGGCAGGCGTACAAGGCGGTGTGATCCAGTCGTGCTCGCCGACAAATATCAAGGTGGGGATAGAAAGCGTCTTCAAGCCCTCTCGGTAGTCGAAATATTTTTCCTTCTCAGAATATAAAGAGTCTGCCGTGAACATGAGCTACTGTTGTCACGAGAACCAAGAGAGACGAGGACTCACTATGCGACTCGGCATTGTAGATGGTCTTTCGCGACGACTCGAGCGCTTTGTCGGCATCATACGCCCCATCCAAGTATAGCGGACCGATGGCAAACATGATGATCCTGAACTCGTTGTCGTCTGTGATGGTGCCAAAGATCTTTTTGAGGTAGTTTTCGGAAGCCATAGGAGCTTTGGTCGCTGCTCTTCTGCGGATGTTCTCGAGCGCTTCTTTCTCGTCTATCCAGAGGGTCAGCAACTGTACCTTTGCGACTTGGCGAGGAGCTCACGATGATGCGAAGGCGCAGTACCTCTCAGGAGCAAGTGCGAGACGCTATCAGGATAGGTGATGGCGTACTGCTGAGCGATGAACCCTCCGAAACTACCTCCCAGAATCACCGCCTTCTCATCCCCGGCGAAATGTCTTCTCAGCCCTTCGATATCATCCACAATCTGCTTGAATGTATAGGGATATGTGGGAGAGGATTGGCCGTGGCCGCGAAAGTCGAAAGAGAGGACTCGGAAGGTGTCTGATAGAGGATGGAAGGCCGCGAAATCTCCGTCGTGGGAGCCTGTGAGAGGATCAGGAGACGTTACATGGTGCTGGGCATCCGATAAGCTTACCGAAACCGCGCCCTCCGTGAAGTGTTATCAGCAGAGGGAGCTCGGGCTCGCCTTTGAGACGGTATGCCAGGCGGGCACCATTGATTCCGATGAAGCTTAGGGGCGCGTCGGGGTAAGGATCAGAGGCGGGGGCGGTCATGGTTGCAAGATGAAGATGTTGACAAGACCATGATTGAGAAATGCTCGAGGGCGCGTCCTGACGAGAGATGACGACTTGCTATGTGGGCTTGTGGGCAAAGCCGAACCGGAAAGCCGACGCCTGCTCAGGTGCTTTCAGCCGCAGTCGTTACAACCTCTAGTGTGTCGCCAATGTGTCGCGCGGGTCAGAGCATTATTCAAAATGGATGGCTTGACCAGGCTATTTAGACGGCTGTGTAATGCATAGATTGATGTGACTACGAAGTATGGACATGAAATCAGGACTATCCCCATGATTTTACAGCCCAGGAAAAACTATACTCTAAACAAATTTTCAAGATATCACTCTATAAACGTTTATGGTACAAAATCCCGATCCTCCTTCTCTTTTCCCTTCGTGGAGCGGTTGCTCTTCCTTAACGGCTCAGGACCCCCGAAAATGTCGTCTGAGCTGGAAGCGGAAGGGCTGCCGGCCGCCAAAGAGTCCGTAGAACCTGCTAACATTGAGACGTCAGATCCGATAGCAGAAGACCAACTTTTCAGCCAGAAATCGACTCACTCTTCGCCTTCTTCACTGGCGTTTTGCCGAGCAATATGTTCAAGCAGGGGAGCAAGGGGCAGAGAGTGACGGAACAGAAACGATGGGTCAAGGCCAGCGTGGCGGGCTTGGGAACCGAGAGGAGCCCCGTGGGGAAGTTTAGCACTTGCGTTTGATTCCGCCCCCCCCCCGTCTTTTTTTGGCGGCGAGAAAACAGCTGATAAGACCCTAACTGCGTTACGGGAATGTGTACGTGTGCCCGTTGACGGTACAAGTGCGCCTGGCCATGATGAGCTTCTCGCACTGTAGCACGTGGGACTGCTAACCCGTCTGCCAACTGCAAGCCACAGACCAAGCACCTGGCTGAAGGAACAACTCAGCTGTCATCATTTTCGATGGGAAGACAAACAGACCCTTCTTTTCGCCAGCCACGGTGCTCAACTCCACCAGGTGGGGGTGATAGATTTCTATGAGTCTTTCCCTGGGAATATTGAGGACCAGCTCCACAGTTCTGTCGAATTCGGATGAGGCTGCTGCAGGGAGTTTCAGCGCTGGGAATGATATCACATGTAGTGATTTAGTCACCTGGACATACGGATTCATTGAACATGAGTTTCGTGAGCTCTTTCTTTGATTCAATCGTCAGCTTTGGCGGGAAAGCATGATGGTGCCATCGTGATTGGTCAAAGTTGAAAGAATATTGTCAAGCTCTGTCCTTCGTCAGAATTTGGCAATATAATTGATGCCGCCCTTGCTTACTTTGACAACTATCTGTCGGATCGACTCTATTCTCTTCCTCCTCGTACAAAGCCTGCCCATGAGCGACCTCCCCGAGCACCTCGTCCTGAAGCAACATGGTCAGAATAAAAAATAAGCACCCCTGGCGCTGACTCACTGTACCCTCCTGGATCACTCCATTCCGAGCCCTCGTCTCTTCTGCTGCAATCCGCTCTTTTCGCTCGACTTCCAGAACCGCTCTTTGAACTTTCCTGCGAATTGACATGAGGTCCCTTGTATGCTTCGGCGTATGTCTGCGACGGGACATTCGACAGTCATTTCTTGACGACTTTTGGAGGTGGCCGAGAGGGTATCATCTGCACTTTTGTAAATGGCTAGGGCTTTGGCCAGAGCCTGTATACGTGTCAGTCAAGACTTGTTGTGAATATTCAGATGACTGACCTCAGCCTCGATGCTAATGGCGGCCATTACACGGGGGTCAGCATCAGCTTTTTTCAAGCCTTCGTCAGAGATCCGAGTTGGTAAACCCGGGAAGCGCCTATTTCTTGGGGACAGGACACTCTGCACGAATGATATCAGTATATGATTGTTAGTTGTACAAGCTTACGAATGCGTTATCTCTCGCTTCTCTTCCAAAGACAGCCTTGCGGGAGGACCACGCGGCGGAAGGAAAGGGAGGGGGTTTGGGGGACAGGGAGGCCGGAGGAGGGGCCGTCGGAGATAAGAGAGCAGTACGAGCGTTGGGGAGTGTGAGGATAGGAGGTGTGGAAGGCGCAGGAGGTGTAGGAGGCGACGAGAGAAAGGGACAGACCGAGTTGAGGAAATTGCCGTGTGTAAGACGGCGGAGGGGCCGAGGGGGGGCAGGAGGAGGAAAAGGAGTTCGCTAAATGGAAGCCACAGTCAGAGGAGGATAAGGCGTAGCCTGATACCTCTTGATGTGACGTTGCATCTCGCGACGGAGACTTCAAACGATGATCAGCATCTATCGGCTCGGGCTTGATATTTTACTCACTGCCTCTCGATGAGTGGCCCTTTCAGCTCACGTCCCCATCTCCTTGTTGCCCTATGATGCCCACAAGGAGGGGGGCGGCTCAGGAGCAGAAGGGCGGCACGAGGGGGTGCCAAGAGAGGGGCTAGGAGAACAGGGCCGGCAGAATGTCGACGATACGCTCTACCGTGTACTCTTCTTCATCACCGTCGTCGACGAGTGGGGAAGAGGGGAACTGCCCAGGCCAAGGAGGCACAATGGTTGTAGGGCTGGGCGACGAAGGGTGTTTAATGCCAGGGCGGCGGCGCCCTAGCGCAATCGCATTGGGGTGGAGGAGGAGTTGATGGGAGGACCGCCGAGGGGGGGGCGGTGGGACTGGAAGGTGGCCTAAGAGGGGGTGTTTATACAGCGTCGAACGATTCTCTTTGGGCTCCTGTGATTTAGGAAATTTTCATGCTGTCGTTTTCCCAGTGTGGCAGGTGGAACGTGCTCATGAGTGTCGCGAGGTATTGCGTCTGTGCGGGTGTACCCCTCCAGTCCAATTGTACTAATGCACCAATCATGTACTAATGCACCAATCACGGTAAGCGGGCTGGCAGGATCATGTAGATGGGCCAGAAAAAGAAAGAGAAGAGCGGGGGGTTCATGTCCACAAAAGTATCTTTGGCGGCGCGCTTATCATGTGAATGTTTGGTTCTTGTTTGAGTTTACGTAACGGCTTGACATCGCTCTGAAATGTACAGCGAGCGTCAGATATGAAAGACTTGTCTGCTTCAGGCTGCTCGAATTCCCATATACTCCCCTCCCAAGCCTCCGGTCAACCTTTGTTGGGCTCAGGGATGCGTTCATGGCATCAGTTCCTCTCCACTCTTGGCCATCCATGTGGCGTAGACACGACAGCTCTTCCGAGGATGGGGCCAGCTCAGAGATAAAGGAGAATCTCAGAGATTGAGGGTGTTTCCTGCCTGCAGACTTCCCCTGCTTGCAGCCAAGAACCGATGTTGATTGACATCACCCATTATTTGGTTCCGTCGCCGATACCAGAGTCTGGTGTTGTTTGTAATCCTCTTGCTCTTCTTCATCCCACCCAGCTGTCAAGTGCAATGTCCTATAGGGATCCCTATACTACAGAGTCGTATCTATCTGGTCTCTCCATCTCCAACAACACAGTCCACCACCCCAGCACCGCCTCTCAACCCGATACCACTGCACCATCCACAGCGAGGCCGTTTAACTTGTACGGCGCTTTCGGAGAGACCCAGCTTCATACCAAAGCTGACATTCTCAGCCTGTCATCTGCTACTCCCTCGGTACCTACTAAATCATCCACGCCCTTCTTGCATGAAGCGGTGAGTCTGAGATGCGTCGAGAGGTGCAAAAGTTGACTGGATCTATGCAGGCGTACGGCCAACAAATGGCTTTCCAACCTGAATCATCCTCGTCCGCCCCATACACCGCTCCATACCAGCATGTCAACCCAGCAGACCTTCGATTATCCCCACAGCATGCCACGACGGTCCACGAAGCACAAACAAACATCGTAACCAACACACCAAATCAACAACACAACACCCCAGCGCGGGGGATGTCCAGGCTTGTTATTGCCGAGGGAGAGAGGCCAGGGCAGAGGAGCTCGCCGTATGACAAAGGGAAAGAGAGGCCGAGGTCGAAGAGCATGGTGGAGCAATCTGGGAGCGGAAATCGCAAGGCGACGCCGAATAGCTCGGGCAGGAGAAACAGGGAGAGAAGAGTAACGGGAGATGCTGGTCAGTCTCATCCCTATCGATCCGGGATTCAAGCTGATCTTGTGTCAGTCCCCATATCCCTTCCCGTCTTCCTACCTCAACTACAGCAGCAAGAACCTTCCTCTGCTTACGAACCGCCTGAATCCATGTCCAGTCAAGCGGCCAATATCTCCTCCCTCCACCACGCCATCGCCCGATTCTACCGCGCCTCTCGTAGTACTCAGCACTCTCACGAAGAAGCATACAACCAAATCATGGATATAGTCTTGAAAGCATCTGCGGCTTCTAGAAGAGTTTGGGATGGAGAGTGGATCGGGCCTTCGGTGGATCAGAGCACCGATCAAGCAGTGGGATGGGGAGGTATCGCAGATCTGGCATCGCCGCCACCCAAATTTACATCACAAGCACCCACGCTTCCTTCTTCTCTCGATATGACCAGTCGCGGAGGTCAATCGTCTTCTATTCAGCACCCAGCGCCACTTGAGACTATCTGGCAAGACGACCCCGCTGCCACTCCTCATCTATCAACATCCACCATCAGCCAGAGCGCCATCCCTCCGAAACAGCACGGTCGATCTGTCTCTCTCCCTGTCCCACAAGCGACGCACCAGCAAGTCTTCCAGCCTATGCTTTCCAATATTCCAGTGGATAGTGGACCGCAATACTCCCAGAATGCTGTACTCCCCCGACCACCAGTCCAATCAACTCCTCCTACGGCACACATCGATGCCCAACTCGCGTCAAACATCAAAATCGCTGGCGACGCCGCCTACGCCAATGTTTGTAAAAGCGCCTCCTCTCTGCCAGCAAATACCCAAGAGCGCATCAACACAGCTGGCCTGGAAGCTGCCAATATCATGTTGGAGGATTTTCACCCAGTATACCGGGATGCGGTGTTGCGCTGGACGGAGCTGGGGTGTGCAGAGGATGTTGCTTCCGAACGAGGAAAGTATGAAGTTGATGTGCATGTGAGAGGGGTCTATCAGCGTACACTGGGAACATTGGGAGATGGCGCTGAGCCGGGGGCACCCGTTTGGCGTCTGTATCTGGACCATCGATCAGCCCTCTGCAACAGGGCGCCGGAGCAGTGCCCTCAACGGTCTATCCCACTCCTGGTCTGAGCAGCGGCCCCTCATCCATCCCACTACCAAACGTATCCGGATCTACAGCAGCCCTGTCATTCAAGCTCCCCAACAACGACGCCCATCGTTACATGACAGCCTTCCTCATCGACAACGTCATCCAAAGATTCAACATTGGCAACTACATCCCCATCGGCTTTCTACCACCCTTCATGATGACTGGCACTCCCGTCAACTCACTCGAGGAGGCCTTGGACCCGAAATTGGGGTGGTTCTGGAGTGAAGAAGATGTGCTTCGGGTGACGGAGGTTCTAGCGCGGGAAGCGTTCGGGACGAAGAATCTGGATGGGCTGTTGATGCACTACCTCAGCGACGTTGTTGGATCGCCCCATGATGAAGCGGCAGCTGGGAGAGTGAGCAGTCTTCATCCTCAGAATCGGGTGGAACTCGGGTCGCTTGCGGTGAACTGTTGGATGGACGAGCTGCTTGGGATGTATAGGGAGAAAAGCGTGGAAAAGATAGGGACGATGGACGATTGGAATGAGAGGGAGAGATATATGTTGGAGGCGAGGAGAAAGATCGTGGATAGTGTGAGTAGGGAACTGGTTCTGAATCGAAAAGTGGATTAAGCAATCGCATTCGGGAGTAATATTTTGGTCAAGGGAGTGTACATCTAGGCTGGCAATACATCAAGTTTCTTTACGCGTTTGCGCATGTATCTCGTCACATGTTTGAACAGCGGATGCGGAAGCTAGAGTTTCAATGTCTTATCATCAGCAAGGCCAGCTGTAAGGTGCTCAAGGCCGGCACGCCTTCACACATAGTGCCCTTCGCAAGATCTAGTGTTGGAGGAACCATAAGACGCGAGCGGATTGCATGCGGAATGTTGATCTGATCCGCATCTTCTTCCCCCCGCCCTACCCAGGCTCGTTTTCATGGTCTCTCCCGCGTATTCTTTCACATTATCTAGCCCATTGTCACCTCGACCTTACCCTCGCCACATGTCCCAAGCACACAAACGTTGCTCTTGCGTCAACGCCAGCACTTTTTCAGTTCCCGACTACGAGATCACATCTCTATCTCGCCTCCCCTCCGAGCTCCAAATCCTTGTCTACGCCTTCTTAGCGACAGGTACCTGCAATACACATACACTCACCCTCTCCCGACTTTCAAAATCTCACTATGTCGCACTTATCCCTCGTTTATATAAGTGCATCGAAGTGACGGACGAGATCATCGATAGAGGCTTGTTCGATGGTCTTTTGGCCGAGTCTGAACATTTTGGGACGCATTCCGGGAAGCGGCCCTTGCCCAGTAAAAGTGACCTGCTCGAATACTGCGAGTCGCTGGTTTTTCATTCCGTGTCCACCTGGAATGCCGTTAATGACGCCTTCGAGGCTTGGGGGATGGAGGTGGATGACCGCCGCCAAAAAGGGATCGTACCGCGCAGGGTCTGCAGCCTCCTTAACAACATTGTTCATCTGGCCTACGAGCCTGACTGCATTGAGGAGATTCGCCAGGCATACATCCCCTTTGCGAAATGGGAAAGCGTTGTATTTCCGGAGCCTTTCAAACGTCTGTTTTCGTCTTCCTCATACTCTTTCTGGTATTGATGAGTCTGACGTGACGCGGAGTGATTTTCGGAATTACCTGCCGAACTTTGGACCATGGGTATCCGGGACCGTGACTCGCTTCCACAACTGCAGTCCTAATCAGCAGATGGCAGGCCTGCTGGAGGCGCAAGGATGTATCTGGACATGACGCCTACACAATTGATAGATGAGCACGTAGATGTGTTGGAACAGCAAATCGACAACATGGTTGCATTTTGCTTCAGCGTCATAACCGATTGGGACGAGACTAAGTGAGTTCTGTTCGCCCGTTCTTGTTGGAGAAGGACCATCACCTACATCATGGCCCGGCGCAATCTAACATGGGCTACAGCCTGTCTATCCTCCACCCAGGAGGTATCATCTTCACCAATTTTGGCACCTTCCTCTCCACCCGCGGCTCCATTCTCTTTTGCGCCCCATCGGATCGCCTACCGGGTGTTTCATATAAGGCTCAGAGCCAGATCCGACAACGTGTACGAGCGGCCCTGGAAAAGGGAGCCCCGGTAAAAGTAGGAATGGAGGATTTGATCCATGTGCGAGGTTATGAGGAGTGCCGCTTTTGCTCGAAATTCTTTCACCGATATTTGAAAGGGATTAATGATTCTGAAGGGGACGAAAAGGCACTGAGACGATCTTGGCAAGCGCGCGAGGACAGACGCGAAAGTCGTCAGCAGAAGGAGAAGACAGGATCATTCGTTTGACTGATCGCTCGATCGTCCTGTATCGATACGCGAGATTGCAATCAGTATGGTCTATTCAGTGTTTTTCATAGTCCTGGGTGATGTTCTTTGAACAATTATATGTATCGGGGCGTAATAAAGTTTGTCATGCCTCATGGCGGTCATGCTGCTCATGCACAATCCAAGGTCTGCAGCGCAATTCGTAACATCGGCTGCCCGAATCCCAGGCACGGTGCCTTCCCGCGAAACGGGTTCTTGTTTTGCCGTGGAAAGCACGAACATGATCGCAATCAATTCTCCTCTTTTCCATTCCATGCGTCACCTGTGGGATCTGATTCCGTCCAGTCTCGGCTCCCATTTTCCTCGCAAAAGACCGAGCATTAACGGCTGAGGTACGTAATAGTATACTATTGAAGTCTAATGATGGTGCCTTGGCTGATAAGTGAGCACGACAGAGCAGGCAACGTGCAAAGTCATGCACTAGCGTCGAAAACTGACTTATCACTCATCGACGAGGCTCTGCCGGCTGACACCATCTGTCGTATCTGTGCGGCTGCTGACGTTAGTCTGCTTACTTTCGATGGATCCCATTTGTCGGCTGTGATGTGTCGTACCCCACCGCTCGCCCTGCTCTTGGTCTGGATACCGCCATCTAGTTGTGTCGGTGCGGGACGCGAGGTATCCTTGATCTCGTTCGCTTGCAGCTTTACTGATCAATACTCAGACGGCAGTCAACTGAGTATTACCTGTCCCCTAGCAATCCTTGCGTCATTCCTCTTTACAAATGCCTCACAGCTCAGCCAAGACATCCTCCAGACTCATTCATACAAAATTATCTCTCTTCCCAATGGCCATCTTTTCCCCACAAGCAGAATATCGAGCTCAAAATGTCATTCTTATCATACGACGAGAAAAAGGACGTCTCCCCGCCCCCGGTCTACCCCATCCTCCCGGCAGGACAGGAAGACGACGTCGCTCGCCCTGAGTACTTTGTCGACAATGATCTCAAGTTTGTTGGCGAGCAGGGTGGTAACGGTGCGCAAGCAACCTACCAAGATGCTTATGGTGCGCCAGTGGAGGGTAAGAACCCGTTAGGCTACAGTGTGGGATGGTGGTCGGCGTTGTTTCTCAACGTCACGATGCTGATTGGAACTGGTATCTACTCTTTCCGTGAGTCATTATTCTTTCTGTAACTCATGCAGAGGCTGACCATTACACTAGCATCTTCCCTGTTGAAGAACCTCGGCTCTGTCGGTCTCGCCCTTTGCTACTGGCCCATTGGTCTCCTCATCTCTCTCGCTGGTATCTCCGTTTACCTCGAGTTTGCATCCTACTTTCCCTCTCGATCTGGTGCCGAGGTCGTCTACCTTGAGCAAGCCTTTACGAAGCCGAGGTACTTTTTCCCTATCGCCTTTGCCATCCAGACAGTCATTTTGTCTTTCGTGTCTAGCAACGTGATCGGTGAGTTGCCGTGTCTGTCTTTGCTCCAGACATGCTGACAGTGTTTTAGTCGTCGCTCAATACATCTTTCGAATGACCGACCACAGCCCTACCGACTGGGAATCCAAAGGTGTCGGAATCGCGGTCCTCACTGCTTGTACTCTGCGTACGTCCTCGCCAGCCCTGCCTTCACTTTACTGACCCATCTACAGCTGTCTGGCTCAGTACTAACGCGTCTCTCCGTATCTCCAACACCCTCGGTGTCCTCAAGATCATCACCCTTCTGCTCATCATCATCCCCGGCTTCGTCGCCCTCGGCGGCGGTTTCAAAGCCGTCCCCGAGCCTACAGCCAACTTTCACAACGCCTTCGAGGGCATGTCCTCCAATGGATACAACCTCTCCAATGCGCTCGTCAACATCATCTTTTCTTATGGCGGTTACACCAACTCGTTCAACTTGGCGAATGAGATCAAGAACCCTATCAAGACTATCAAAAGGACAGCGAACACTGCGGTCATCTTTGTCGCCATCCTGTACATCTTGACCAACATTGGATACTTTGCAGTCTGTAAGTCATTTTCCCCTTCTTTCTCATTCACGGTTAACAAAAGCGCAGTGACCAAGTATGAGATCACAAACTCCACCCAAGTCACCGCCAGCGTCTTTTGGGAAAAGATCTTTGGCTCTAAAGCCGCCAAAGGTCTTACTATCCTCCCCGTCCTCTCGGCTGCTTCCAACATTGTCACCGTCATCGTTGGGCACTCTCGTATGATCCGTGAGATTGGTAGGCAAGGTGTTCTGCCCTGGCCCAGATTCTGGGTATACACTTGGCCCTTTGGGACACCCACTGGGGCGTTGATCACGATCTATATCATTTCCTTCATCGTCGTCGTGGCGGCCCCTGCTGGAGATGCTTTCAGTTTCAGTACGTTTCCCTTCTTCCAACACTATTTTGCTCGAAATCTGACATCCCCATCAGTCGTCGCTCTTTCCAACTACCCCTCATCCTTCTTCCTTGCCCTCATGACCGTCGGTCTGTTCGTCATCCGCCGTCGTAGGGCAAGGCTCAACTTGCCTCCTTCCGAGTACCGCTCGTGGACGTTCGTCGTTCTGTTCTTCTTGGCGAGCAACATCTTCTTGCTGGTCATGCCTTGGGTGCCTCCTCCCGGCGGTCTCAATGGAGGCAGTTACTCGTTCTTCTACGCTTCGAGTAGTTTGACTGGTATCGGAATGTGAGTCCCCTTCCCTCTCCCCATCTGTGATCCAGGACGACGCTGACAAGGAAATAGCATCGCTACCTGCGCTCTCTACTTCTTCGTCTGGACTCGCTGGCTCCCCAAATGGGGCAACTACCAGCTCCGCCAAACTGTCGTCACCTTGCCAGATGGGGCTGTCACGCACCAGATTATCAAGGTGAAGAATGATGAGGTGGATGCTTGGGATGTGAAACATGATATTGCGGGGAGGAGCTTGGATGAGAGGGAGGCGGATGCTTAGATCGCGGGGATTGAGAGGTCTGATGGGACTTGGAGGCTTGATGGTTCTGGTGTTCCGGTATAATGGTTGAATAGCATGATCGTAAGAAGTTTGTTTGGGATTGTCTTTGTGGCACGAGTATGGTATCGTATTTGGGTATCTCGGGGTATCTGTTGTTATGTTGCGTTGCAATAGTCTAATGAAAATCTTGTTTCAGTACATATGATACTCGTCCATACCCAGATGCCTGTATGATTACTGTACAAATGATGCCGATATATCTGTCGATGATGCTGGTCTTGCATTCCCTCCTGCTCCCTTCATATACCCTGCGCATGTCTCTCGGGCCTGAGTATTACTCAGCAGCAGGTCCACTCCCACCCTTATCAGCAACATCATCCAACGCCCTCTTTGCCATCTGCGCGAGGATATCAGGCCGGTCGGCAAATTCAATAAGTCGAAGGCGGAGGGCGTAGCAGACTATCACCTCGTCAGTCACATGTCACTTCCAAAAGTTGTGAAAAAGGCGGTGGGAACGCACCTTTCTCGATCTTCTCCAAGGAGCGTTGGGTCTCGTCTTGTTTCTTTGAGAGTTGCCTGAGAGAGTCGGGGTTGATGGCGTCAAAGTCTGGCCTTTGTCTTAGTATTTTGCGAGGCGAAAGGGGAAGGAGAGAGGGACGTACGGGTTTTGACTGTTCGGACGAAGTCGCAGACTGCTAACGGTGTTTCGTGGTCGCCAGTACCCAGAGCTACGTTTGATCAGCAGGAGCAGGAAGGTGAAAAGTGGGAAAATGGGGCATACCGTTGGTGGCGTATCGCATGAGCTCGCCGGTGAGGTCAGACATACCGAGGATGTAGTCTTCTGGTGTGACGACGAGGTACTACACCGGTGGTCAGCAGACAGCAGAGGCGTTGAGAGAGGGATACGTACCGGCTGGCCGTTCTCATCAGACACGGCCTTTTGGACATCTTCGAGAGAGACGAGGCTGCCGTGTTCGAGATACCACATGAAAGAGAGACCTTCGATGTACTCTTCTAGTCCAGGTGTACTTCGAAATGTCAGTTACGATCTCCGCATGTTATTGGAGTTCTGTACTCACACAGACTTTCTCCACTTCCAGAAACCCCACTCCCATCCATCCTCTTCCTCTTCTTCCCTGACCTCCCTCTCCTCCTCACCCTTTCCACCCTTTCTCATCCCACTTCGCTTATTCGCCTCCCGCAGCTTATCTCTGATCTGCCCAAAAAGCAGCGCAATCTCTCTCTCCTTACCTTTGCCTTGTTCGAGATTCTTCTGACGCTGGGCAGAGGTGGGCAGGGTGGCACCGCGGTGAAGGTGGAAGATGAGTTTCTTGGAGAGCTGGGTGATGGAGCGGGAGAGGATTATCAATGATTCTCTGAGAGCATTCTGGTTGGTGTCAGTGCTTGGTAGCAAGCGGAGAGAAAAGGACAGACTTCATCGTCGAGCTCGGCTCGGTAGGCTTCGAAGGTCTGGGCGAGGTGCTGCTTCCTTGAGAAGTGGGAGAGATGGGAGCTCGATGGTTGAGATATAGCAGCGGCCATGGTGACGGTATGATCTGCTTGAACGCGAGAAGTCTAGTTTAATTGTGGACTTGAAGTGAACTAGAATGCAGAGAGAGAAAGTGGAGGTGTTGAGACGACGCGGCGTCCGCCGAAATGGTTACGTAAAGCAAAAAGTCGGGACGAATGAATCTGCGAAAGCGCCAAAGTTGTGAGTTGTTGATTTCCACCGCATCCAACAGCCCTCTTGTCGCCCACGCCCCGACTATCCGGTCCCTAGCATCCCCCGACTAGCTCAACCTCGACTCATCTCGGCCATATAAAAGCGAATCTTCGGGCAACAGTACGCAAGAGAGGGCCAAGATGAACTGGGTCGAGGTGGACCAACAGGACAAGCAATATGTTTCGTCTGATGTCCCTCGGAGAATGTAAGTGATGGCTTGCATGTATGGGATGCTAATGACTTTGTTCAGAAAACATATTCAATTTCAGCCTTTGATCCCCAAGGATATCGTTCGTATCTCCGAGGTCCAGGTCAGCGTTGCCGAGCTGTATCAGAACAACGAAGATGGAACGAGGGTCACTGCGACACAAGGACCTTTAGATCCGCGTATGGTGAGTTGATCCAGCTGTTGATTCGATCTCAAAAGCTGAAAAACGCGAAGGGTCCGAATGAGAAGGGCAAAAAGTGCGCGACTTGTGGTGAAGAAGCGGCCAAGTGTGTAGGACACTATGGTTACATCAAGCTGGTGCTGCCAGTATTCCATATTGGATACTTCAGGCCCACTATCAACATGCTTTCATGTGTCTGCAAAGTGAGTGTCGTCCCAGCTCCATTCGATTGACTCTGACAGAATTCCAGACCTGCGCCCGAGTACTTCTTCCTGCCGGCGAAAGAAGCACCTTCCTCAAACGATTCCGTCGTCCCAATCTCGAATCCCTCCAACGACAATCGGCAGCCAAAGCCGTGCTCGCCGCTTGTAAAAAGGTTAACATCTGCCCCTACTGTACCGCTCCCAACGGTGTCGTCAAAAAGTCCGGGCCGCTCAAGATCAGCCACGAACCCTATCGCGCAGCCAAGATGGCGAATATGAAGGACGAGTGGATGGCGACGTTCAAGAGCGCCGTAGCGGAGAATCAGGCGGTGGCGACGCATTTGAGCAAGGCGGTGGATGATCTGAATCCGTTGAAAGTGTTGAATCTGTTTGAGAGGGTGACCGCGGAGGATTGCGAGTTGTTGTCGCTACATCCGGAAGTTGGTCGACCAGAGGACTATCTCTGGCAGTACATTTCTGTACCTCCACCTTGTATCAGGCCCTCTGTTGCTTCAGAGGCTGGAAAGTGAGTACAGATATGTTGTATATGGGCTGAATGCTGACCTGGACCAGCAACGAGGACGACTTGACCGCCAAGCTCGCAGAAATCGTAAACTACAACAACACACTGGCGTTGATGATGGATCTCGGTCGAGGTATTGAAATGATCTCCGTAAGCTCAACAATTGTACGTGACGCGCTCCGCTAACACTTCATAGTCAAACTGGGAAGTTCTAGGCCAAGCTGTGGCCTTATACATCAACTCTCAGGCCCCCGGTATGCAAGCCGTCGGCGGCAAGCCCATCCGTGGCTTCGTCCAACGTCTCAAAGGAAAACAAGGTCGTTTCCGAGGAAACCTTTCCGGAAAACGTGTCGACTTCTCCGGCCGAACCGTCATCGGTCCCGATCCTAATCTCCGTATCGACGAAGTCGCCGTCCCCGAAAAAGTCGCGGTCAAACTCTCTTACCCAGAGAGGGTGACGGATTACAACATGGAGGCGATGCGGCAGGCGGTTATCAATGGATCGAGGCTGCACCCGGGAGCCAATGTGTTGGAGAGGAAGATGGATAACGGGGGGACGATGCGGATTGCGATGCATGTGATGAAGGAGAAGGAGGCGAGGATTAGGTGGGCGAGGGATTTGCAGATTGGAGATGTCGTGCATAGGCACGTGAGGGACGGAGAGTAAGTCAACTTAATGCCGACAGAAATGGGGCGCTGATACAACGCAGTATTGTTCTTTTCAACCGACAACCGTCACTGCACAAGCTGTCCATCATGGCTCATAGAGTGCGAGTCCGTCCTTGGCGTACGTTCAGGTTGAACGAGTGTGTTTGTAACCCCTACAACGCCGATTTCGACGGTGATGAGATGAACTTGCGTAAGTCGTGCTTCCGAATGCAAGATTTACCCGCTGACTTTTCTCTAGACGTTCCTCAGACCGAAGAAGCTCGAACTGAGGCTCTCGAACTCATGAACGTCAAGAAGAACTTGGTCACTCCCCGTAATGGCGAACCCATTATCGCTGCCATTCAAGATTTCATCACCGCCTCCTACCTCCTCTCCCGCCGTGACCGGTTCTACGACCGCCAACAATTCACTCAAATTGCCTCCTATCTCGGAGACGCGAACCTGAAGATTGAGTTGCCCCCACCTACCATCTGGAAGCCAGAGAGGCTATGGACCGGAAAGCAAATCTTCAATCTGCTAATGAGGCCGAACAAGGATTCGAAGGTGCTTGTCAACTTGGAAGCCAAGTGTCGAACGCAGCATGACCCCGCCAAGGAGGACCGTTTCCCGCCAGACATGTCTCCGAACGATGGGTACCTCGTGATCCAAAATAGCGAGATCATGTGTGGCGTATTTGACAAGAATACGGTCGGAGACGGAAAGAAGAATTCCGTGTTTGGTGTCATCTTGCGAGATTACGGAACGGAAGAAGCGGCGAATGCGATGAACCGACTGGCCAAGCTCGCTGCCCGCTGGCTCGCGAACATTGGTTTCTCTCTCGGTATCAACGACGTTATCCCCGGTCCCATCCTCCACGCTTCCAAAGATGCTCGTGTCGAGAAGGCGTACGTGGATTGTGACAACTATATCGAGTTGGCCAAGAAGGGTCTGTTGGAGAACTCGCCAGGATGTGATCAGGAAGCGACGTTGGAACAAAAGATCTCAAAGACGCTTTCAGACGTTCGAGAGGCTGTCGGAAAGACGTGTATGCAGGAGCTGAGTAGGCACAATGCGCCACTTATCATGGCTACTTGTGGTTCTAAAGGTGAGTTCTAGCTCGGTACGGGTAGATCAAGGCTGAGACGTTGCAGGTTCCGTTATCAATGTCGCCCAAATGGTGGCTTGTGTCGGTCAACAAATTATTGCTGGTTCCCGTGTACCCAACGGTTTCCAAGATCGATCCCTCCCCCATTTCCGAAAGAAGTCCAAGAACCCTCCTTCCAAGGGTTTCGTCCGCAACTCTTTCTTCTCAGGTCTTACCCCTCCCGAATTCCTTTTCCACGCCATCTCTGGTCGTGAAGGTCTTGTCGATACTGCCGTCAAGACTGCCGAAACCGGTTACATGGCGCGAAGGTTGATGAAGGCGTTGGAAGATTTGTGTACGCACTACGACTTGAGTGTGAGGAATAGTGTTGGAGGAATTGTGCAATTCCAGTATGGTGATGATATGCTGGATCCGGCGTGCTTGGAAGGTGATGCGACGCCGGTGGAGTATGTTAGGAGTTGGGCGCATGCTCGGGTAAGTCTCGTTTTGGAGACGGATTGGAGCGAGCTAATAGGGACTCCAGAGAATCACAGGAAACAAGGGACGGGCTCTTTACCCCTATGAAGTACGCAAAATTGCCGCCCGAATCTACCCCGAGTCCTACGTCCCGCCTGCACCTCCCACGCCCCCTCCCCAAAACAACCGCCGACGCCAGCGCGCTCCCTCTACTCCTCCACCCCCTCCTGAGATCCCCGCTGTGCCGCAAGAATGGCAAGGGTGCCACTACAAGTTCAGAGAGATCACTTATCAGTTCGTGGTGGACAAGATTGTGAAGCCCATGATGCAGCAGAGGTTGATGAGAGGGCTACCGGATGCAGATGATGAGGAGATGGCCGAAGAGTATGAGTCTTTGCTCAACTCGGATGACCGTAAGTCGACCGCTCCTTGGTAGTAGGCGAAACTGACATATATTGGTAGCTGCTGTGTCGCGAGTGCTCGAAAACGCCAACAAGGTCACTGAAGAGCAACTTACTTCGTTCCTCGAGAATTGTCGTATCCGTTACCTCCGTGCCAAGATCGAGCCCGGTTCTACCGTCGGTGCCGTCGGCGCTCAGTCTATCGGTGAACCCGGTACCCAGATGACCTTGAAGACTTTCCATTTCGCTGGTGTCGCTTCTATGAATGTCACTTTGGGTGTGCCTCGTATCAAGGAGATTATCAACGCCGCCAAGGTCATCAGTACGCCGATCGTCACGGCCGAGTTGAACATCCCTGAGAGCGAGACGGCGGCAAGGATCGTGAAGGGACGTGTGGAGAAGACTATATTGGGAGACGTGAGTGGTGATGCGCGATCCGTGAATGGTTCAGCTGATATATTATAGATTGCGTCGGTGATTGAAGAGAGTTGGACGAACGCAAACGCATACATCGAGGTCCATATCGACATGGACGCTGTACGTCGTTTGCAGTTGGAGGTTACCCTGGAGTCAATCAAGTGGTCATTAGTACGCGCCAGTAAACTCAAGATTCCAGAAGGAGTAAGTTATTATTCTCGCCTGTCAGCACCATCCCTAATATGGTTTTCTAGTCTATCCACATCTCCAACAAGACCAGCCGAGTCCGTCTATGGATCGACGAAGTTGACAAGGACAAGGGCAACGGTATCTACGAACGCCTGAAATTCCTCAAGCGGGCCATCCCGTCTGTCCAGATCAAGGGTCTTCCCGGCGTCGACCGTGGTGTTGTCTCCAAAGACGAAAAGAATGACGCCTACCACCGCCTGCTTCTCACTGGTTACGGTCTCTCCGAAGTCATGGGTACCGAGGGTGTCAACGGTCTCATGACCAAGACGAACCACGTCATGGAGACTCAGCAGGTCCTGGGTATTGAGGCGGCGCGACAAACGATCTACAACGAGATTCAAACGACAATGCAGTCACACGGAATGTCGATTGATCCTCGACACGTCATGTTGCTGGGAGATGTCATGACGTACAAGGGAGAGGTGTTGGGTATTACGAGGTTCGGCGTGCAGAAGATGAAGGATTCAGTGTTGATGTTGGCGAGTTTCGAGAAGACGACGGATCACTTGGTGCGCCCCTTCATTCGTCTAGTTGCCGTTCGAAAAGCTGACTTGCCTGCAGTTTGATGCTTCGCTGTTCTCCAAAAAGGACGAGATTCAAGGTGTCTCTGAGTGTATCATCATGGGTACCCCAGCACCTGGATGTGGTACTTCCTTGGCCTCCATTGTTACCCCCGCTCCGCCTCTGCCGGCGAAGAGATCCTTGTTGTTCGAAGCGGCGTATAAGGCGGGACAGAGTCGATTAGCGGCGGGGATGGCCGTGGCGATGAGATAGACATAAAGAACAGGGAAGTTTCGGCCGCTTTTGACTCGTTTTCCTCCTTATTATATAGGGCTCTTCGATAATGCTATTCATGACATACATCCTTGGTTACTTGGGGCACTGATTGAGTCTATTCTGAAGCTCAGGGTGCAGTGTGTCCTCGAGTACAAGCACTACGCGGCAATTTGACAAGCTTCTCCATCATCATGTTCTTTCTGTTGACAAGCACGCGCACGTTTCCTGTCCATCCTCAGCGATCGCTGCAACATATTGGTTCGGCAGCAGCCATTCCCCTTGCTCAATCAAGCGAGGGGCCTTTGGACAGAACTCGCACGCCTCGTCACCCCGAACTTGGATCATATCCTCCACTCAACATCCCTTCCTTACCGATGTCCTTCCCCCATCGTCGCAGCTCCTCCGCTGTCCCCTTCGATGTCATTCCCCCGCTGGAGAACACAAGGGGGAGGAATCCGCCTCTCGCTATGAGGGGTGCTTCATTGGTGGTTTGCTCGCCTTTCCTGTCGAGGGACCTGATGCATTGTCGGAGGACTATTGGGAGGTGGGGGGTGTCGGGGGCAGTGGACCTAGTACCTTCTGTCCATGCGGTTCAAGAAGACACGTGAACATATATACATAAGCATGCTAAGCTTTCTGATCCACACGTCCGACAAGAAACATCAAACATCACTATGCGACTCTGCCCTCATACACTCGCCACCAGTCGCCACTCATGTCCCTCTTACTTCGTCTTGCAGCTCCTGGAGTGCATCCTCCGCAACCTTCTGTGCGCTTCCCTCTGCTTTTTGGACCGCCGAACTCATAAGCTCCCCTCTTCTCTCCAAACGCCTTGTAGCCCTTGTGTAGTCTTCCTCGACCTCCTTCGTTATCCCTGAAAGCTGAGCATTGGCTGAAAGAAGCGCCAATTCTTGCTGCCTAGCAGGGCCATCGATACCCTCTTCGTTGGAATAGTCGCGGAGCAAAGTTTGGTATGCACTTCTGTGAATGGCACGGTAGATATCCTTGATAGAAGGTGCGTGATGGTCGTATTTGGGCGGAAAGAGGTTTCCATCACGCGCCCTCTATCAAGGATATGTACCGCGCCATTCACAGAATTGCATACCATGTTATGCTCCGTGACTACTACAACGAAGATGGTATCGATGGCCCTGCTAGGCAGCAAGAGTTGGCGCTTCTTTCAGCCAATGCTCAGCTTTTAGGGGTAATAAAGGAAGTCGAGGAAGACTAGTGGCTGGACGCAGTATGTTGGTAGGCAGGGTCGGCGTTGCTGATCTCGCTCTGTTGCGACCCCATGGGAGCAGAAGAGGAGAAGTCAGAGAGCAGGCGTCGTTGATTGACTTCTTGCGCCGTTGGCCGATGGCCTAGAGCTTGTTGACTGGTGCCACTCCTCGCAGATCTTTCGCCGTATCCGCCGCCTATTCCCATGCCTAGACCGCCACTATTCCGAAGCTGCTGAGGGTATTGCTGGGTAGATCGGGAGCTCGAAGAGGGTCCTGCCGGTGCCACACCCGACGAGTCATGGGTGGGTATGACGTGACCGCCACCAGCATGAGCGTTGTCCGGGGCAGGATAATCCATAGGGTCGGCATGGGGCGCGGGCGCAGGAGGCAGGATGCGAGACGAGAATCAGGGCTCGGGCCGGTGTAAAGTACGTTTTCGGTCTTTCAAACCGCGTTACCGCGAGCGAAGACTCTCCCCGGCACCTGAAGTGAACTTTACTGGGTAAACGAATTCCCGCCAAGTTGCCAGCTCGTCTTCAGTGAGCATGTCGGCACCTCGGTAGAGGGTGCCTCAGTCGAATAATGCCTGATTATCCTGGGGCACCTGGTCGTTGAGATCGGGTTGGGGGGGCATGGTGGCGGTGCGATTCGAAGGTTCGTCGCTCCTCTGCCGCGCAGTTAGTATAGGTGCCGGGGGGTTGGGGTGTGGATAAGGGCGAGGAAGTGGCGGATGGGACGCACCGTTTGTGGAGAGGCGTCGAAGTGGCGTGGAGAGGAAGAAGAAGAAGAGACACAAACAGGCAGAGGCCTGATTTGACGCGCCTTGATCAGGTACGGGCGCACCGTATTCTGCCATCATAACGTGACGCGCTCATTCTCTGTAGCAGTCACTGTTGAGACGATCATGCATGTCAATACAGAACTCGAGGACCATGCTGTACATGGCTCATGTCTCTTTGCATGCCAAGCATGACCAAAAGATTCTATCCCCATCATTGCATCCAAGAGAACATCACTCAACATGGCTTGTTTGAAGTGGCGTAAAAGGCTGGATAGGGTCGATTAGTCTTGGAGATGACTATGGAGTCGAGATAGAGGTAATTTACAATGCAAGTTCGGACGCTTATCACTTCATTCCCTCCTGATGATATAGGGCTCTTCAGTAATGCTATTCATGCCATAATATACACGATGTCTTGTATGAAGCCGAGAGCGTTTTCTGTACTCGTACTCGGTGCGCACGATATCACGAGACAGCTTGACAATCTATAATATATAAGCTTCTCCCTCATCTTCTTCGCTCACGACAGGCACATCTAGATCAGTCACCATAAGGTGTGGGCGGATGCGGTAGCCAAGCTCTGTATTAGCGAGATCATCTTGAGAGCAGACTGGCGGATAAGCCTCGGTGAAAGAGCCATTACTACTCTGGACCAACGAGCACCATCCAGGAGCAGTATCAGCTCCCGTCTTCTCTTGAAGTCGACCCTTCCATACCATCCTTCTTCCCTCCATCTGACTTTGCCCCTTATGCCTCAGGCGGGCCTCAACAAAACGACGTACGACAGGCAATCCTAGGCGCACCGCAAATGCAGCAGCCTCATGGTCCGGACATGGGCGTGATTGAAGGCGGTCATGAGGCGAAAACCAGGGACGAGCTTTAGAGCTTTATGGGAGATGCGGGAATATTCAAGGAGGGATCTGTAGGGCGTGCCAGTCGTGCTCAGCAGCCGTCGACCGCACAACAGCTCTACCAGCAAGGTTCCCTTTCCGGCCCGGTCCAGCCATTTACCGGGCTCGACCATCAACAAGCTTCTTCCTCCACTTGGGCAGCGCAGTACGCACCTGAGTGGCTGGCACCTCAGCAGGGGTTGCAAGCCCTGCCCGGTTGTACAAGTCGCCTTCGCCACCGACGCTTGGATCGATGTCTGCCGCAGACGTCGCGAGGGCAAACAAGGAACTTGGGTATCAGATCGGCCCCCACTATGGACGCACCACCCAACCAGACCTATTCCCAATTAAGCTCACCCATCGAGAAGGTACGATGTGGAACAATTACCTCACCATCCATCGATCCATATTTCAGTCGATGCTCGACTACTATCGCAAGGAAAAGGGTCTCCTTTCCACTTTCTTCTGAAGTACTGAGATCCGCCAGTCCCCATGGAGGAGCGCCAGCTCCTGTTGCATGGCGAGACAACCCTCCGTACCCTCTTCCTTGCGATAGTAGTTGAGCTTCAACTGAAATATGGAGTGATGTATCGCGAGATAGTCGTTCCACATCGTACCTTCTAGATGGGCGAGCTTAATTGGGAATAGGTCGGGTTGGGTGGTGCGTCCATAGTGGGGGCCCATCTGATACCCAAGTTCCTTGTTTGCCCTATCGAAGTCTTCGTCAGACATCGATCCACGCGTCGGTGGTGAAGGCGGCTTGTAGCCGGGCAGGGCGTGCGAACCCTGCTGAGGTGCCAGCCTACTGCCAGGAAAAGGTATGACGGATTGGCGGACGCTCGTTGGGAATTGAGCAGCTGTCGGTGGGGATTCGGAATGGCCTTCTTGGGCCATAGACGAGGCGGAAGCTTCACCCGTCCCGAAAACAACGGCAGTACTGGATGCCGGTGTTGATTTGAGGCGGCGGCTGGGAAGCTGCAAAAGACTGGTGGTTTTGGTAAAGAGCGTCAGCTGGTACACTCGCCCTCATGCACGAAGGTCTCAAATCATACTTACGCGATCCACCGATTCCTTCATCACTCTCATAGTCTCTACAAGCCATGGTGAATCGGGGTCTTCGGGGTCCACGGGGCTGACGGGCGCGCCAACCGACAGTTCGCCCTGCTGTGCTGTTTCATCACCGGCGAGAGAGGCGGTGTTAGGGTTGGGATGTGAGGACGAGGGCTGGGGGACAGGAGATGGGGGGCGCTGCTGGTTGGATTCGGCCATGGTGATTGAGTAACGGTGGTGAGGAAAGGCAGAAGAAAAAGACACAAACATCCGGGACGCGCCGTCGTCAGGTGCGGGTTGCACCGTGTTTCAGGTTGTTCAATATCGAGGTGCATTGCATCAGCCCATCTCCCCAATCCTTAGGGCGCATTAAGATCATAGTGTAGGCTGATGACAGCGCTAGAATGATTACATATCTCGGTCACGTTGTCCGTACACTCTGAGCATGTCAAAAAGCTTGTATCGTACCCACACCTAGACGAACATCACTCAACATGGCATATAGGAAGACTGTTTCGAGCCTGCGTTCACCTGATCCACTGTGCAGGCATATGTGCCATGGCTTCAAGTGGATGAGCGGCATAGAACCCTACAAGCTTCGAAATAGCTAGGCGGTGGAGATTGCGCTCGGTAAAGAGGATGTTTGGGCGAGTAGTGCATAGGGCCGGTGTAAGTATATGGAAAGAGGCTTGTCCAGCCGAGTTGTCTATAATGTTGGCACTGCAGGAGAGGACAGCGACTCAGTCTACTACTCGGATGGCCTTATGTCCTTGACCTCTTTCCGTGCATGGACGCTCTAAGTTTGATAGCATAGAGTACCTCTTCGCCCACCCGTATGTTGGCTGACCACTTGAATTTGGTCCCGTCGAAGAATCGGAGTTCCGAGGAGGTGTGCGAGTGTATTCGTTCTTGCAATTGTTGTGATCCCTTTCTCCGCAGACATTTCGCCTTGCAAGTATTCTGTCCTCCTAGTCCTCTCGCATGGCCATCTCTCCCGCCCCCAACAACACACTCCAAGCGAGCCCTCCTCCGGGGAATGTGGTCCAACAGCCGCCTCTCCCATCTCTACAGGCGTGCTATCTTGGTGCCGTCGACAGCTATCGCCCCAGTTTGCCTGTGACCGATTTGCTAGATGTGGATACCGTGAGTCGAGTATCAAACCTGATGGGACGGTAGAGCCTGACGACAGTATAGCGTCTCGAAGCCTCCCTTTCTATCACCACTGGCCACAACAACACCGTCACACCCACCAGCGCCATTCCAACATCTGTCATCCACTCTCCGAACCAAGCTTCTCCCATGCTCTACATTCCAGATAGACTCTCCACGCCCTCTGCGTCCGCCAAGAAACCTTCGATACACCGCCTTGGAGCTGCAAAACAGCCCGGCCACAGGCCAATTCCCTACAACGTCAATGAGAGCCCAAAGAAGAAGAAGAGTGTAGCCCTGCAAAAGTCTACGGTGGCTATGGACACTGGTTCCAAGGAGGATGATGGAATGGAAGTAGACCCTCCGTGTGCGAGTGATGGTATCGAAATGTCGAACGGGGGCGGAGGAGGAGGTGGAGGAGGCGCCAACAAGACGCCGTTAAGGCACGCGAAATCAATGGTCAATATGCCTGTCCGCCCTCCTTCTACTCGTAAATCACCTCCTGATCCGAATGGAGATACTAGACCACCACCTCCCTTGACCTCCCACCAATACGATCCCTTTTTCGCTCAGATAAACGAATCAGACGTCGGCCGTTCGCCCACTCAGCTCCTCATGGACTATCAAACAGTGGAGTATGTAAATGAAACTGTGATGAAGATCCCGAACATCAAGGTCGAAGCGGGGAAAGCTGCTAGCTCTTCGAACGGTGCCGACAATGGTGGTGGCATTACGGGTTTGAGGACTGCTGCTTCCGTGCCCGTGTTCCCTCGTCAGACCGACGATACGCCAGGTCAACGACTCCCAGGTGACAATACCTCTTCTGGTGTACTCGACCCGAATGCCATCCATGCCCAGCACTCGTCTCTATCCTCTTCACCACCGCCAGCTACACAGCTCAACGACAGCTCCTCATATCCTCCGGCGCTACTACCTCCTCTCAAAATCTCGCCCTTCATCCAAAATGTGCTCCATCACTTATGCGGACTGCACTACAACGCCATGATGGCGGAAAGCCTCTCGACCCTCCACCATCACACAGCTCATGCTCGCTATGATGCCGTAAAGTTTGCCGGCGAAGAGACTCAAATAATTGAGAAACACATCGACCAACGATACCGTGAGGCCAGCGCGCAAGTTCTTTCCAAAGGGTGGTCGCTCAAGGTAGCGCAAAGCATGGGTCAGATGGCAGCTGAGAGAATGGCAAAGTCTATCGAATGGGACGAGGAGCAGAAACAGATGAAGACAAAGTGGGAAAGACTTCAAAATGGGGATCTTACCGACACCACCAACGCCCGAATTCACCCTCGAAGTCTGCATAATCAGCTGCTAGGCTTTACCCTCACCACCCTCCTCGTCCCCCAAACCACTATCGATGTCAACGCTGGACGTTATGCGCATCGAGGCATTGTTCGCTTCGTGGGCAACAGTTTCGGTCCTATCATCACCAACATCCAACAAATGCTCGAGATCCAGACGCTTCAGGATATGTCGGCTTTGAGGCTGCTCGCCTATGAAGTGGCGTGGCGTGTCCACCGTCACGAATGGCTGACTAGTGTTACTACAGTGGCGGAAGGGAAGCAGGTGAAGCTCCCCGAAACGCTGTTTGAGGACGTTGGCAAGGGATTGATGTGCAAGATCATGGAGGCGTTCAATGGTAGAAGAGACGGAGTGTACCAAGATACCGATGGGAAAGGGAAAGTCAATGAAAACAAGCGGGGGCTTGAAGAGTGGGTGTTGAAGGCTGTGAAAGTTTGGAAAACGACGGGAGAGGCGATGCTTGGCAGATATACTGCTGGCCAAATTTGACGAAACACTTTTCCCGTATGATCGCGAGACAAGGACAATAAAGTAATATCATTGTTGTCATGTATAAAGCACAGTATCCTGTACAGATTTGGTGGCCCAGATACCCAAAATGAAGAACAATAAAGCAAACAGCAGAAGATACTTTCACTACTCGTCGGGCATACCCCACCCAGCGCCTCCCGGAGTCTTAATGTTCACCCTATCCCCTTTCCTCAGCTTCACCATCCCGTTACTACCCATGCTGATCGTCTCAAAAGTGCCATCTTCGTTCTTCCTCAGCCACAAGTTCTCTCCTCGGCCAGCGTTACCTCCGCCAGCGAGTCCGAGGGGCGGGAAGACACGACGTTGAGACACGATGGAGCATGACATGGGAATACGGGCTTCGAAGATACGGTCCATGCCCTCGCCTGATCAAGTGTCAGCCACTGAACGAAGGCATGGGATATTATAAAAAGACATACCGCCCTTGAATTTGCCTCGGCCGCCACTGTCGGTCCTGATCTTGATCTGACGCAAGATCACAGGCGCTCTGTGCTCTACAATCTCTGCGTCGGCCAAGCGCGTATTCGTACAGTGCTACACAAAGCCCATCAGCTTCTTGACACAATCAGGAAGCAACGAGACATACGACGTGGGTAGCATGTTGACCACTCCAGCCCGGCCCTGCTCCTGTTCCGCCTCCCAGCGATTCTCCATATGTGAACCCTGGTATCACATTCCCATCCTCGTCCTTTCCTCCGATACCTGCAAGGAACATACATCAGTACCGCACCAGACATTCAAATAGGCCGAGCTCACCGATACCGACAGAGCTCGCGCATCCTTGGGAGCAAGCAGCAGCCTCAAACGCCCGGAGGATGTTGTCAATCAATCGATGGGTACTGATGGTTCCTCCGGATACAGCAACTACGCCTGAGGGGTTGATGATTGTACCGAGAGGGGAGATGATCTTGACAGGGTCCATGACACCTTGGTTGAGGGGCATGGGGATCGTAGCTACGTCCAGATGAGCAACTGCAGCAGGCAACAGATACGATGGACGTACGACTAATCATTGACCGGATGGCGTAGATGATAGCACCGTGAGTGAGGGATGGCGGCATGTTGGTCTGTCACAGATCGTTAGTTCTAGCAAATATAGATAATGGTCAAACATACGTTGCTGTGCGACTGGGGACCGGTACCAGTCCAGTCGAAAGTTGCCTCGCCCTTCTCCCTGTCGATCCTGACTTCCAATCGAATCTCGGTTCCATTGTCCATCTACGACAAATCAGATGACAATTCCAGAAGGAGGCAAAGTGACTCACATAGTCAATAGCTCGCAAAGGCCTCCCGCCAAACTTGTCATACGTCTGCCTGAAGAACTCGTGCACCGTCTCCCTCGCCACAAGTTGGATCTGCTTCATATAGAAGAGCACATACTTTGTCCCGTAATCATCGAATAGCTGCTGCACCAGATTCGCACCTCTTTGGTTTGCAGAAACGGAAGCTTGGAGATCAGTGAGATTGTGGTCGATGCGTCGGGTAGCGCTGTTGCCGGGGAACTTTTCGACCTCGTTGAAAAGCTCGATGACGCCTTCCTCGTCGAATTTGCCTTGGGAGACGAGCTTGAAAGTACCGACGTGAAGACCTTCTTCCCAGAGTTCTTTGGCGATGGGGTTCATAGCCGTCACAGCATTGCCACCGCTGCTGGGAATCAGCATGGTATCGCAAGACGAAAGGACGGCAGACGTACATGTCAGTATGATGCCCTCTGCTCGCAACATAGAACAAGACTTTGGTAGGATCATCAGGTCCAAAGATAGGAGACACAACCGTCAAGTCGGGAAGATGAGTACCTGTAACATAATCAGCCTTATCGTCCAGCGCGTTTGGCAAAAGAACTCACCGCCCCACTGCGGATGATTAGTCAACAAGACATCACCCGGCTGCAGTTTTCCTTTCCAGTGCTCATGCTGCGAAGCCACCGCATACTGCATCGACCCCAGATGAATCGGTATATGTGGCGCATTCGCCACCATCGCCCCATCCAATCCATGGATCGAACACGAAAAGTCCAACCTCTCCTTGATCGACACTGAAATCGACGTGCGCTGGAGGGTATGCCCCATCTGCTCGGCGATGGACATGAAGCGGGAAGCGAAAACACCGAGCATGATGGGGTCGACGACAAAGTTTCCGTCGTCGTCGGTGGGGGTGGGGGTGTGTTTGGAGATTTTGAGGATGACGTGGTCGGAGAGGATAATGGCGCGGGCGGAAGGTTCGACGACGATAGTTTGGGTGGAGTCGACGATAATGGCTGGGCCTTGAACGGTGGAGCCTGAGGTGATGTCGTGCAGAAGGAAGACGGGTGTGTCGTACTTTTTGACATTCCCAGCAGAGTCAAAGTACGCCTCTTGAGTACTGTTTGGAGTAGCACTGAAGATCACAGGAGAACCTTCGGCCTTTGCAAGCTCTCCAGCAAAGTCCTCGGGTGTAGCCTTGAACGACTGTCCCGTCGCGTTCACCCTCAGCCCGGCCAACTTGACCTTTCGCTGGAGGTTGAACGACGTCTCTCTCAGATGCGCCGCAAGGAAGTCGGCTTTGAGGGTATTGGAAGGTGGGAGGTCGAAGATGGTATCGGCACCATCATAGTGTAGGCGAATGATGACGCTGAAAGAGACATCTTGGCTCTTGACACCTTGGTCGACGAGTTGCTTTGCGGTATCGCTTTTGAGCTCCTCGATCCGGGCAGCGATTCCCTTATAAGACTCGGAGGACTCAAAGTCGTCCGTGACTTCGCCGCTGATGGGGGTAGAAGCCTCGCTGGTCAAGTCGGCGCAAGCAATCCCATATGCCGAAAGAAGCGAAGAAAAGCGAGGGATGATGACTGTCTCGATGCCCAGACTGGACGCGATAGCACAAGCATGTTGCCCTCCAGCGCTACGATCAAATCAGCACTAGCCTCCCTGGAAGCATAGAGGAGAGACCCACCCGCCAAAGCAACAAAGGTCATGGGTCGAGATAGCGAACCCCTTCTCTTCCGTCAACTTTCTCATCGGTCTTCCCATCTCCTCATTCGCCACCTTCAAGAACCCCACTGCCACTTCTTGCACCGTATATCCCTTCCCCTCTTTGCCCTTATTAATCTCATCCGCCAAAGTCTCGAACTTGGAGAGAGAAGCAGAGAGGGAGAGGGGTTGGTCTCCGGATGGGCCAAAGATGGATGGGAATTGGGAGACGACGAGACGGCCGAGGATGAGGTTGGCGTCGGTTATGGCTAGGTCGCCGCCTTTGCGGTAACAGGCTGGGCCAGGACTAATCTATGATTAGCCTCTAGTCTATCAAGAGAGTGAAAAGACACGTACTGAGCGCCGACGCTATCAGGTCCAGCAAGGAACATCCCATTCTTGAAATGCAGCCTCGACCCTCCACCTCTGATCCATAACATCAGCACCTTACATCATCTCGAGAGGATCGACGTACGCAGCAACAGTCTCAATAGACAAGTGAGGCGAAGCAATTTTGATATTCGCAATGACCGTCTCATACGCCAAGTCGAAATCACCAGAGAAGCGACAGACGTCGGTGGATGTACCGCCCATATCGAAGCCGATGACAGGTTTGGCTCGGGTGGGGCTGTATGCGGTAAGAGCACAGCCTACGAAGCCACCAGCAGGGCCTGACAAGAGCGCGCTGAGACCTGAGAACCTGCATCCTATCAGTATCATGCGCTCACCGCGGAAGAGAGAGTACTCACTTTTCAGCGGCCACCAAACCGCCATCACTCTTCATGAAGTCTGTCCTCTCTCCGGCTTTGCCACCAGCGAAGTGCGAGTTGAAACCATCTACGTAGGCGCGAAGGACGGGAGAGAGGTAGGCGTCGAGGGTGGCCGAGTTGCCTCGGGGGACGGATTTGATGGTGGGAGAGAGATGGGATGAGAGGGAGATGTGTTTGAAGCCGATTTGGGAAGCGATGGAGGCGATCTTACGCTCGTGGTCTATAGTGATCGTCAGTCATGGATGTTGGGCTGAGTGAAAATGGTACTTACCGGGAAAGGTGTAAGAGTGCAAAAGCACGACAGCGAGAGAGTCAATACCTCTGGCGTGTATCTCTTTCAAGTCTCGCTCTATCTGCTTTTCATCTATTACAGTATCAGCCCCGACGGATGGTCGAGCGACGAAAGTACTCACCAAGTTCTTGTAACACCCTGACAGCCTCCCCACTAACACCCAAAACCACTCTTCCGGGATCATCAGACTCTCCAGCCCTCTTCACCAACTCTTCATGCGACACCGGGTTAGGATCAAGCGAATATCCTTCCATCGTTACTCTCTCCTCTGCTTCAATTATATCCTCCGGACGATAGAGCACATCGGCTTTGCCAGAAATAGACAAGTCGAAGAGGTCGGGTCGGGTCTGGTCGCCGATTCTGAGCAAGTCTCGGAAGCCTTTGGTGACTACGACGGCGAAACGGGCACCTTTGCGTTCGAGGAGGGCGTTGGTAGCGACTGTGGTTCCCATACGAACGGATTCTGTAAAATGATCAGCACGACTCACATAAGATGGTAACCAGACTTACCAATCACTGAGGTGTCTAGCTGAGCATCTTTGGGAAGGGCCTTCCTGTGGATAATCTGCAAAAGTCGCCTTATACCTTCGCTACACGAGTCGTCATAGTTGGCAGGGTCGACGGAAAGAAGCTTGAAGGTGATCTCTACGCCCTCGTCTTTGCCTTTGAGAAGTATATCGGCGTTGCCTAGTAGGTCAAGCGGTACTGGCGGCTGGTAGAGATGTCCGGGGATATAAGCCCAGAGGTCGGTAAACGCTATGCCCGAGTTAGCTCTGGATAACAGATTGATGAGGGGCGACTCACTACCACCTCTGTCAATGGCGACCCGGACACCTGGGAGAGGCTGAGTGAGCTCGACAGTCATAGTCAGCGCGAGAGGTTAGTGATAGAGGAGAGGGAGACATCCTGTATCTATGCTGAATCTACATATGCAGAACAGCCCACCTTGTGGCCCTGTGCCCACATTTCGGATGACTTGTTATGGCGAGATTCAGGGAAAGAGGACATATAAATCCAATCCTGAAAGCTAAGAAGCTTCGGGTCACCGCGGCGAGAACTTATCGGAGAGCGGAGATGGCCGAAAGGTGCTGAAAGCCCACCGAGTAAACTGAAGCCGAGCGTAGCATCTCTGGACCTCATCCTGCTCTTAACATGCGCGTGAGATGATTTATGTCTGCTTGCTTCATCCAACGCACCCAGAATCCATCAAAACCGCCACCGTCGAAGGCCATAAGCTCGTTTGAAGAGCCCATCACGCCATGTTCGGATTCCCGAAAAGCTTATCGTTTCGGCCTCCTCCTCGTCAAATCTTTCCGAAATCGGCAACTAGCAAGGGAACGCCCTTATCTTTCGCCATCGCTCCACATCGGAAAAGGTCAAAACATGGTAGCAGAATGTGGGCTGGTGGGCGAGGGCTCCACTGGCTGGCTCTTGCATATATAAACCCACTTGTTCTCAAGATCCGCCACCTCATCGCTAGACGGCTGTACTGATCTACCATGTCTGGTAACGACTACGTGAGCTCGAAAGAGCCTTCTTCACCCAACACTTCGTCCGACCCTGTGCCGCTACTTGCGCTGCCATCCAAGAAGGGGCCATGGCAGAAGTTTGTCTCTTGGATCTGGGACTCGTAAGTTTCATATTTCCCATACAAACGCCTCAAGCTGAGCATGGTGTCCAGTGACTACTACGAAAAGTCGGATGCCGAGCGCACACTTGTCTTCAAGCTCGACTGCTTCATGCTCACAGCCATGACCCTCGGCTGGTGGGTCAAAAACCTCGACCAATCCAACGCACGTCTCCCTCTCTCCTTGCCACAAATTTACCCTTGCTGACCTTTTCTTCAGCTGTCGCAAGCTTACGTCTCGGGTATGAGAGAGTCCCTCCACATTACTGGGAACCAGTACACCTACATGACGACCATCTACTCTGCTGTCGTCTGCGTCATGCAGATTCCCAGCAACTTTATCGTCCTCAAAGTCCGGCCTTCATGGTTTCTCGCAGCCTCGGAAATCGGGTGGGGTGTATTTACGTTTGCCCAAGCTGGAGCGCAGAGCTATCAAGCCATGTCCGTCCCCTTCCCCTCTTTCCAGGTATAATTACTGAACGTAAAGCAGGTACGGATTCCGATTCTGCATAGCCCTCTTCGAATCCTTCTACTACCCCGTCGCCTTCTTCCTCCTCGGCTCATGGTACACCAAAAAAGAGCTCGGCAAACGTATCTCTCTCTGGTTCGTGGCCAGTCCCGCCGGAAGCGCCTTTTCAGGCTACATGCAAGCGGGGATTTATAAGAGTATGAATGGGCTGCATGGGTTGGAAGGGTGGAGGTGGTTGTATATCATTTGTGGCGTTGTCGTGAGTCTTCTCTCAATTCTCGAAGGAAAGGCCGCTGATAGGAGAGTGGTAGACGATCCCAATAGGATTCCTGATATTCTTCCTCGTCCCCGACTTCCCATCCAACACCAACACCTGGTACCTCACCCCAGCCGAACGCGAGCTCGCCCTCGCCCGCTGCGCCCGAAACGGCACCGACACCGTCTCCTCCAGAATCAAGAAATCCACCATCCTCTCCGCCCTCAAATCCTGGCAATTCCTCATCCTCGTACCCTGGTTCATGCTGCACGGGCTCGAAACCAACAACGGTAGACAATTCGCCAACTATCTCAGAGGCTTTTCGTACTCTGTTTCTGCGCGCAATATTCTGCCGTCGACGATGTACGTTATCCAGATCCCTTGTATCATCTTTTACGCCTATCTTTCGGATAGGCTAGCGAGTAAAGGAAGGGTGTGGGTGATAGCGGCAGTATGCGCTTGGGCGATGGTACCCACTGGCATCTTGGGTCTTTGGGCCCCGAGCGAGGGGGCGAGGATGTTTGCTTTCCTCGCTAATGGCTCTGTGTATGTCACACCGCTGTTTTTTACGTGGGTGGCAGAGCTTTGTCATGGAGAGACTGAAAAGCGGGCTTTCATCACGGGTGCTATTTGTTGTTGGTGGTACTGGTACGTCTCCCTCCCTCTTCTCTTCTGGATCTTCGATAAAAGTAGGCTGACTTGGGGTTTCAGTGTTGACGCGTGGCTCCCTACGATCATCTGGCTCCAAACGGACGGGCCGAGGTTCAAGAAAGGTTTCCTCACTTCTTTCTGCGCTGCGGTGTTTGCTTTTGTAGGGGTGTTTGTCATCCAGTTCTTCCAAGTGCGTGATCAACGGATTGCTCGTCGTCTACAGGAGCAGAGGGAAGAAGAAGGTGGCGAGGCTGGTGGTGTTGGTGTTGAAAAAAGGGATGATGGGGTAGAGGATGGAGACGTGGAGGAGAAGGTTGGAGTTGAAAGTGTCCCGGGAGAGTTGTTGAGACCCTAAAATGCTTTTCGTGTCGCTTTAGATGTCATTTCGTTTTTGTGGGTATTGTAAGGATTATATAATGCATCGATCACCATCTACAAATCATACTTCAGAGGTTTAGCGCCATGCTCCAAAAGCTCCTTCACCCGCGCTTCCAACATCCACAAACGGTCTTGGCCCCAGAAGATCTCATCGTTGAGGACATAGTCGGGTGTACCAAAGATGCCTAGCATTTTGGTCAGCTATGAATACAAGGAAAGGGATGGGTAGACTTGCCTTTTTCGACAGCTTCGACGTGGTTCCTGTTCCACTCCTTGACAGCTTCATCGCGCGCATCCCCACGTCGATCCACAATAAGCTCCTGCACATCCCCTTCCTCCAACCCCGCCTTCCTCCCTAGCATTTTCAGTACCTCCAAATCACAATGATCCCCCTCCTCCGTCTCCCATATACACCTCTGCACCTGATACGAAAACCGCCTCGCCTCCCTCGCGCCTACCCCAAACTTGCGCTGAATACGGATGATGGCCTGTGCTGATAGCTCGATGCCGCCGGGAGGTTGGGGGTAGTATTTGGGGGATGATTTGAGTGGGATTTGGAGGAATTGGGCGGTGCGGATGAGGTCGAGGGCGTGGTATGCTTGACGGGCTTCGTGTCGGGCTTTGAGCTAGAGCGCGAATTAGTTTTGGCAAGTCGGGAGGCCGAGGACGTACTCTGATACCACCATTCTCGACAATGACGGTGATGGGTTTCAAGTAGATAGTCAAGCCATACTGCTTGGCTATCCTATCGATCTCTGGTGCGCCCAGAAAGGCCCAAGGGGAAGATACGCCGTAGTAAACTTGGAGGGTAATGGTATCTGCGAGCGGGGGCGGGGCTGTGAGGAAGGTCATGGTGCGCTGTTCGGGACGGGAGAAGAAGGCGGGGCTGATGTTGGAGGCGGGGAGGGGGAAGGGGTGCATGGGTGAGATGCGATATGAAATTATGAAATTATGGAGAAAGGGATGCCCATAAGCCCACATCTCGGAATTGACTTCAGGCACGATCGGGTAAACAAATTGTGGGCGATGGCGTTATCACGCCACCGGCCACTCCGTCTGCACTTGCATCTGATCTTGTTGTTATGCGCGTACTCCAGCTACGATGCCCTCGCCTCAGTCAGAAGACTCCCTCGAGTCACCCCCTAGGGATGCACTCCGCAAAAGGTTCCGCTGCTCACACCCCGGCTGCACCAAAACGTTCGCCCGTAAAGACTATCTCGAGGTATGCATGACCCATCAACATATCCTCTTGCATAGCTGACATATACCCGTACGCAGCGTCATGCTGCAAATCGTGATTGAAACCGCGCTCTCTCTGGGAGTTCCGCTAACATTCTGGCTAGATCTGACAGCACGGCCTTTCGTCTGTCCTACATGCTCAAAGGCTTATGCGCGGGCAGACGTCCTCAAGCGGCATACCACAAATCACCCAACAAGGGGACATAAATTTAAAGCAGCTCTCGCTCAGCTCGCAGTCGCAGGAGAACGGGTCACTCCTCCTGGTCAAACCCCTCTTCCCGATCATGAGACCCAGGCGGTGAGACCCTTGAGCGATGATGTTTCGAGTGACAGCTGACGACGGTATCAAGACATCTCCAGTCGATGCTCCAACCTCGCCACCCCTCAACCTTCCCGGTATGGATATCGTGTCAAAGCTCACCTACCCCACCTCTTCCGACCCCCAAGCCTTGTCCACATTGTCACTGGAGAAGATCGAAAACGACAATGCCCCTCTCAACGAGCTCTACTCTTGGTTCCTTGGCACAGATATAGCTTCAGACGATTTGATATCAGCTGCTGACGAAGCGCCGTGTGATTGGTCTACATTGTTTGACTTGTCTTCGGTCAGTACGCCGGAAGTGTCGGAAGAGATTGTTGATACGGAGAGCTGGCGGGGGTTGCAAGACTTTATCACCGTACGTCTCATCTCGTGATATTTTGAGACCTATACTCATGGACTGCATGTAGAGCATCGGCTGCACCCCACCATCTGCAGGTCTATCCGAGGAAGAAGCACACCAATACGTCGAACTCTACTTCCAGTAAGCTCCCCATTCCATCCTTGCGCAATCAGAACAAGACTCAACATCTTCAAGACATTTCCAGCCCCTGTTCCCTATCCTGCACCGCCCATCTCTCCGCTCCCGAGGTTGTCATCCCATGCTCCTCCTATCCATCATCCTCCTCGGCGCTGTCTACGTCTCTTCCTCCTCCCGCACCCCTTCCTCTCCTTCGACAGGACTTGACAAAGTAGACGCTATGAACCTCCAACGCCGTCTCCGTTTACACATTTTCGACGTAAGCCTCTTTCTATCTGTCCATGCAGGCTATGTATGATTGTAAACTGACGAGTGAGCGTAGATCCTCGAAACGACCAAAAACCCTTCGTTATACGTATTTCAAGCGCTCTTTCTAGGGAATTATTATGGTCGGATGTATGCTAATGCTGCGAGCCGTGATATCAACCAAGTACGTGCCCCACCCCTTCCCCTTCTACCCCGACATCCATTCAATCCTCTTCGATTCCCACTAATGAAAAAAAAGTTGACGCCGAGTGTAGATATACCATTCCGCCGGCGTAACAGCAGCCCGATTTCACGGCCTTTTCACACCCCCCTCCTCCTCCTCATCTAAAAACGCCACTGAGGCCTCGGAAGAAGTACCTCAAGAGTATAAATGGATGAAATGGGCAGCGGAGGAAGAGCGGATAAGACTGGCGTGGATGGTTTTTGTCTTTGATACGTTCAGCGCGGGGATCTTGAGGCATAGTGTAATGGTGTGTCTCATTCTTTTACGCACTTATGCTGAGGGTGGTTGCTGATCGATTTTGCAGTTGCAATGCTGTACGCCCTCTGGACCATCATTCTCAACAGGTTGACTGACAAAGCACAGTCTCTCTATCCATCCCCCTACCCTGCGCTTCATCCCTCTGGCAAGCCTCATCTTCCCACTCTTGGTCTTCCCTCCACCCCACCACCCCCTCCTCTCCCTCCCCCGCAGCATCGCTCCCATTCCGCCCAGCGATCAAGCAAATCCTGGAAGATTCTCGTATGGACGATACGATATCGCCTTTCGGGAGATGGTGTATCTTGCATGGTCTTGTTTCACTTACGTGCGCTTTTTTCTTCTTTGCTCTCTTTCCGTTCTTGCTCCTTCAAAGGCGGGCGAAACTGACTGAAAGAAATCAGGTGGTCTCTATCAGTCCAAGGTGCCGACGTATTCACCCTCGCCCGCCGTGCCCAAATCACCGTGTGGAAGGGGACAGTGTATAATGCGTTGATGGGGTGGCAGCATCGGTGTATGTCGAATTTGTCGGCTATGTCTGCTTCTACTCGCGGCGTTGGAGAAAGAGAAGGGGGAGGGGAAGATGGGTTGAAGGAGGTTACGCAGGCGGGGGTACCGCTTTGTACTATTTGTAAGTTTTATTTTGCTAAAGGGAGAGCGGCCAAGGGCAAGGGCTGACAGTGGGGTGATAGGTGTGATCACGCTGTTGACGGATATGGACGCTGTCCGAATACTCGCCGGTGCTCAAAGTACGTCCTCGCTTTCTTTCGATCATGTATGGCCGAGACTGATGATAAGTCTCAGAGATTAATGGGCGTGATATCTCGGCAGAAGATCGGACGGCGGCAAGGGCTTCGCTGGAAACGTGGGCTCAGTCGTCTGAGGGTAGGCAGAGTTGTTGGTGTGCTGTTGGCAGTACGTCACCTTCCTCTTTGCTCGCGGTAATGACTGACGAGGGTCGCACAGTGCTTCAGTTGGTGTATCAGTGGATCCAAGCAGGCGAGATCGACTCGATGCCGCCTTCCACTTTGTGGTGTATCGTACGTCACATCGTCATTCAACTTACAATGCGCTAACGTCATCTGCAGTACCTCGCCACCCTCGTCGTCTGGATATTCACAGCCCTCATCGAAGAACGCCCCATCAAAACATCCCCCTCCCTCATTCCCCTCTCCACCCGCTGCCTCATCCGCGCTCCCCTCGCCCTCCAAACATCCCAATCCTTCCTCGAACGCGTCCTAGCCTCAGAAGATCCAATTAATTTATCGGCAGTGTCGAATTTGGAAGATTGCACGGCGTTGGTAGCTTATGCGGCGCATCTGTGTGGGGAGAAGGAGTGGGGAGGGCTGGATGGGGCTACGAGGGTGCTTTATGGGCTGTTGAAGCATGTGGAGTTGACGAGGAAGCAGTGGTATGCGAATTGCTAGAAGATACGTGAATTGTAGTGCTCGTAGCTGCGCAGTCGTTCGTGGCGTCACCATCCATGTACTCGACTGTACGAGTACTGATTACCGTGAATTTGTGACCGCATAATAGTCTTGCAGCACAATTTCGTGGCCGGCGTTCAGCCAGCCTTCTATGGCGTCTATGTGTACGGCTTGTAATGGCTTCCATCTCAACAAGCGCTAATATGAGGATCTAGTACACTTTAACTCGTTCCTATAGCCTTCTCATATCCAGCCCTTGCCTACGATTCCCCTAGTATCTGGGGGTCGCTACATTCACTCTTCCCATAATCTAATACTCCTTTTCGACTTTACCACTCACCCCAGGTCCTGCCTAACGTCTTTCCCCTCTTGGCGAATGATTCGTACTGTTATCGTTGACGTCCAAGCTGGGAGACGACGAAGGTTCAGACAGAAGCCTGACCGGAGACTCTTGAGTGTCGAGCGTATCGACGAAGGAAGGTGACGTTGAAGGATCGGCTACTGCAGTGACTTGAAGCATGTCGAAAGCGCTCGATATCGTGTCCCTGAGCTCTCGTTCGAAGGCGGACAAGACACTCTCCGACTGGGCTCGCGCATCCCCAGTACTAGCAACTTGAGACGATTCCAAGTCCAAAAACCGATTATCGGACAACAAAACAGCAGAAGATGAGGTAGGAGGCGAGAGGACGTGGGGTACTTGAGGCGGTGGGGCGGCATTCATGGTCGGCAAAGAGGGGAAGAGGTCCCGGGAAATTCGACTGGCTGGTCGTCGTTGGCTGTTGGTGTCTGTCTCCTCAAGAGCAGTTGAAATGACCGAAGATTGATGATGTACGGTTTCGTCCTGAACATGGTAAGCGTCACTCGATACTTTGCACGGGTACTCACCGATTGGCTCTCGTCTTCGTCACCACTCTGAATAGCATCCATGCGGTCGTCCTCTGAAGCTCGCGGAGAGGGGAGGTGCGTCTCCCAAGACGGGGAAGAGGGTTGATTCGATATCGGCGAGCGGTCTTCCGGTGTGGTAGTTGATGGAGTCGGCTGCTGGGTGATAGTGCGCTGAGGAGTATCCGTGGGCGTTTGAGATGGTACAAAATCATCGTCGTCTTCATCTTCACCATTGTCAGCATGCATTCCTCCATTGTGTTGCCGAATGATATACCAGAAGACTCGGACGATGGGGAGAAAAAAGACCGTGGTTTCACTGTACTATCGGAGACAGCGGACTCGGAGGAGGAAGAAGAGAAAGAAGAAGAAGAAGAGCTGGAAGGAGGGCTTGTGAGGGTACTGTCGGTTGCTGATCCAAAGCCAGAGATGTACGATGCAGACGACGCGAAGGGATCAGAGCTTTTGAAGAGATTGGTGAAGGTGGAAGATCTTGGGGTTGAATTGTTTGTTAGGTCATTGTGACCGTTCAACAAGACGGCAGAGGAGCCACGCCTCGTCGCTTGCTTGCGAATGGGAGACCCGAGTAGAGCCCTCTCCATCGTGCCCCGACTCCGATCCACTGACGACCGGGATGACCGCAGATTGCTCATTGACATCGCCCCTCTCAGTAGACTCTTCTTTCCATACCGGTACCCCACTGAAGGCGATACAAACACATCCTCCTCCTCACTCGCCGACTCCATAATCTCATCCTCATCTGTGCCCAGCTCCTCCTTGCTTGGGGCGCTGTGAATTCTATCCAGTCTCGCGTAGCTGGTTCGCCTTCGGAGCCTCACTTCTCTTGGAAAGTCTTTGGCTGCGGCGGGGGACGAGAGGGGGTAGGGGCGAAGGTTGGGGTTGGAGCGGTGTTTGGAGAGCGTTGTGGAGGTGCGCGATGGGTGGAAAGGAGATGTAGGTGGATTTTTGAGAGGCCTGTCTGGGTCTGGCGGGGGCATGAGGAATGTAGAGCGGGTGTTACGCGTCGGTGTGGATGGCGATGAGAGCTGTGCCATCGCTACTTCGGCCGCTGCTGTAGTGTCAGTAGGGTGAAGGGGGTGATATGGGATGCGTATCACCTCAAGAGCTTCCCGTCAGCAGAGAAACAACGACAAAAAGCAAGAATGGATGTAGAAGGCTGAGAAGAGATGTTGATGCCAAAACCTCGGCGCGTCGCGGCACTCAGTCTCTACGAGTACGGCCCTCCTATGAGTTTACTCTTGGCCTTTGATCTTGCCAATCGCTGTATTTGACTCAAAGCACAACAACATACCTCCTATGGGCCTTGCTACTCTTGCAACCATCCAGCTCGACCCCAGGCCGTCGTTTCCATACCTTCGTCGTTCTTGTTGACGGTTGGTTGACGGAAAACTCAACAAAGCGGCGCTCGCCGCATATCATCCGCCGGCTTTCCGAATCGTCGTCATTGCCTCGAGCCAGCCTCGAGTAAAGCTTTGTGCCATATATATTCTTCTACAATCACCTTCCAACAAACTCAGACAGCAAATACGTCGAAATGTGCGCATCCCAACAACGGTACCCATCAAGTCAGACAGACCTCGACAGCTCGAAGACATCCTCTGATCCCGCTACGACCGATGATAAGAAACCTCTTTTTGATGCGAGCCAGGTGACGGTGGTCTTCGTTCTCGGCGGTCCTGGAGCAGGTGAGTATCAAGTCTCCTGCAATATATGGCTGCAGTATACTGACAATAGGTACAGGGAAAGGCACACAATGTGGAAAACTGGTCGACGATTATGGATTCAAGCATCTCTCGGGTACGCGCTTCCACGTCGTATGATCTGTGGAAAGCTCAGCTGACATGGCATAGCTGGCGACCTCCTTCGTGAAGAGCAATCCAGAGAAGGTTCAGAGCTTGCGGAAAAGATACAAGAATGGATGAATGAGGGCAAGGTCGTTCCTGTCGAGGTTATCATGACTGTGAGCCCCTTGAGTCCCCTGCTCTCTTTGCCTTGTGTCCTCTTCTGACTTATTTCACAGCTGTTGAAAAAAGCGATGAAATCCTCTCTTTCCTCCCCACCCTCTTTACCCGGATGGTCCACCACCCAAGGCCGATTCCTCATCGACGGCTTTCCTCGAAAGATGGACCAAGCGACAGAGTTCGACGCCAACATCTGCGAAGCCCAAGTCGTACTGTTCTTCGATACAGAAGAGGAGGTACTGGTGCAGAGGCTGAAGGGAAGGGGGAGAGAGGATGATAACGAAGCGAGTATCAAGAAGAGACTACGTGAGTTTTCACTTGTACCAGGCGTCGCCGGCTGCGGCAGAGTCCATCATCGTCGAGAGTGAGAAGTATATTGACTCTGGCTTCTAGGTACATACAAGGAAACATCACTACCAGTCGTGGTCTTCTACGAAGAGAAGAACAAGGTCCTCAAGATTGACTGCTCCCCTTCCCCCGACCAAGTTTACAACACAGTCAAAGAAGAGCTTGGCGCACGTATTCGTTTGGAGAAGTACCGATAGTCAAAATAGTCGGCCAGTATACTAACTGTACACCCATTATGATCGCCGAATATTTTTGTAGAGGGAATGAAAGATGTATTAATGGTGAAAGGATGACTCTACTACAAGAGCTTTTGTGGAATGGAAGGAGACGCGGAGAACATCATCAAAGGCTACGTTGCTATAATAGCAGCAGTCCATTCATTGCATATGACCCAATTTACATCCGTTGTCATCGCCATTTCATTTGGGTCAGCGGACAGCGAAATGCGATAACCGTGCAATGGAGGATGATGTTACACTCCGAAATACTGCTTGAAAAGAGACAACCGACTTTGACTGAAAGCATGTGTTTCCACTCGCGAACTGGTATATGATAGCCTTAGTAAAGGTGTAAAGGTGTCGAAAAACACTCCCTCCACCAGCACCAGTCTCACAAAGCACAGCCGACAACAAGAAGGAACATGTCGGTAAACAAGCAAGAACAAGAATGGTTCGACATTCCCTATGACGACGAAACCACCAATCGATCTCATTTACCCCCTTCTCTCGTAGAAGTATACTCTACTCGCAACACCCTTCGAAGCATCCTTCACACCCAGCCAACGAATATCCTCCAAAGTCTTCGCACACAGGTGGATACAGACCAACAAGCTTGTGTGGCCGAAATTTCAAATATCTCGGCGAGAGAGAATGTGTGTACAGAGGTGAGCTTGGGGGATGGGTGTGAAGAGGCGGTGGTGGATGTGTTAACTAGTCTTTTGGAGATGAGAGAGTCTTGTACTGGGGATAAGGAGGGGAATGCGAAGACAAGGGCAACAGAGTAGTTGGTATACGAAGATGCATCGAATAAATTCTACTGATGGCTGCAGAGCCATGATGTCCCATTATCCCTCGTTTTGACCCTTCTCTTCTCCCCTATCACGACATCTCCAGTCTTCTTCCGGCTGCTGTGGAAGAATATATGTCCCCAATATGGCGGTTTGTATGTAGCAAAAGCTGTTCTCCCTTCCGACCAAACACGAAAGATCGACGACTCTCCTTCTTCATGGCATGATTTTGTAAAGAGGATAGTATTCATTAGTTCGTATGTTACACCCCTAGATACTAGCGGAAGGGGAGACTACTCGACGGGCGAGAGAGAAAGAGGTGAAGCAGGCGGAGACAGACGGAGGAGGCGAATGGGGCGAGCTGGAAGCCGGTCACCGCGCGACTCCTCCATCCTTCCAACACTCAACGCTCCTCTTTCAAACAATCGTGATGAGCCGTCGGCAAAAACTGCACTCCTCATAACCGCGAACATAAACCTTATCCTCCATGCCCACTTTCGTCGGCACCTCGTTCTCCAGAGTTGCTCGTATCCTCCGTCTGACTGCTCTCTGGAACATATCGAGAATGCCCTGCTTCTCATCCAGCGTAAGGGATAACCTAGAGCCGTCTCGGAAAAGGACGTCGATAAAGTTGGTGAAAATGACTCCCTTGGGGATTGGTCCGGAATCGCTGTGGCTATGTCCCATATTAGCCTTCAATTATGGTCCATAAACAAGAAGGGGCGAACTCGGGATTCCATTCAAGGATGGTGCTGATGCAGGAATCGACCATATACTCCACTCGACTCCCCATCATTTTGTGAATCGCGGTAACATCCAAGTGCAGCTTTGTAGTCGGAAGCTCGACAATGATCATGTCCCGACCAACAAGGGCCTGGACGCCGGCTACCATCTCCTCGTTGTCCAAATTAGAGTGATAGTCGAAGCGAGTGACAGTGTTGGATAAATTGAACCTGAAGCGGGGGGAGATTTCGAAAACGTTGAACATTTTGTTGGACCCCGCCTCAGGGGTAGTAGGACGAGGAGGACCGAAGAAACAAACGCTAGAACGGTGACAGGGAGACAAGGTCATTGTCCGATCAATTCTTGGAAAAGTCTCATCGTTTTGGTGTATCGCTTCGGTGTATTCCGTCCCGTAAGCGTGGTGAACAATATTGTTGAAAAGACCGTATAGGCTGTCGGGCACGGCACCGCTTCTTTGCCGGCGCTCCTCGACGGCCATCGTCCATGCTTTGGTCGCTTCTTTGATAGCATCCCAAGCGTACAAGGACTTAATGACCAACGAGTTACAGTACCCCAGTAGGTCTCTTTTGCAAAGCAAGGACTCTTCTCCGGATTGACCTTCGGCGTCATCATTGACCCCGATCAAGAGGCCTTCGAATAAGCCTCTTTCGACGATTTCGTCTGTGACTTGGAGGTGCTCGTAGAGATAGGGGATGAATTCGTGATAGTGCGATTTTGAAAGGCGAGCGACGGTGAGAGTCTGGGAATGACGGGTATCAGCAGGCGAGATCGAAGAGAAATTTTTAACCTCAAATTCTTCCCCGGAATGTGGCTAGTCCGACCCTATTGATGTTCACTCGTGAGCTCTGAGTACGTCCATCAGCTCAGGACATTAGAAGCGAATTCGCTTGCCAGCTCAGGCTCAAAGAAAATCACTTCTTGTATCTGTCAACATTGTTCTTCTCATTGTTTCCGTTGTTGAGTCTTTCACAAGATACTTAAAAATACATGGCCATACTTCTACAACTGGTTTACCCCTCCTCTATCCCCAACGTGGCATCAGTCTGTTCTGTTCGAACGCAGCATCCGTGGCATTGGAGGAGGGCGTTGAGGCAGAAGAGGCTTCTGACGTGGTTTGGCGGTGGAGTCTTTCCTCCTCCCCATTTTCTCCGTTGTTGTCGTCCCCAGATTCCTCTACACTCTCCACTTCTTCATCCGCCGCCCCCCCAAGAAAGGGTCGTTCTCGCCCACCGCCCGCTTGCCCTTGCTGTCCACCGCCCCATGGGACTTGGTTGGGATTGATGCTTCCTGGTGGCTTCAAGGTCGGGGTAGGGGCTGCACGGAGCATTGAGGTCGGGGAAGTAGAAGAGGATGGATCATCGAGGGGGAGTGGGGGACGATTGTTTGCTGAGGAGTCGGTCAACCAGGGATGATGGGATGCCGAGGTAGCGGCCGATTGTGGGACGTTGAAGTCGGAGTGGGCATTGTCGCTCGGGTTGTTGCATCTGTAGAGTGGCTTATATGTAAGAAGAGGAGGAGGAGCAGCGGAAGACGATTGTCCACGGTCGACGGCGGGCCTGGAGGGCGGCGGTTGGTCGGCGGCGGGCTGGGTCTGGTGCCCTGGGTCGTACGGAGTTGGCGTGGATGCCTGTCATTGACTGGGTTAGCACATGCCAATTCCCAAAGCTTTCGGAGTGTGACTCACATTGGTCTCGGTAGCATCTCCCGCCCCGTGAGAGGCGGTGTGAGGTTCTTCTTCTCGGTCGGTGGATGATGGGAGGGGGGAGGGGATTGAGAAGGTGGAGGTGGGGACGGCGGGTCTCCCGATGGGCGGAGAAGTCGCTGGCTACGTCTGACCATGCTGTCACACGTAGTAATTCCCTGAAGTGGCATGAGCGCGGAGTTGTGTGATTGGTCGAAGGACGCGCGGCGTACATAGTCAATTCTTATCCTACTGTCCTACTCTTTCTCTATGCGATAATACCGAAAAGGTCTTTTCCCCTCCAAAAACACCTTTTCCAGTCCTCTCCCCTGCTGCGTCCCAGTAGGCCGTGACACATGCTCGGCGTACGCAAGATGGGTGGGTAGATGAAGAAAAGGATGAGATAGATAGAATTGCCCAACAAACAAACAGAACGCACGGGACCAGACGCGCGTGTTTGTGTTTTGGCCCTGATCATTCAACATGCAAGACATTATCTCATTTTCTGTCGTTCGGCAGTATCTAATTCATCCCTAGAGATTATCCCTACTGCATGCATGTTTACTATGGCGATGGTAAGAGGAAAGAAGATCTATTGCAAGCCAACCTAACGGACAGACTAGACGTCAGTACAGGTGTGGTGGTGGATCGTCCCCTCGCTCTCTCGTAAAAAAACCATCTCGCCAGCTAATCGCATTTATACAGTCCAAGCCGACAGAGCGTATGTACCACATAATAAGGTTACAGAGACATATCTCTCGAGCTAGAAAGGGGGACAAAGGCGCTGGAGACAGACCAGAGTTTGCCGCATAAGAGCACGTTCTTCATGAATGGGATGATACAGTGTATTGGTCATCTGGGCGCAGAGCCATATTTTGGGGTGTCTTTTAGACATGCCGAGAGTATGACAAGGTTATTGTCCGATCAATTCTCAGAAATTGCCGATCGTTTCGATGCATCATGCATTCCGACAAGAGTACTATTGAAAGGCTGTCGGGCACGGCATCGCTTCTTTGCCGCTCTTCGACGGCCATCGTCCATACTTTGATGGCGTCTTTGATAGCAGCCCAGGCGTACAAGGACGTATTGACTACAGATTTACAGTACCCCAGGAGATCCCTTTGCAGAGCAAGGGCTCTTCTTCGAGTCGACCTTGAACCACCTTCAGCGTCATCATCAACCCCGTTCAGGAGACCTTTGAAGAAACCTCTATCGAGGATTTCCTCTGTTACTTGGAGGCGTTCGTAGAGATCGGGGATGAATCGGTGATGGTGCGACTTTGGAAGGCGAGCGACAATGAGAGTCTGAGCACGACGGGTATTAACACATAAGAAGCTGTAGACGCGGTTCGGCAGCTCCTCGGGGAGTACGGCAAGGGGTGCGATGTCGTGGCAGGAAGGAGGCGAGGCGTGGGTGTTCTTGATTTCGGGATGTGCTTTGGACATGGCGAGGGGGGGAAGTGGGGACGAGGGTCTGTTGATACAGCGAAGTAGAAGTGCAATGGGAGGACTCATGAGCGGAGCACGTCGCAAGAGGAGGAGGAAAGAACGATAGCGACTACTGCAGAACAGCGAAGGAAACTGTAATCGCACGATCTGTCATGAAGGCTCGGGATACCAACAATGTACGGGATACCAACAATTGTACTTGTACAGTATACAAGAACGACATCACTACCGACCGTCCCTCTTCAGCGACTGTATCTCTCACTCCTAAGCTTCCCAGATGCTTTCAAACAATACCCACACTCATCATACCCGCGCAACACATGGATCTTATCCTCCATGCCCGCCTTCCCCGGCGCCCGCACTCCCAAGCCCTCCCTCACTCTCTGCCTAACCAATGTTCTTGCCTCTTGGAGTACACGCTTTGTGATGCTGGGTGTCAGAAAAAAAACCCGGCCATCAGGGGCGATCGTGCTGCCGAAATGGGTAAAGATGATTGCTTTTGGGATCAAATCGAATGCCCTATTGCAGCCAGCGTTAGAGAGAGATGTCTGCGTTTGGATGAGGAGAAGAGAGGAAGAATTCACTCCTGAGTTTCGGTATCCCAGCCAGATATCGTACTTAGGCAATAATTGACGATATAGTCGATCTGAGCGTTGACCGCATCCTCATTCCTATGTCCTCCAGATGGCCGATGTATGACCGAACCCTCCTTGTCGTCATTGGCAGTCTCTTCCATTTTGACGGGTAAAAGCTCGACGACGAGCAAGTCACGTCCGACTAGGACTTCGAGCCCGGCGCCGACGGAATGAGGATAGTTACAATCCGCCGGGGGGAGAAAGCGAGTCACAACGTTGTCGGACATCATTTTGATCCCCAGACCAGGGGAAACGACGATGGTGTTGAGCTTATCGTCAGTCCCTGGCGCTGCTTCTGGATGAAGAGGCTTGCGAGATAGGCCGACAAAACAGAAAGAAGCATGAGGTTGATAGTTACCACCAATCTTAGAACCTCTCCCTTCTTGAGGAACACCCTCAATACAGTCCGGCCCAAATGCCATGTGGAATACACGGTTGAACGGACCATCAAGTCTTTGTTGCACTGATCCTTCGGTTTCCTGTCGGCGGTTTTTGACGGCCATGGCCCAAGCCTGGATCGCTTCTTTGACAGCCTCCCAAGCGTACAAGGATGCTATGACCATCGAGGAGCAGCGGTTGAGTAGATCTCGCTTATGATACAATGATCCTTTGGTGTGACCACCTACATCATCCAAGAGGCCGTTGAACAGGCCTCTGAGGATGGCCTCGTCTGATACTTGGATGTGCTTGTATAGAAGGTGGATAAAGTCGTAATAGTGCTTTTTGGACAGGCGTACGATGGTGTACGTATTACTTGGGCAGGGGATGGCGGTCAAAAAGTCGAATACGATGTCCTGGAGCTCAATGGGGAGGATGGAAAGGGAGGAAATGTCGTAGAGATGGGGAGGTGTGACGTTGGCAACTGGTGGGGTTCCGGTATACACTTTGGACATGGCCACAATTGGAGAGGAAGCAAGTGATTGTAAGGATAGCGGAACGATAAAAAGAGCTGAAGGTTATACTTCTTGTACGGAATGATAAGGGAGCGCGGAACGCAAACAAACGAGCGCAATGATGCAATCCGCTTGAGGCGACGAGATCGAGGGGAGATTTCCAACCTTAAATTCTTCCCGATTTTACACTTTTCCCCATAATCTCAACACATGTCTTTCTTTCTAGGACAAAGCGGTATACCCTTCATATCTGTGGCGGGGCGAAAATTCGGCAGAACGCACACGACAGACGCTCAAGTACCATCAGCCCAGCATACGACGGAGAAGAGGAGAGGAGCGCCGCGACGAGGTGGTATCAGGATGGCGGGGTGATGGCGGCTGGAAACTTTTTTTGAGTCTGTTGCAGGCGGCTGAGGTGTATCGCTCATCGAGGTTTATATGTATCAATCATCGAGCGCACTCAGAAGACTCAACCTGCGTTGAACGATCATGTCCTGTTCTCAGCGCGCACCTTTACCCGAACGCACTGTTCTTCTTCCTCGACCCTTGTCGTCGCCCGAGGCTTCAGTCTACTCTTTGCTTCTCGTGAAGCTGCTGGTACATTGTAATGCTGGCTATATACACGCCATATTGACATGCACTGATATCCATATGCATACCCTCTCAATATGTCTAAAAGACAGCCCAAAGTATGCCCCTTCGCCCAGGTGGCCAAGTACACTGTATCATCACATCCATGAACAACGTGCACTTATACGGCGAACGGCGAACTCTCGTCTGTCTCCAGCGCTTCTTGGCTTACCATCGCCATAGTAAACATGCATGCAGTAGGGATAATCTCTAGGGATGAATTAGATACTGCCGATGACTGAAAATGAGATAATGTCTTGCATGTTGAATGATCAGGGCCAAAACACAAACACGCGCGTCTGGTCCCGTGCGTTCTGTTTGTTTGTTGGGCAATTCTATCTATCTCATCCTTTTCTTCATCTACCCACCCATCTTGCGTACGCCGAGCATGGTCAGACGTAGCCAGCGACTTCTCCGCCCATCAGGAGACCCACCGCCCCCACCTCCACCTTCGCAATCCCCTCCCCATCATCCACCCACCGAGAAGAACGATCTCACACAGCCTCTCACCAGACGGGTGATGCCACCAAAAACCATGTGAGTCACACTCTGAAATCTCTGGGGACTGGCATGTGCTAACTCAGTCAATAACAGGGATCCACGCAACCTACACACGACCCAGGGCACCGGACCCAACCCGCCGCCGGCCAACCTCCGTCCTCAATGCCCGTCGACCTTGGACAATCGTCTTCCACCGCCTCTCTTTCTCTCCCCCTCACATTGGAACCCCTCAACAGATGCAACAATCCTCTCCCTCCCCCCGCCAATAATCCATCCTCGTCCTCCTCCCTCGATCAGCAGGAGTCTGCCCCAGCGTTCGCCACCGATACTAGATCCCCGGGTGCAGTCCCCCATGGTACCCCGACGTTGGAACAACCAGGCAGTATCAATCCGAACCAGGTCCCATGGGGCGGTGACCAACGAGTGCAAACGAGCAGTGAACGGGATGAAGCGGTGTATGACACGGGCTCTGTAGTACAAGTACCTCTTGGGGGGGGCGGCTCATGAAGGAGTTTTGGGAGCAGACAAATCTGGGGACGAAAACGGAGAGAATGGGGAGGAGGTGCAGTCTCGACAAAAGGCGCAAAGACAACAACGCCAGTCCACGTCGGAACCCTCTTCTGTATCGACACCCTCCTCGAATGCCACAGATGCTGCGTATGAGCAAAACAAATTGATGCCACGTTGGGGCTAGAGGAGGGGCGATGGTACCAGTTCCTTGTGATGACTATCGTTTACCGGACAATGTCGTGATCTGTAGAGAAAGGCCAGTTGTAAAAGTAGAGTCATGTATGTTCACGTACCTCGTGAAAGACTACACAACGGGAAGAATGAGAAGAAAGGTGTTGACAGCTACAAGAAGTGACCTTCTTTGAGCCTGAGCTGGCAAGCAAATTCGCTCCTACTGAGCTGATGGTCGTACCCAGAGCTCACAAGTGAACAGCAATAGGGTCGGACTAGCCGCACACATCGGTGTTTGAGCCTTTGAGGCATTCGATTGCATGCGGCCCCAGCGGCCCCGGGGGGTTTCGTGGACCCGGATGACTAGATAGAGTGGTAGCTTCGTCGGTACTTTAATGGCCTACGATAATAAGCCCCGAGCTGCTACTAGAGCGAAAAAGACTGCCACTCGCGATGGAATCTCGTGACCCAAAATCCAAAAAGCCACAAGCATACAACATATCCCAAAGGGCCCAAACAGATTACAGACGTACTGTACGAGTACGCCAGCAGAACCAAATCAAGGGGAGGCCGGGAGGGGAAGCAAAGAAAATAAATAGGCCGAAAAAAAAGCAGTCCCGCCCGGGAAGTCAAGTCAAGTCGAGCCCGTAGGGCTTGTTGGGCTCGGCGCGTATACGGTGCAGTCGCGCCCAACCCCAACTACTTCTTTTTTTTGGCCCGGAAAAAAACTCGAAAACGTGCACCGTGCAACAGCGTGCGCCGTGCGGAGAGCGAAAGGAGGCGATTTCCGGGGTTTCCGACCCAATTTAACACCATTTAGATGTCGGACAAAATGGCGACCGCCGAGGATGGGGGAGCGGAGAGTGATGTCGAAGGGGAGACTGTCGTCGCGAAAGGGATGAGTGAGGAGGAGTACGACGAGAAGGTGCTCCGGCCTCAGCTCGCAAACTTGGAGAAGCTGCAGGACCGCTTGGAAGCAGAGTATCGGGAACGCCATCAGAAGGAGGGGACACGGTGGGGCCGTGTGGAGACGGCGGATTCCAACTGGTCCAAAGCGAACATGGAGAGGCAGAACGTAACCAGTGAGCCTCCCTCCTATCTCGCCTCGCCATCGCAGTACAGACTGACTGTTGGAATGTGGTGGTATCGATGTAGTTGTACTGTGTCTCTGGAGCCCAGTGGAGGGTAGATAGCGGCTCTAGGTGTTGGACGGTTGGGTGTAGATAGAACTACAGAGCCAACTAGACCTCAGCCGTCGTGTGGCCGGCCTGCCGGCCACACGATGGTCCGCCCAAGGTACATGCAATTACGTAACTACAGATCTCTAAAGCGGGCGGCGCATCTAATCACACAGATTCCAATACTGACAGAGCATGTTGAGCTGACTCGTTGATTCCAGGCCACGTAGGCATGTCATACGCTAAAGCCCACAACCTACAAGAGCCGTCGCCGCGCACAGTCCAGAGCGCAAGAACAAGGACGCGCGGAAGGACAGGAATGATCACGTTCCCGGGGGGCTCAGTGCTTTCGTTGGCGTGGCGCTTCCTGCCCTTGTACCCGAGAAGAAGCGAGGAAGGCCCCCCAAGGCTAAGGGACCGGGCGAGGCTGAGCCAGGGCCCAAGAAGAAGCGTGGACGGCCTCGCAAGAATCCCATTCCAGTAGACCCCTCGCTCTCGGTGCCCTCTGCTGGTTCCTCCTCCGCGCTTGGCGTTCCATCCAGCTCTCTCGCCCCCTCGTCTCTATGTTGAGCCTGTTAAGCAGCTTTGGCTTCATGAGATCTATGGTCTCGTGAGGTTTTTGTGGTCTTGTGATGTGTAGATGGTCTGGTGATCCTGGACAGTAGTCGTAGTGGGGTACAGCTCGAGTTTACAAAAGCTCTATACATTTTTCACCCCCTCTCCCTCTCTGATGCTCGTGTCAACAAGATGACAATGATGGATATAAGCTACATGACATGGATTATATACAAGTAAAAACGTGATAGTATGTAGCGTTGGTGCGTTGGTGTGGTACAGAAAATGATGATAATGCTCGAGTACCAAAAGAGGAGAGTAAATACTTTTGTTCGTCGTTACGAATAAACTTGGGTGGAGAAGAATGTCCCGTGGAGAAGAAAGGGGTAAAAGAGCAAAAAGACGAATAAACTGCGAGAAACAGCAAAAACAAGTATAGCAGCTAACCACCAGCGAAAAGAAGCAGAAGAAGAAAACGTCCTTATCCACCTTGGTCGCCTTATCGCCTAGCCAACTCGCTCGCACTCATATCCAACGTAAAACTCGTCTTGAACGCTTTCGACGGTACAACCATCTTCTGCGGCTTCTTCCCTCCTTTCCCTACTCCCCCTGCCCCACCCAGAGCGGGAAGACCCTGGCCTTCGGCCATACGTGCAAAGAGTGCGCGGGCGAGGGGTTGGGCTTTGGGCCCGGAGGGGCGGAGGGGGTTGATGAATGTTGATGAGGAAGAGGAAGAAGAAGAAGAGGAGGAGGAGGAGGAGGAGGAGAGGTGCGGGTTGATGGGGGTGAGGGGTGTGAGTCCGCGAGGACGGGTAGCCCGGGAAGATACAGGCGCGTGGACGGGGTGAGAGAATGAACGCGATGGTGAGGGCCTAGTGAATGTCGGTGTCGATGTAGCCTCCTTCCTCTGCCCGCTTATCCTTCCATCCCCATCATGCTCCTCATCACCATCCGCCTCGGTCTCATCCGAGCCGCTACTCGAAGCAGACTCGGCACTCTCGCGCCGTTCGTCCAGACCGCCAGCAGCCGAGAGATGGCCGTCAAAATCGAAAGCGGGGTACTCGGGGAAGAAGAATTCCGAGTGTTCAGAGGAGGGGGAGGGGCGGGCGGTGTGTGGGGGGGCGAAGAATGAGAATGGCATGGTGCTTTCTGTGGATGGAGCGTGGATTTTGGTTGGGTTGACTAGCGACGCGGTCAGTCTCACTCTCCCCGTGCAAAGGGTGCTACTCACTGTGTCTTGTTTTTCTCCTAGTAAACGGGCTCTGTGGTATATCTTGCAGCAGGGATGGATGGAGAGTGAATGCAGGGCCGGTCGAGAATGGCGCTGGGATTATATATGTGGTGGAAAGTGGAGGGATGCGAGCAAACACCGACTGCAGGAGAGCGGTTGGGGTTTCACAAATTGCTTGGGGATGTCGCCCTAGTCCGGGGACCCGCCCCTGAGAATTACTCCCGCCCTAGCAATCAGCCACGTGACTCGGGCCTGGACTCGGGATGCATCATCCTGCGCCGTGTGGGGGAGTGTGTACGTGTATGGGATTGGGGGTGAAATGTATGGCCTGGCAGGATGGGGCGGGAAAGTCAGAGGTGCATAGCGGGAAAGAACTTGCCCGGGCCTACAGTCGGGGGGCGGCGATGGCCGGGTGAGTCACAGGCTTACGTGGTTCCGTGAAGCCGAAGACCGGAAAGCCAATTTTATTTTCCTTTGGAATCGCGTTGTTGCGCTTTGGGCGATTAGGGGGTGGTGTTGATGGCTCGACTGTGTTTTGATGGAGGGACAGTGATGCCGTCAGCCGAAGATCGTCAGAACCCTCAAAGCCATCGCATGCAACACGATAGAGGGTTGTATAGCAGCACCACGCTGAACACTTCATAAGCATGGCATGACCCCAAAGCATGAATATACTGCAAGCTGTGCCCACCGCCCGTGTTCTTGCGCAGAAGGACGCTCAGGTCCCGCGACCGCACTCGGGAATACACAATCACCAGCTGGGCACACTGTGTATCTCAGTGTGCCTCTTACTTACCAGGAGGGGGCAGGGGTGGTCCAGTCAGCTTCGATCCCCCCATCCATCTATCTCCCATCACCCGCCACTTCACCCAGTCTTGCTTGCCAAATTCACATCCCACTCTGATCTCACTTTCTCATCAACCTTTACCCCTCCATCTTTTCCTCAAATCACTCTCCTTACTACCCCCTTCCTTGCTCGACACCGGCTGGTCCATCCGTGTCGCCCTCTCAAACGAAGACTCACTCCCACTATCAACGGAACACCCTCTCCCATCGACGTGTTCATCGATCTACCCCTTTACTATCACCACCTTCCTTTCATCCCTTCCCCTCGCTTTGCACTCCTTCGTCTCTTCATCTCTCGACATCACGTCCTCCAGCGGGTCTTGCCCAGCTACTTTGTGCCTCCCTTTTCGACAGTCGCAGTGTATCGACACCTCGAACGACATCAGGGCGTTCTCAGGCTCCAACAAAACCGGCAGTATTCGTCAAGGTAATCGCCTCTAGACTCTGCCTCTGTCGGGACGAGTTCCTCGACCCAAGTCTTCTTCGCGTCTCGCGATGGAAAGTCTCAGTCAGGGTATAGTAAAGAGGGATGACTCTGAAGCTGCATTCTTCATATCCGACTCGTACGTCCCCCTCTCCCCTCTCCATTCTTGCCCGATCACAGTCGCTGATGGTCTCACTCAGATCACCTCTCTTCAAATACTCCTCCTTCTCCTCGTCCTCGTCTTCTTCAAACATGACAAACCCCTGGACAGCGGCCTACGCCCGCCAGACAGACGGCTACGACCAAACCCTCCATCTCACTTCTTCCAATCATTCCATTATCGAGTTCAACATCACCTGTACGTTTGCCTCTTTGCACTTTTTTCGCATTCTGCTTCTTCATATCCGCTATTGGATACAGGATGCAAAGGACAGTTCGCTAATGCAGAGTCGCAGCAATGTCCCTAACGCTACTCGTACCCCAGATCGAAGGCTGTTCAGCGACGGTATCGATCAACGGCACCACCCCCGTCCCGGCGTGCGCCACCAGCTCTTCTTCCTCTTCCGAGATCCCTTGGCGTTTAGCAGACTTGGACTACGCCACCCACTCTATCAAATACGATTCCGGCCTTATCCCATCGTCCTCGTCATCGGGAGAGGGAGGGCAGGTCATTTTTTGGGGTGTACAGGGTACGCGGCCGGGCACAGAGGGTGGGGGCCGGGGTGGGGGGACGAATGTGACTGTTGATGATACATTCTTCCGTCCCTCTTCTTCTTCTTCTTCTTCCTCCTCCTCTTCTTCCTCGTCCTCTACGGCAACCGATACAGACACAGAAGAGGAAGCAAAAGTATCAATCACATACTCTCCCTTCTGGACGCACCTCTCCAAAACATCCCTAACCTCGTCGAGTCTGAGCGAGATGGGGCAGTTGGAAGGGGATTTCAATGGGACGTTGAGTGTTTCTCAGGAGGCTGGGGATTGGGTGACTTTTTGGGGTGCTGGTACGTCTTTCTTTCCCTCCTCTCCTCCCTTCGTTGTTCTCATCCTTCTCCTCTTTCCTCTTGGGTCTCCTCTTCTTGGGTCAAATCGAAGCGTGATATGGACTTGGCTGACGAAAGATGCACAGGCGAAGCGATCTACGTCTATGGCACTGTTGGACCCGACTATGGCTCGGCGAGGGTGGAGTTGGATGGGGCTGTTGTGGTGGAGGGGATGAATCTTACTGTACGTCTTCTTCTATCCCTTTCCCTCTCCTCCTTCCCTCCTTCTCTTCCCTTCTTTCTCTTCCTCTTCTTCTCTTCAAAACCCAAGTCCAGAAAGATCAACTAACAGGAAAAAAAACAGTCACCATGGACTATGCAATACCAACTCTTATACTTTCAAACCAACCTCGACCCTTCGGTGGCTACCAACCTCACCATGACCAATCTCGGTGGCAGCGGAGGGGAGAAAATGAGTTTGGATTTTGTGATTCTGACGGCTCGGGAAGATGTTCTTGATTACCTGTATGTCCTCTTCTCCATCATAACCCGGAAAGAACATAGGCTAACGTCAAGACAACAGATCCACCCCCTCCTCCTCAAAACCATTTACTTCCACCCTCGGCGGCAAACTCATCCTCTTCATGCTCCTCCCCCTCCTCGTCGTCCTCCTCTTCTCTGCCTTCACATGGTGGATCCTCCTCCGACGGCGGCGGCGTAATGCTCGTCGTTCCCGTTCCCCGCCCGATGCTGGGGCTGGCATAAGCTCTTGGGTGCCCTGGACGCCGAGTAAGGAGAAAAGGGCGAAAGCAAGGGGTGGGAGTAGGCCTTGGCGGCATTCACAAGATTCGTCGTCTACGTCCATCAACAACACTACTGGCGGGAAAGCGAAACGCAAGTACTGGCTCTTCCCTGGTACTGCCTCTTCTTCTACAGGCGGCCGTGGGTCCCCGACGAATTCGTTGGATGGAGAAGGGGAAGATGTGTTTGTTTCGTATGATGAGGCCAAGCTGCAGAGGATGAGTGGCAAGTGGTCGTCTTCTTCTGGCTCCGGGTCGGGCGGGGCTGGGAGGTCGCCAGTGTCGGGCAGGGGTGGGCGATTCACGCCTGGGTTGGCGGCGGCTGGGTGGGGGCTGGGTACGGTTGAGGAGGATGAGAGGAATGAGGGGTCTGTCAGTATGCGGTCGGGACGGTCTAGGAGCTCTTCGCGCTCTGGTTGGTCGGGCGGTAACGGAGACCGAAAAAGAGAGAGGGGAGACGACCGCGATATAATGTCCGTCCTCGACCGCACCTACGCTACCCCCAATATCAGTTCTCGCCGCGACACTGCCCTACCAGCATACACCCCCTCCAACGACGCTCGAACGAACTATACATACTCCACGGCGCCCAACTCTCATCATACGACACCGCAAGCGCTCAACAGAAGCTTGCCTGCTAGTTCACCGAGCTCTGCGACGGGCACCGGGGGGGCAGCAGGGTCGCCGGAGAGTCAGTTCAGGTCGGCGGAAGAGGAGAAGGCGGTGCAGTTGAGGGTTATGCGTGATGTTGCTGGTGGACAGGGATACTCGCCGCCTCGACTCGACCTTGCTCTCCCCGGCTCCGGCCCCGGCCCTTTCACCCCTCTCCCCACTCCACCCATCTCTTCCCTTCCTCATCCAACCCAATCGCTCCCCCGGCCCGCCCACGCCCACCACGCGCACCAAGCTTCCCGCGGTAGCGCCACAACCATCGGCGCGAGCGATATCATCTCCATCTTTGGTGCTCCTGCGGGCTCAGAGAGGAGGATGAGTATGATGACGGATCATACGGGGCATTCGCAGTTTTACTCGAGGCCGGGGAGTGTGGCGGGTGATGTACCGCCTCTACCGACGAGTTCGACTTATCCCGGTTGGATCTCTGGGAGTGTTACGCCCGTTCCGGGAGGAGGAGGAGGGGCGGTGAGGCCGAGGATTGATACGGATTTGGAGAAGAATCCGTATGGGCTGCCGCACATGTCTCATGGACGTGATGCTTCGGGCGGTCTTTCGGCTATGGGGACCAACTCTAATATGGGGCTTATGGGGCTTACGCCTTCTGGGTATGAGTCTGCTACCCTATCCGGTCTTTCTGGTACAAGCAACCCCTGGCATCGCACGCTCAACCACCACACCTCCCAAACTCCCCTCCTCCCACCTTCCTCCTCCAGCGCCACACCTTCTTCTCCACCCAACTCATACCCTTCCCCACAATCCCACGCCCGTCCTTCGACCGCACCCTCACAGACCCTACCACTTGTGACATCTGTAACGACGCCAAACTCGGCACAACATCAGAGGAGCCAGAGTACGTTTAGCCATATGACGGAGAGGAGCGCGGCGAGGCCGGATAGTGAGGTGATTCCTTTTGAGAGCTTTATTAGTTCGTTGAATGCGGCTGCGGCTGTGGCGGGGGGCTAGGGAGGAGGAGGGGAAGAGGAGTGTTTGAGGGTGGTTTATTACACTTAACACGTTCATTAATATAGGGGTACTTGAATACAATATGCATCTACATTCTCTGGCATAATGGCTATGCCCGGATGGAATGTTGACCGAGATGAACTAAGCGGATATAGAGGCGTTGCATTCCGCATGAATCCATCTCCGTCATTTCTATTCCGCGTTTTCACATCGATTCACTGTCAGATACTACCCCCAGTTCCACCAATACCCTCGCTATGCCTCAAGAACCCTACAAACCCTGCGCTTGCGCCAACGCCAACATTTCACTGCCCATCTACGGCATCACATCTCTCTCCCCTCTTCCCGCCGAGATCCGAAACCTTGTCCACAGCTTTTTGATAGCGGCTCCCTGTAAGGCGCACGCTCTCATCTTCACCCGCCTCTCGAGAGATCATTATACCACTATCATACATCGCTTGTACCTGCAAATTGTGGCAACGGACCAGGCGGTCGACGCGGGCCTATACAAGAGTTTCTCAAATGTGGACAATCAATCCCATCAATCAGATGAGCATCGGACTCTTCCCAGCAAGAAGGAACTGCTCGACGGCTGCGAGTCGCTTGTGTTCACCTCATTATACGCTTGGACACAGACCACAGGCATGCTCAAGAGGCGATTTATTCCCATGCACCATGAAGACATGTTTCGCAGTCTCAATCATGTCGCCTTCGCACCTGGCTTTGTTGAAGAAATCTGTCGACGAGAGGCTCCTCCCTTTAATCGTTGCATCACACCCACGGCTCTCTGGTACATCTCGGATGCCTGTATACAGCTTCCCGAATCTTTTTCCGAAGACTTGGCCATGAATCTGGGGAAGGTGTCCAGCTACTTGCTGGAATTTGGAATCGGGATATGTGGCACTACTGAGACGGTTCTCCACTTCCACAACTGCCAGCCAACAAAGCTGGCAATGGCCAATGAAAGAGTCACATCCTTTGTATATGATGTGATGTCTATCGATATACCGCCTACGAGGATCGAGAACGCTGTGAATATAGCGGCACGACAAATAGACGAGATAGTGGAATACTGTGTAAAGTCTGTTACTGATTGGGACGAGATGAAGTGAGGACTTCTCGCTCGTTACAACACAAGCCTAATCTAACGCGATATAGTACCCAATTCAGTATCTACGGTCCTTCCGTACCGTTTGGCAAGGAAATTGTCTTCACCAACTTTGGCACCGTTATAACCCCAGCTGGTCTTGTCTTCGTCATCTCACCTAGCATCGCCCAGTCGGTTATCGAAAGAGTCGAGAGTGAGGTTAGACGGAGGGTACGATTGTTTTTGGAGAGCGAATTGCCGGCAGGTTGTGGGCTGGAGGCTCATTTCCATGTACGAGGCTACGACGAGTGCAGGTTTTGTCCTCTGAGGAGGTCTTCTTCTGGATGAAGGTGTGTCAGGGAGTAGGTTAGCTGCTACTACAGGGGTATATGAACGACTGCGATGGAACAAGGCTGCCTGTGATCAGCGTCTGGTGAGTCTCCAGTGGTCAACGGGACGAAAATATGTTCTTTGCCGACGCATGGCTGACTGAAGCATAGTACGAGGATAGCTCGTATCAAGTGGTTTTCTGCCAGAGTATGCATGCAAAGCTTCTCGGTCATGGCATGTCGTTGAGAGATATACACTCACATGTTGAGTGACCCTGCTCACTGTGCTCAGTGGGTTTGGTGCCGGTGCGGCGAATTGGACGCGAATGTTTGTATCGCTTCTATTTCTTTCATTCTCCACACCATTTTTACCCGAGCAGAATGGGCGAACGCCAAATGGGGCATCCGGAGTCTGCCAGCACTCGCTCCTCTCTTCCCCCTGGTCACCATACCTCTACAACAGATCACCCATCAGAACAACCAAACGAGCCATCAGCACCCCACACCGCCGCGGCCATGCCCTCTCAGCCCGACGCCATCTACGACGTGTCTGACAGGTTTGAGGAAGACTTTGAATCCATAGCCATATCCCGTCGGGCTGCATCTGGATCCGCTATTGGAGAGATGGGGCAACATGGCTGTTTGGTACGTTCAGCACAGGATGCGTAGAGGGTGTAAGCTGACGAAACCTAAAGGACCCAGCCCACCAGCCATTCGGTCAACAGCTCGTTTCCCCGTCCCGTTTCTCCTATGAACAGCCCCCATATCCTAGTGCCTCTCCTGCCTTCCGGGCGCCCCCTTATCCACATTTGCCACCCGACCCAGCCCCAAATACCTATTTGGACAACTCGCTGCGTACCTCCGGGTCGTCTTCCTCCATCGGATTCAAGGCACTCAATCAGCCCTCTCGGCATTACAACTCTTCCATGGACCACCCCATTGTCAATGCTGGGATTCCCGGGGCCAATCACTTGCCGGGGAGGGAGGCGGCTGGGGTCGGGAGCAGCTTCTTGGTGAAGAGGGGGCGGGAGAGTGAGACCATGACAGCGTACAATTCGAAGAAGAAGAGCGCTACGTTCGATCAATGCAGGGGGGAGTGGGGAGGTGGCCAGACAGGTGCTACTATGGGCTCCGCTGCTGGCTCGACCGTCGCCCATCAATACCAAAGCAATCCACCATCGACATCCACTCCTTTCTCAAGCAGCATCGACTCAAGCGCCGTTCCTCACCCCATTGAGACGTCGGATGCTTTCCCTTTCGGACCTCTCCAATCCGGCTCAGGGATCAATACCACTCCGTCGGAGCTCCCGTCTTTTGGCTCTAGCGCGTCTTTCGATACCTTCACATCTGCCGGTATTGACTTGATGTACAACAACCAACAGCAGTGGGCCTCACCGCCAGGGTTCTTACAGCCACAACAAACTTCAGGGTTAGACATGATGGGAATGGGCGGTGACTTCGACGTCGCGGGAAGGGACATGGGGACCCAACGTCAGCAAGGTTCCGGGCATGGGCGCGAGATGTGGATGGGAGGGGTTGGAAGGCCTGAGGGAGGTGCCTATGAGCAAGTTCAGCACCAAGAACGTCCAGCCTCAGTGTCAGCTCCCATGGCGCCAAATCAGAACCAGCAGTCAGACAGTGGTATCAGCCCCAGCTACGTTCCCCCATCTTATGTCTTCGGCCTTCCTGATCCGGGACAGCCATTGGCGCCACCAGCGCACAATAGCAACGCCATAACTGCACCCCACTTCGACCAGACGTTCCTCGAGGATACCGCCTCTTCTCAAGCTGCCAGTCACGCATCAGCATTGCCAGTAACTCTTCCTCCAAACTCATCACAGTACGCATACGGCATGAATGTACCTCCAGCCGGTAGTGCGCCCGACGCTGCCAGCCGCTCAGCCGACGCCCAGTTCATGCAGCCCCCACCACCCGTCACTCAAGGTAGTAGTCAAGAGCAAGCCGTTGCACCATTACAGCCACGCAATGCGCCACACCCAGCGCCCACACATTTCTCCCCATCAAAATCTAAAGCTGCCAGCGACAAAGAAGAATTGGGGTACGAGATCATCGGCATCGGGAAAACCTTTCCTCCCAAATTTGTTCACACACCCGCGTTGGTAGAGGCCTTCAACACCGTATTCAGCACCGTCTATTCGGATATCTACGCTCAAAAAGAGAGGCAGACGCCACGTCCCGGCGGCGTCACAGTCATGGAATCTCAAGCGCTCGCAAATGCCCGCAGTCGACAGGATATTATGAAGAAGGCGGCGGAGATGCACTATACAAAAACTGCGAAGCATTTGCGTATGGAGGGTAAAAACCAGGAGTGGTCTATTCATGAGGCGATGAGGCAGACGGAGATTAAGGCGCAAGATGAGGCTCGAGAGATACAGGAGAGTGTTCTGGCACAACAGCAGATGCGAGAAAATGCTCAGCACGCTGGTCAGGTCAACCCGCCGGCACCACCAGCTCCCTTCGCCAGCAGCTCACAGTCTTCCGTGGGAATCACCCAAGGAACCTTATCTGGCGACCACGGCTCAGCCGAGCAATATCAACCGCAACGGCACGAGGGAGAGTAGAATGAGAGAAGGCAGAGTATACGGGGCGGATCGGATATGTACATTATTAATTGAGAGGTGGTGGTGATGGGTGGTTCTCGAGAGCTGGATTATATCGCGATTGTGCACGTTTCTTTTGTGATGAGTGGTAGGCGTAGTAACATGCATTCAAATCTCATGTGCCGGGTGGCTATACGTTGAATGGCGATAAGACAGATGAAAGGTCACTCCGGACAAAGTAGCCCACAGCTCTGCCAAGATCTGGTCATCCGCATTCCGCTTTAGGACCTGCATCAATATTTGTTCCGCGCACTCTTTCCTCCAACCGGCAAGAGTTACTCTTTCAGTCTTCAATTCTCAATTACACCTCCATCGCCACATTCCTCTATTACATCCAACATCGACACTCGATATGTCCCCAGGCGACACCATATATCACTCTTGCGCCGTTTCCAAATCCTCATCGCATCCCGTCTGAGACATCTCATCGCTATCCACTCTTCCCGCCTAGCTTCAGCGCCTTGTCTAGCGTACGACTTCTTGACGGCTGACACTTGTACTACTACGGACACCATCACTCTCGCTTATCTGTCAAAGAAGCACTACGCCACGTTCATCCCGCGCAATGGTGTGTAAATACCTTCGTATGGAAGGAGAGCACCCTGTGGTTTGCTTGTGAGTCTTTCAATGACTCTGCAGCAATTGTTCAAACGCTCCAAAAACGCTCTGAAATTCGTGCGCTCGGAACTTCGGAAGGCCGGGCTGGGCGGCTGACGCCGACGGGCTGTGCTGGAATTGATGATGACGCTCTTGGCGTGACTTGTTGCTTTTCAGTTGCTTTTGCATCCATATCTCGTCTTTACTTGCTATCTTACCCCTCAAATACCTCTCACAATGTCCCTCCCCGCCCCCCACCTCTCCAACCCCCGCATCCCTCCCCCCGAAGGGGACGAAGACCACACCCAGCTCGCCCTCATGATCGCCGGCGAACCCTACCAAGCCAACGACAAGTATCTTGACCGTCTGCGAAACCGGGGCGCTATCAAGCTTGATGAAATTGTCAAAGTAGCGGATATGGATGAGAGGATGACGTTGTGGAGGGAGTTTGGGAATGTGGGGGAGGATGTGTTGGTTGTGCAGCGGTTCTTTTGCGAATATGTGCATGTCTTTCTTCGGGTGGATTGAGGGATGAGCTGACAGCTAGGTATAGGGGTTCAATGTGCATTTCAAGGGGGACAACTTTATTGGAGCGAACTGCACGTTCCTCGATATCTGTCCCAATACGTCGCTTCTCCAGACAAACACGTGCCCTACTGACACCTTTGCAGTCACCATAGGTCTCCACTCCATGGTCGGTCCCGACGTCAAAATCTATACCCCCGACCACCCTCTCTCCCCCGAAGAACGTTCTGGTCTCTCAGGCAAAGAGTGGGGCAAACCTATAGTCATCGAGGATAATTGTTGGATTTGCGGCGGAGCGACGATCTTGCCGGGTGTCACGATTGGGAAGGGGAGTACGGTAGGGGCGGGGTCGGTGGTTACGAGGGATGTACCGGAGAGGAGTGTGGTGGTGGGGAATCCGGCGAGGGTGGTGAAGAAGATATTGGAAGATGGGACGGTTGTAAAGGCTTGAGCGGTTGGGATCTTTGTTGGTGGTGTATGGGGCTTGTTTGATATAGATGTAATGCTATGCACTGTAACGTACAAGTAGGCGGCACGATGACGGAATCAGTTCGATCCCAGCGCCAAGCTCCGCCGAATTGTGTGTCAGGTTCGTTCCATTCTTAATTGTTCTCTTTAGATTTGCATATGGGTACTCTCAAATCCCCGCCATGTCGTCCCCATCCTCCCCCGACTCGTCCCAATCACACCCCAAGACCTGCTTTTGCCCCAACGCCGATCTATCACTCCCTATCTACGACATCACATCTCTCTGCCTTCTCCCTGCCGAGCTCCGAAACCTTGTCTTCAACTTCCTGACCGCCGACACCTGCCCCACCCACACTATCGCGCTCGCTCGGCTTTCAAAACACCACTATGCGACTCTCATCCCTCGCCTCTACAGGCGCCTCGTGGTGACGGACGAAGCCCTAGACCAGGGGCTATTCGAAGGTCTTCTGGCTGGGTTCGATGAGGACGAGTGGGAAGGTGGAGAGGAGCGTCTACTGAGCAAGAGGGATCTGCTTGGGACCTGTGAATCGCTGAATTTCGCGTCCATATACGCTATGGATGCTACCGGGGACGCGTGCAGGAAAGCATTTGAGCGCAAACAGGCCCAGAGTGACGTCCTATGCAATGGGCTCCGTGGCCTTTTCGACGGTGTTACTCATCTTGGGTATGAAGCCGAATGTATCGTGGAGTATTGTCAACTAGAGGATAACGACAGACTACCTATGGACGAGGGAGCTAGCCGCTATGGGATTCGCTCGTCGAAGGCCCAACACCCCGCCTTGTATAACCTTTCCCATGTCTGTTTCCGTCTTCCTTATCCTCTCCACTCAGCATTGTCAGACGACATCAGCGACTTTTACGAGATCTTCCCGGCTTTCGGCTCCCATGCAAGAAAGAGCTTTGTGACTCGCTTCCACAACTGCCAGTCGGACCGTCCAATGACAGGCGTTGAGTGGACCGTGCGCACTGGTCATACGATGATTGTTGACATGCTGCCGACTGAGATTGAGGAGGGAGGTAAAGTGGAAGTGGAAGTCTTGTCCCACAATATGGTCGAATGTTGCCGGCGGATTATATGTAGCGCGCGATTGTAAGCAGCCTCATATCTTCTCTCATACATAACGAACCGAGGCTCACAAACGCCACAGCGATCGCCGATATGGTCCCCCAGAAATCATTTTCACCAACCTTGGCACTACCCTCTCCCCTGACGGAACTGTTCGCCATCTCTCCCCCGACGTCAAGCAAACCGTTCTCGATGAGACTCAGACTGTAGTCCGACAGAGGGTACGGGAGATACTTTCGGAAGATGGGTTGTCGGAGTTTGCTGTGGTGGCAGACAAGATATATGTGCGAGGCTACGAGGCTTGCAAAATGTGCCCGGAGGTCGCATAGGTCTTCTTCTTCCAAGATCGGCAGAGTAGTTGCTGGTGAACGGCACGGGGAATGGTGTGATGAACGGGCAGTGGATGCGCGACGAGAGCGTGGTCACCTGTGATAGGAATAGAGAGCAAGAAGTGCATGAACAAGATATAATCAGCCACCATCCATCAAGTTGACTGTACTTGGCCGGGCTCCGCCGCAGCGTGTGTAACGGCGATCATTTACTGTTCTGTCGTTCTGTTCTTGAACTTTCAACAAAGCCGGCTTGTCTTTTTATGTCCCCGTCATGTCTTTCCCCGCCACCCTTGCCTGATCCCAAGCCGACGCCGAATACTGCTGCTCGTGCCCCAACAACGTCAATCTATCACCTCCCATCATCCATGTCAATTCATCTCTCTCCCTTCTTCTCCCCGGCAAGCTCCAAAACCTTATCTTCAACTTTCTAACCACCGACACCTGTCCTACCCATACACTCAAACTTGCCTACCTCTCTGGATCCCACTACACCACTCTGGATCCCTTGCGTCTACAAGGGCCTCGTCTGAGGGAGGCTATATAATCATCAGCATCGTCCAGCAAAGGAGGAAAGGGATGGACGTACTAATGAGGGTAGTGCTGATAACACCTTCCCCCAGTGATGAAGGGGCCCTCTTACTCCACTACCTATTCGTACTTGTCTCGGGACACCAACAAGCATGAACGAGAACGCTTGAAGCCATAGGATGAGTGGTATGCAGACTTGGAACCATTCGTAGTCTTTCCAGTTCTATCCGCGGTGTCAGCGGCAAATGACAGACAAAAGTGAAAGATGTGCGTACCCTCATTTGCCATCCGCCGAACATGGAAAAGGACGGACTCAACAAGAGAGTTCGCGAAGAGAACGAACATGAAAAGAAGGGTACTCGCTATTGCCCTGTGGTTCACGCCGTCTAAATCTTGCTCTGACGGCATCCTCCTTGACAAGATCTGACACCAAACTCCAGTCTACAAGTGCTTGCTCGAATTGTAGTACTCTCGAAAGCGCAGCATCTGATTCGAACTCCCCAACTTGTTCGCTGAAGTTTTGCCCTTCTCCGTCTCCCCATCGAGCACAGCAGTGCTTCTCTGCAGGGCAAACAGATATCGCAGGGGAATTTGTTTCCATGCTTCCGCAGGTATATGGTCAAGAGTGAATGGGAGGTGTGTTGGGAGTGTACCGAACGGGGAGGGACGGTGTAGTAAAGAGTGAGGCTTGTTGTCTGGCGCCAAGGAGGGCTGATACTCTTGGATGACCAGAGATGCCAATTTAAAGAAATCGGCTTGGGCAGCGAGGACAAACACGTCCAGAGGTCGGGCGGAGCACGTGGGTAAGGTGAATGCCTCTCGGGTGAGATAGTAAAGAAAGCTCTCCAACAGCCGTAGGGCAGTGGGACAATCATACTTCTTGGCAAATTGAAGAAAGTAGAATATGTGGTAGGCTGTGACAGTGTAGCCATCGTAAGGCCCGGGTGGAAATGCGTAGCGAGCAACGTCGAATTTTTGACCTTGGACGACGAGAAGAAACAGCGTTAACTGCGCAGCAGACTCGAGGTCGGGGTCGGAAAGAGTGATGGTGGGAGGTGACTCGGTGGACGGGAGCTCGAGCATGTCGCACAGCACGGTGCTGAGAATGAGGATGGTAAGCAAGGCTGCCTTCGCGCTTTGATTATAAAGACTCACCTGTGGGACTGAAGCAAATGTTTGGGCACAAACAAGAGACGATTGTCGGCACTGATCAGTCTGACCTCGCTCGGGCCTGCGCCTTCTTTCGACTTCCATCTCTCTCCGTACAACGTGGGTTCTTCCTTTGGGCTGGATCCGTTGGGAATAGTCATTGTCTTGATTTGGGCAGATGCCGATGTTGGAGTAATGGTATGGGAGTCAGAAGTAGATGGATCCCCGAGTTTGCCCCGAGTTCGCGTTGGGGCAGGGTGAAAAGTCGTGACGACACAGTTTCCCCGGCGGCCGTCACCACTCCCGGGTAGCCGAGGGCCAACCTTTTGCGCTTTGCACCATCTCAGCTTGCGCAATACGTCCAAGAGCTCGCGATGCATTGCGTACCTACGCCGCCATTACGATGGAATCAGAACAAAGAAGCACGAAGAGACGACGGAAAAGCTCTTCCGAAGGAAGAGCAGAGGCTCATCTGCAAAAGTCCACGTCGCGTGCTCTTCCAGAATCCCCTCTATCTCCCTCGCTCGCCGTACCCCGCCTTCCCCCACCCTCATCCTCCAAGCGAAGTTGCTGTTCTTCTAATCAGATTACGCTCATCGTCACGCATGCATCGCATTGAGACCTTCTTGAGCTGCATCTCGTTTTTCATTCCAAAAGCCACGATTAAAAACCCCCGTGCCTTGTTCCTACGCTAAGGAAATGGTAATCGACGCTAGTAAAATGAATTTCCCTTCTCTTTGTGCATTCCCGACAATTCGCGTTCCACGCTTGTTGGGCTGCTTGCTGGCCTTTATTTTGAGACTAGTGAAAAGAGATCTCTCGTTGTTTTTTTTGGATCCCATGTTGCCCCGCACCCGCATCCGGTGTTTGAAGAGGCACCTCTTAACCTGAGGTAGGTAGGTACCGGGGGGGCACGGGGGGTGGAAAGCCGATTGCGCGGCATGCGCGGTTGCGGCCCTTGCGGCCCTTGCGGGTCTTGCGGGGGGACCTGGGGGGGGACCTGGGGAGTGGGGCGCTGGAGGGCAAGAGGAGGGAGCGTTACGTTGGATGACCGATGAGTTGCCTAACTTGTCGGGAGGAGTTGGTTAAGAAGGATTGCTTGTGTGTTGAGGCAGAATGAAGCTTTCTGCTGCTCGGAGTGGAGCAGTTGTGAGCAATGCAGCTGTTGCCAATCAAGTCTGTAACATACGGTCCTTTCTTCAACAAGCACATGTTTGATCCGCCTTCACCGGGGGGCCCACATGTAACACAACCTCTCCGTCCTCACTCTGAATTCTGATCTGAAACGCGTGAAATCCTAATCGAAGGCACACAAATAAAAGATAATCCAACAAAATTCAAATTCGAACCTCTCTTTTGTCTTTTATCCTGACTCCTGACTCCTGACATCCGACTGCGAGAAGCAAAAGAGCCCCAAGATCCCTTAGATAAGCGGTGTGTTCGGCACTTGTCGGAGGTCGGACGCACGCCCCACTCGCCCGGTAGGGGTACATACGTAGCGCCGGGTAAACATGAGCTTGGTATTTCGTAAAATAATTGTAATTGTACGGCCGCTACGGCCTATACGTACGGGCCTCTACGGGCATTATTATGTAGGAACAATTAGAGAATAAAACCGATTTTTGGGGGCCTCCGTCATCACAGCTTGCTTGCCTCCCTTGCTCCCTTGCTCCTTGGTCACACAGCTTTGTTGTCGATTCCAAAAAAACTGCGATTTGTACGATGGATGTGAGATTTGTGAGATTTGTGAGATGGAGATGGAGACGGGCTGGGGCCTGGGGCCTTTGGACGGGGGTGGCATCAAGGTGTAGTAACCAGGCTCGAAGCGAGAAAGCGACCCTCCTTCTGCGGTTCTGCCAGCCAATTGCTGTTCGATGTCCCGTCGTTCGTTGTGCGGTTGTGGAGCTCGAAGCCTCGAACAGCTCTGTCGTCTGTTCTGTTCGTCTTTTCTTTGCGGGAGAGGAAACTTTCGGCCGGGGGGAGTTACATATGGACATGATGGTTACAGGATACAGGACACAGGGAGCATCGACCCCTCCATCTCCCTCCGATCGAAGACGACAAACAACAACAGAAAACCTCATGCGAGATCGTCGCCAGAGGCACAACCCACCAACAACGACGGCTCGGCGCACCGAGCCCCATATGTATCCATCATCATTCCATCATTCCATCATCCCACATCCCCCCCCCCCCCCCCCTCCATTTTCCTCTCACTCCCCTCTTCAAGTCGCTCAGCGCTCCCATCTTGAAACCAAAGGAACCCAAAGAACCCAGGGAACCCAAGGAGGCAAGGAAGCCAAGGAAGCAAGAAGCACGACGCACGACGCCTTTTGGCACTTTGGGAGTTTGGACAAGCTTTTCGGGTCGATTTAACGCTTTTGGCCTTTTGGGTCTAGAAGCATCTGTCTCTTTCGTGGGCGGCTTCGTGGGCTTTGTGGGCTTCGTGGGTGGGTTGAAGCCAGGGGCCAGAGTGCAGATGCCAGTGGTGTCATTTGAGTGAGGGCAGGGGAAGGGAGTAGGAGTAGGAGTGCGCGGACCTTGCATATGTACAATCTCTCTCTCTCTCTCTCTGTAAACTTTGAAGCTGTAATAAGCGCCAGGCAAGGAAGGGGTGAGGATGCGAAAAAAAAAAATCGACGAGTCGACTCTGTGTTCTGCAGACATGCGTATGTACGTTCATGATGATAATAATATAGTAGACGGTCCAGAGTCCCAGACGGCAATTGGCAAACGAGAGACGACAGACGACAGACGACAGACGGCCGACGGGATCTTCTCCGCGTTGTTTGGTTCACTCCCCCGCACCGGCGTTAGCGCGATATGTACGTACACAGTTCATCACGAGTACGATGCACGATGTGCACCCAAAACCAAAATAAATGTCTTGACCAGTTTTTCATCTCCTTGTCAACAAATTGAAAGATGATAAAAAAGTGACTAACCCACCCAACCCGCGAAATGACCACCAATCCTTCTGTTGAATCTAGCTGCATCAAGAAGTGCACAGACTACAGAGTGACAAGTTTTGCGCTCCAGGCTCCAGGCGCCAAGCTCTTCAAAGTTCAACAAGACTGATTGGCGTAGAGCCGAAGAGAGTGTGGAGGTGTAAATGAGCGGATTGACGGATTTTGAAAGAGAGCGGGGAGGGGCCGAGATCGGAATTTGAGGGAAAGAAAGTATACCCGCGACACCCGAGGTGCCCGTGGGCCCGTGGGCCCGAGTTATACCTGATACTTTACCTGTGATATATATCTAATTGTCGGGCTTTGCTCGGTTTTGACTAGGTATTGACCATGGCCACTGCCATCACCCAATGTGGCGCTATGCGCCATCCCTGGGGACGGTATCCGATCTGTTACTTGCTGTTCAATACGCGTTGACCGGAATGTGTTGGATTGGGTAGATGTGCAAACTGCAAAGTGACCAGATGACAGGAAGCGTGCCGAAGATGCCAAAGTATACTCCTGCTTCACCGGGTTCACGTAAGAAAGAATGCAGGTGATGGAAGCAACAACAAAGGTCCCAAGCCCCCAAGCTCTGCGGAGGGCATGTCATTTGTACGGCACGTAACCTACATTTCGCTGTCTCTCGCCTGTCGGAGATGGGCTGCACATGGTCACGCCTGGTGACGAGTCCTCTCCCCCGCGCATGCCCTCACGACTGACAGCCCGGTCGTGGTGTTTCGCCCCCGTGGGCTGCGGATGGCCGAGGGACGGAAGCAGATGGTGAAGCAGTAGAGTAAGCAGCAGCAGCAGCAAGCAGTGCGGCTACGGATGACGTAAGGCAGGGCTCACTCGGAGCGGCAGATAAGGAGGCAAGTAATTCAGGGCGGGGTGTTCTGCGCTAGTGGCAGGCTGGAGGAGGCTAGTGGTGCACAAATATGCCCCATCTTGTGCTGTCCTCTGCTGCTCTTCCATCTGTCCGTCTGTCCATCTGTCCTCCCATCCACACCCAGCGGCACCCCCCGCCACCCCATCTCTGTCAGTGCCCACCCGACCGGCCTTTACCCGTACACGCGCTGACTCTTTTCTTTTCTTTTCTCTTCCCCACGCCGTCTCCTTTTCACCACCCCCAGCCACCATGTCCACCTCTGAAAACTCTTCCCCGACAGATTTCGCTTTCGAGCCCCCAGCCCTGCCGTCCGCAGGCCACCCCTTCGTCTCTCCCGGCACCTACAAAGCCGACCCCTTACGCCAGGCTTCCTACGACCCCTCCCTCCCGACTGGCTCCTTCACCCCCGCCGCCGCCAACCCCCCAGTCGGCGGCTACTTTGGCGACACTTCCTACCAACCACAACCCGGCTTTGGCCAGGGTCAAGGCCAGGGGCAATACGGAGCTCTCAATTCAGCGCAGTCGAGTTTCTCGTCGGCGTCGGGCAGTGCGGCGGGTGGGTCTTTTTCGTCCGTCGACTTGCCGGGACCGAGTTTACCTGGTATTTCTAAAGAGTTTTCACGCCCTTCCCTGGCGGATACGCGTCGGCCGGCGACCGCCAGTGCCATCCAGACAAGAGGGCAGTACGGCGACTATATGATTGGCGGCGGTGAAGACCCGCGCAGACTTTCGCAACGGCACGTCCAGCATCTCTCGCCGAACGAAAAAGACGAGGATGATGAGGGCGATTCGTCGGATACGGAGAATGTGTCGCCCGAGACGGTATACATGCCGAGCAACAATAGACGGGCGAGCGAACCGCATTTCAACTTGCCAGGAAATGGCCAGAACTGGAATCAGTTCCCACCTTCAGCGTCTCACGATGCATCCGGAGGGGCATTCGGCTTGCCTTCTGCTCCCGCGCACGTGAGCCCCATGGGCTACCTCCAACAACAACAACAACAAACCACCCACCTCCCTCCCTCCCACTTTTCCAGACCCTCCTTCTCAAACCGTCCTCAAACATCAGACGGTCTCCCGTCGTATACAAACACCGTCACCCTGCCCCCGGCGTCTTCCATCGCGCGGCACGTACCGGGCGGGGGGAACGACTCGCCCTTCTTTCACCATCCGCCTGGGATCCCACCCCCAGGCGCGAGGGGCTACGAAGGGACTTTCCCGGGGAACAAGAGTTTTGCTTTCGACGGCCAAATCAGGCCGCCGGTACCGCCCGCTATCCCCGGCGGTATCCGGCCCTCCTACATCCCCCCTCACCCCCACCCCATGCTCAAATCCGACCTCGCGCCCTCTGACCAAATGGGCTACATGTCCCTCTCCTCCGGCGTCCTCCCTCCCACGTCTCTTCCTTCTGCAGGCGGCGGCGGTGGGAGCAGTGGTTCGGGCCAGCCGAGAAAGAGGCCGAGGAGGCGGTATGAGGAGATTGAGAGGTTGTATCATTGTGGATGGAATGGGTGTGAGAAGAGTTATGGGACGTTGAATCATTTGAATGCGCATGTGATGATGCAGAAGCATGGTGAGAAGCGGTTGCCTTCCGGTACGTCCTTATCTTCCCTCTCGTGATCGAAAGGCTAATGTAAGAGCAGAATTCAAGGAGATGCGAAAAGCGTGGAGAAAGAAGAAGCGCGACTCTGCCACCGCCACCGCCAACGCCAACTATCTCACCCAAGCCTCCGCATGGCAAGCAAACCAAAGCCGTCTCTCCCTCTCCGCCAACTCGTCTTCCGGCGAATCCGACTGGGACCGCCGAGATTCCACCTCTTCCGCCTTCTCCGTCGGCTCCGAGCGCGCCGGCTCATTCGCAGCGCAGGGGGGTATGGGCATGCCCCTGATGGGCGGTGTGCCCGGTGCTGGGTATGCGGGAGGTGGGGGGTGGGGTGTACCCGGGGTGCCGGCGGGGGTGATGCAGGGTGTGCCGATGCAGGGGATGATGCAGATGGGCCCTGGGTTTGGGAATGGGGTGATGATGGATTCGAGGCCGTCCACGGCGGGGTCGATGTCGAGTGCGATGAGCGTTGAGCCGGGGAGGTATGCGCCCACTCCTCCCGGCTCTGCACACGGTCATCCTCTACCTCATCCTCATCACCAACACCCTCATCATCCCCACCCAGGCCACCCGGGTGTCCAACCAACATTCTTTGTCAACCCCCCTCCCCCACAATCTCTCCCCTCCCTCTCTGCCTCTTCGACCGCCTCCACCCCCGGCCCCACCTCGGCTTCTGCTTCTGCTTCTACTTCCGGCCCCGGTGCAGGCGCAGGCGCTATAGGCAACCGCCGCCCAAGCGCGCCGAATCATTTGCTGTTACCAGACCACAACCTCCTAGATGGGTTCCGAGTGACGGAAGATCACTCGACACCGACGGCGGGGAACCCGTTCCCAGCTGGAGCTGGGAGTGCGCCGGGGACGAGACCTTCGTCTTCCCATGGCCAGGGGCAGCAGCAGCAAGGCCAACAACAACAGCAAGGGGGCGAAGGGCAGGGGCAGGGGCAGGGGCAAGGGGGGCAGGGGAAGGGGTTTGCGACGTTGAATAGCCCGGTTAATGGGAGTGCGGATTATGGGCAGTTTGCTTTCCAGCGTTAAAAAACGCGCTTGCGCTCGAGGTTGAGGGGATGGTGGGGTTCTTGTCTTTTGATGTTTTGATGTCGGACATTTCTTGTTTTTAATTATACACGGTTCTATACCAGCCTGTCTTCTCTCTTCTTTCGATTACTCTATTCAGAGTACTTGTTCTCTTTTCTCTTCTTTCGATCGCCTTTTTTTTCTTCTGATTTAGACTCAAACTTCCTCTCTTTCCTTCTTCCCTTCTCTTATTTCTTACCAAACAACGTCTTTTGTTTCATGTTCTGTAGCATCTAGCAAAACCATTTCTCTCTTTCTCTCTTCTTTTGTTTTTTTCCTCTTTTGTGCTTCTCGAGGCGAGATAGATTAGATGGCGTCATTGATTTCGGCGATATACCAAACGACAAAAGGGGGCGTTCTCGTCTTGCTCGGGCGGAGACTTTTCTATATCTAGATCTAGGCTTTTTTGCATTGATTTACAAGCATCGGGTGGACAAAGTGGCATGTAATCGGACTGTTTTGGCATACACATTCGACATCTTGCTGTGCTTGAACGATGAAAAGATGGTGAGCGAGACCGGGAAGGAGGCTCGCCGCGTTATCTCAAAGCGAGATGTCCGTCCATGGCTGATTTGATGTTGTTGCATAGAGAACAGTCGATCATGATAAATATATACAACGGGCTTGCAGTCCCACAGCCCACAGCCCACAGCCCTCTACGGCATGACCGTCTTACGCCAGCACTCTAATCCCTCCCTCCCCTTCCCTGCACCCTCTCCGCCCACCTAACCGCATCCCTCCTCCCCCTCTCAATCCCCACCCTCCAAAGCACCGGTATCGGCACCACCAACATCACCAACAAGAACAAGAACCCATACCGTATATTCCCCGTCAAGTCGGATATGAGGCCGACGGCGGCGGGGCCGATGAAGGAGGCGGATTTGTCGGTGAAGGAGAAGAGGGAGAAGAAGGTGGATTCGTGGCCCGGGGGGATGAGTTCGGCATAGACTGCGCGGGAATAGGAGAGGAAGGGGCCGAATATCTAAAGCCTTCATGTAAGAGGGAGGTGGAAAGGGAGTGGTGGGGAGGGGACTTACGAGGCCGAACCAGAGTGCCAACACATACATCTCCCCCTCCGTCCTCAACCCCGCAAACGACACCACCAACCCCAAAGAAGTATAGAACGGTATGATGATAGCAGCCAGGACGCAGCAGATGAGGATATTGAAGTTTGTGATAGGTTTGTCGGGGGTGGAGAGACGGTGTTGGAGGCGGGGGACGAGGGTGGATGAGATGACGGCGGCGAGCTGGACGAGGATGCCGACGAGGATGATTTTGGGTGGGGACATGGAGAGGACGGAGGAGGCGTAGAGGATGGCGGCGTAGGTAGTTGTGTGGAAGCCTGACATGACGTTAGAGGATGGTATCATGGGCGCGAAGATGAGACTCACCATCTGATAGAAAGATCCAGGCTAGGAGATAGGTGTACAGACCTGGTAGCTGCCGTATCTGGCTAGGGGCGATCATACTCCCCATTTTCACCCAAGCTTCTTTGATCTGGCGCGTACTGATCTCGGACCTATCTTCTCCATTCGAAGGCAATCCAAGCCAGGAAGGGATGGTGAAAACGGCCCACCAAATTCCACTCAGCCCGATGCCCAGTCGTAAAGAAAAGGTCGAACCGTCCAGCGCCAAAACAGGAATGAGAAGCAGTATCAGAACGGATACGCCCGAGAAGAAGCCAACAGCGATGCCGATCGAGGAAAGGCGAGAAGTGGTGAGGGATAAAAGAGCGTCGTATCGAGATTCTGGAGTGGTGTCGTGGAGAGAGGTCTTGACGGCATTGTCAGCGTCGGCGAGATCTTGCGTCGAGATGGCCATGACCGCTGGGACGAGTTGGTGGGGTAGAAGATGCGTCGCTTCGTCCCCCGAGTCAGGGCCGCCACTCAGATCACTCAGCTCTTCGTCCTGCTCTATTGGGCCCTCCTCCCGGACATCCGCCGACATCCTCTCATCCCAGAGTCTTCGTACGTCTTCGTCCTCTCGAGCGAGCTGCGGTAAGAAGGCATTCGCGCAGACGATACTGGTCGAGTATGCTGCGCCGGATATAATGTTGAGGAGCGCTGATAGAAGAGGGGTGGAGGAATGGGGAAAGAGGAGGAAGAGTGTGGCGGCGATAGAGCCAGAGTAGGCGAATGTGATCAACAGACGTTTGCGCCAGTACGCTGCTCAAGGTTAGCTTTGCCTTCAGGGATGTCATGGCGCTTACTAGAGTCTGCTAGGGGTCCAACAGAGATGATACAAATGGCTTGAAAGGCGACAGCCACTGACTTGACGTACATACTGCCACATTTCGTCATTCTAGTTCGAGATGAAGGAGACCGAGCAAACACACCTGAAGGATGCGGTGTCAATCCAAGCGCCCATTATCTTTGCTTTGCAGACTCTTCCAATGCCTTCCACAATATCACTACTTGTTTGACAAGGTTCCAGAAGGTCAGGCGCGTAGAATCCGACCTCACGGGCCATCTCTGCCTTGGTTCAGCTCGGCACAGCGGACGCTCGTGGTAAACACGCACGTTCCAGCGTTATTGGTAGGAAGATAGCCTATACGAAGCTTGTCAATATGCAACTAAAAGAGAGATAGAAAGGCGACTCACCAAGGCGCAGGCAGAAAAGACTTCAGCTGCAAAAGCATAGCTATACCACGCCCGCAGATGCGGAGGAGGTAAGGAGAAGCCCATGGTGGGACACGCTGGCTGTTGGATCGAGGTGGCAGTTGATCTCAGCAACCTTGGAGACGTTGAGGCAGCACAGCCCGCATGAGGGATCAATAGACAAACAGAAGGCCGTCGGTCGGTCTTATCTGCCCCTCCACTTTGTATCTTGGGTCGGCGAACCAAACATTATTGCGTTGTTGCTTTGCCTGGCTTGCGCGTTCGACTCAAGCCAGCTGGAAACCATGCATGAACAGGACGAAAGTCGGAGTCATCTCTGCATATGAAGTGACATACTGATACTGCTTCCAGTCAAAGGTACTACTGGAGAGTCGCCGCAACCATTCTGAGTAGTAACTCTTTGATCAAGAAGAATGACCGAGACAAGGGTAGGGGGGTTGCTCTTTAAGAGGCTCATGATGAAAACATAGGGTCTATAGTGCTACAGAGGATCATGGGCTTTCCAGAAGGTAGAAGGAGCGTTGCTAAAATCCTAGATGAGACGACGACCGGGCCCTTTTCTCGTCTGGTTTTTTTGCCTGTCGATCTAATGATGATATATGGTCCCTAGTAGCTGAAGGATAGTCCTATACTATACGTGTACGTACTCTTGCAAGTCCATGGCCTTATACAAATAGGTCTGGCGACAGTAGTGCAACGATAACAAGGGACCCGAAAGCCGATGCTCGGTCTCTAAACACACCCCGTCAACTATCGGATCTCGCCTATCGGGCAACTCCGATGGGACCACAAGTTGACCACAAGGTGTGCCCGTATTTTATAAACCTGTATCTTTTTGCTCTGTCTTTCCATCAAACTCATCACCGCCACTCAAGACCCAGCTGGAACATTTCCAGGGCGTAGCAAAGTCGAAGCCACTGGTTCGGACGCCTAAAAAATCGACCTCGTCCCTGTGAGAAGACGCACGCAATCACCATTCATGTCAGACGCGACCGAGCGCCAAACGCTCTTGCCTTCCTCTGACACCCGTCATCCTCTCTCGCAACCTCCGCTCACTCGATCTGGAAGCTCAGCAACACTGATAGCATCGAACTATGGCGCGGTCGACAGAGATACGGACTCACAACCACCAAAACCGAAACCAGAGCAGGAGCTGCATCACAAGCAGTTTCATGAAATATGGGCTTTATTTATGGGCCTGGCGTTTGCGTGAGTTAATCAGTCATCAGATGCAGACAAGGCTAACATGTCTTTCATAATAGTGTATTTTGCTCAGCCCTCGGCGCGACTATCGTGGCCAATCTCACTATCGAGATCGGCTCGTACTTTCATGCCGGTTCTCTGGTGCGTCTTGTTTTGTCATCTTTTCTCCTTACTGACAGTCATCAGTCTTCATGGCTCGGTACAGCCTTCCTCTTGGGTCTCACGGCTATGACTCCTCTATACGGTCGTCTCGCGCAAGTCATGGGCCGAAAAGGGTGCATGCTTCTGGCTTTGACCTTCTTTCTGAGCAAGTCCCTTTCAACTCTTGTGGTGAGGACTGAGCTGATCTGTAGTCACAGCTGGTACGGTGCTGTGCGCGGTGGCACCGAGTATGCAGTTCATGCTGTTCGCCAGAGGCGTTGCGGGAGCAGGAAGTGGTGGCATCTTGACCGTCACCGTACGTCCCGTATGCCCTCACTCGCCCGAAGGCTAACATGCCTTTCAGGCCATCATCATCTCCGACCTCGTCTCCCTCGCTGACCGTGGCCTCTACCAAGGCGGTATCAACCTCCTCTTCGGTGGCGGATCTGCCTCCGGTGCCATCCTCGGTGGATACATCTACGACAAATTTGGCTGGCGGGCGGCTTTCTGGGTACAGGTGCCGCCGGTCTTATTTTCGTTTGTGATGGTCATCTGGAAGGTAGACGTGGGGAGAGAAGAAGGTGAAGATGCTGGAGGAAAGACGGCTTGGGAGAAGGTGAAGGGTATAGATTGGTTGGGGAGTTTTGTGCTCATGATGGGAGTGAGTCTGGACCTGCGACGAGCCGATGACCGAGCTGACGAAAGTATAGATATCGAGCTTCTCCATATTCTCATCGCTTTTCACCTCTTCTCAGTACCCCTTCCTCCACCCTCTCCCGCTCTCACTGTTGATCACTTCCATCGTCGCCTGTCCCGTCTTCTACGTTGTGGAGAAACGTGCACACCAGCCCATCCTGCCTCTCACGCTGCTCACCCGGGCACAGCCGAGTATCGTTCTTGCAGGATTCGTGTCTACTACTGCCACCAACTTTTCTCGAGTGAGTTTCTTTGTCTATTGTCTGCTGCATCCACTGACCAAAGAATAGCTGTATATGCAACCGGTCTACCTGCATGTTGTGAGAGGGTTGAACGGTTCCGAGACGGGGTTGCTTCTCATCCCGAGCTCTATTGCTGGATCGTTCTCTTCCCTATATGCCGGATGGCACATGAAGGTACGCACCATCTATCCCTTGCATCTCCTTGTCAATCGTAGCTAATTTTGTGAGTAGCACTGGAAAGAATACAAATGGTTCCAAGTCTGCACATCACTCATCCCATGGCTTCAAGCTCTCTCAATCATGATCGGCTGGGGTCCCGAGACGAGTGCGACTAGGCTGTGGAGTGAGATGGCCCTTGGGTCCTTGGGAGGAGGCGCTACCATCACTACCCTCTTGAGTATGTCCACCCCTTACCCTCTCGTGGCCATGATGCTGATGATTACATAACCTCCCTCATCGCATGCGTCGAACCCGCTGAAATCTCCCTCGCCATCTCCGCCTGCTACCTCTTCCGCGCGATCGGCCAAGTTGTCGGCGTCGCCATCTCCTCCGCTATCCAACAATCCATCCTCATCTCTTCCCTCTCTTCGCGCTTCCCTTCAAACCCAGATCTCGTCAGAAAGTTGATCCAGGAGCCGGCAGAGATCATGCCTTTGTTGGGGGTGGAAGACGCGTGGGAGGCGAGGCTGGCTTATCTGGATAGTATCAGGGGAGTGTTTGGGTTCGTGGTGATTGGAGGGATTGCGTTGACGGGGGTTTGTATCATGATCAGAGGGAGGAAGCTTTGATTGATTACGTTCTTGGGCTTCTTGCTGAGACTTCTTGTTGATACGAGTGTCATATATTTTGATTTATTGAGATGTCGTGTATCATCGATTGCTCCTGCTCCCTGTTGCTATACGATGCCTCGGCCCTCAACGCATATGCTCGGCTACCCGGGGGTTGGTGCCGGCCGCCGAAACATCCCAGTTGTCACCACTTTTCGTCTTTTCCCACGCTGATCAGATCAGTTGACACCCATACCATCACTCCAGCACCGACACCGACCTGAATCCAGACGATGGCAGCTCCGATAGAAGCAGCCGGGCAAAGAGAAGTGCCCAAGTTGTACGGAGAGAGATGGAAGTCGAAAGAAGGCGCAGGCCCGAGCGAGGTCAGACTGATTAGTGCCGACAATCGTCTCTTTTTTGTCCCTAAACACTTGCTTCAGTCTCACAGGTGAGTGCTACTGCGCAAAAAACGAGGACAGTCTGACTTACCAGTCTTATTTTCAGCACCGTGCTTTGTGACATGCTCGAGCTTCCCGCCACCGAGTCACCTCCCACGATCACTCTTTCCGACCCCGACCTCGAGTCTGCCGCTCAACTAGCCCTATTCCTCCTTGTTATCCAAGGATATAGCTTCCTCGCAGCTCGCAACCAACTTCCTTATGTGCGCTGCCACTTGATCACAGTCAACCGCCTATCCAACTTTTTCCAATTTGCCAAAAAGTACGACTGCCCCAATGCCCTTCTGCTGTGGGAGAACTTCCTTTATTATCTGGCGCGAGAGGAGTTTCGTCCGCTCGAATGTACCGCTAAGCCATTGGATATATTTGTCCTCGCCGCCCAGGCCGACTTGGGCGGGTTGGCATCGCTGGTCCTTGACCTGTACCAGCCCTCACTGGTCACCGACACGTCCCATCGCTCCTACCCGTTATCTGACTACCCCTCCCCGTTTGGTTATCTCCAAGCACACCTCCCATTCACACTTGGAACTATACCTGTGGTATCTTGGAAACATATACCCCTGCGATATCTCTTTGCCCTGCAGAAGAGCACCGATGAGCTCGATGGGAGTACGGAGCCGCCATCGCTGCAGTCGGGAGTTCAGAGCCGGAAGTTACGATTTGAAGAATCATTGAAGCTGGGGAAGAATTTGTAAACTGGAGTGTGGCCTCCTATTGCGTTAAGGGGGATGTCTTTAGGTCAAGCTTTAGGCGACGTATTCACGAGAGAATTGCGAGTGTCCTTCTTTTCGCGTTTCTTCCCTACATACTGACCCATCAATGCGTATTAGTGTCATGTAGTCCGTTCAAATCTGACCTGTCTCATGAGGGCTACGCTTGGAACGAGAGGGGACTGGGGGACAAAGCGGTATCATCATAGAGACAAGGCTTCTCAATCTTCTCATACACCCCCTTCTTCATGACATAGTAGTAGTTCTAAAACGTTTCGATACACGGTGTATTGCGTTGATGTGATGCATTCTGATATATAATGGAGCACTTGATAGAGGTGGGAGAGTGTCGTTCATAGTCGGTAACATTGACCCACCAGCTTGCACTGTACTCGAGTACTCGGGCTGCGTATAGGATGGTCTCCGCACACTCGAATTAAGTCTTGAGTGAACCCCTCCGATACCCGTCCAACCATTCGATATCTTCCACGCCTGCCTCGTTGAGGATTAATGGGTCTATTGCTGTGGGGCGTGTATATGTTTGGATTCTGGAAGGTACACTTTGGGCGGGAAGGATAGGGGAAGATATGGCGGAGAGGAGGGCTCGGAAGAGTGTCCAATTATGTTCAGGTAAGTTCAGTCGAAAGCATCGACACCTTATGGCTGATTCAATGTTTAGAATCAGATATCGGCGCCCCTCCCTATCAAACCTCGATCCACTCGTTCTGATACTTTACCCTCCATCCTACACCCTTCTTACTCGATATCGTCGCCCTGTCCATCTGCTCGTTTCGAGAGCCGGCTACGAACGTGAGGAGAGCAAGAGAGGAATGCGTGGGAAGCGATTTGTGTGGTATTAGGGGGCTATATGGGTCTTTATCAGGATCAGGGGTAACAATAGGCGTATGTCGGCGTGTGTATCAAGAGAGATGTTCGGCGGGTCAAAGCGCGGACGAGATTAGAGCTCGATAACTCGTTGCACTCGTGCAGAGAAGCTCTGGCGCGAGCCGCCAATATGATACAGGCCGTTATATGGGCGACATCTTTACCCGGGGAGTCTGGAGGGATTGGAGAGTAAGATCAACGCAAGTTGTCTTCCAACAATTCTGAGTTTCTGTAAAGGGTAGGATAGGTGAGGCATAACCTAAGGGCGGTTACGTGGTGGATCTGACTAGGGGCGCCAGATGTCGACCTTGAATAGGCTGGAGGGATGAAGGATGGATATAGGTGAGGAGGTTATTACGAGAATACATCGATGGGGAAAAGGATACGGAGACGCGGCACGATGTATATATGGGAACCTCATCTCGCAATCCCGCCTACGCATCCCTGAGACCATAGCGGCAACCCTAGTCACCGAACCCTGCGTCCAAAGTACACGTCACAACATCTGTACCAATCCCTTACAGTTTCCCCTTCTTGTACTCCAGGTCCTCTGCCGCTTTTCTCGAAGATGTTGGCCGTTGCCGTAGCAATGGGCTTGTTTTCAGTTGTAGCATAGTCCTTTCTAGAACCCGACTGTCTATTTGCATTGGAAACTAGTCAATCTATCCCTCCTCAGACCTGATCGTACATCTACCGTGACCCAACACTCGCCGCCACTGCTCACGACGCAGAGAATGAGGAGCGGGCGGCAACCGGGTAAAAAAGTCTGACGTGGAAGCCGCGCATGACTGCAAACCGCAGCTGCAAACAAAACACGCGACTTTCACAACCTGTGTTACCTTTTCGCCAGGCAACAACCCGTCCCTAACTACTCATAATGCTCTTAGAATCTCTGAGCACGTACCCGTCTCTCACTCCTGACACGCTACATTCCTTCTCTCCGTACCCTCTTTCCTCGCGCGAACATCTCCACAAATCCCTCCTCCACCCCTCCTCTGCCTCTTCTTCTCAAGCAGGACCCAGCACCTATCGATCAAGCGGTATCAGCGGTATCCAGCTCCTACCTACCAACGCCGACCCCGACGAGCAAGCACAAGATGCCCGGCAGTCAGCTGGTATGATGCGCCGGCGCGCGGAGGAGAGAGTATTGATGGGCAGGACGCCGGCCGGAGTCATGCTGGGAAGGGAGGATGATGAGGTGACACTGGAGGAGGAGATGATGGATCAAGGACAGGTATGTGTCCTAGTTTTGGTTTGCTTTGAGAACGCGAGCTGATCGGCGATTTGAAGCACGACGTGACTATGTTTGGTCACCGATTCTTATTGCCGTACGGGAGAAGACAGACGCAAATGGAAATTGATTCTGCGCCCGTATGCCTCCGCCTCTCATCACCTCTTGGGACTGATAGACTGACCTTGTCTTCTTGAACAGTCTCCGTCGCCTTCCGAAGCAGACCACGAACGGCGACAAGAAGACCCCTCTGGCATACTCCACCACCATCATCACCCCCCAGACGATGATACAGAGAATGAAGATGACGAAGATGTGGCTGATCTGGATGGCAGCGTGGAGGATATGGACGCAAGTCAGTTCGATGATGAGGAAGATGATGATGAGGGTCTGGAAGCGGAGGAGGCAGGCGTGGATCTGGACGATGGGATGGAAGATATGGATGAAGAGTAGTGCCCAGATGCGATGATTCGTTCTGCGGCCCCTGTCCTGGTGGACGTTGATAGCGCAGGCTAGCTCGACCGATCCCCTCCATCGCAGGCACACGCAGGCAGCGGGGACGGCTTTCGCGAGGCCTTTTCTCCTCATAGCCAATTCGATTGAGCTGGAATATTCGGGTGCTCCAATACTCCATCATGGGATGCTACGTACTGCACTATGACAGGAGCTGACACGAGAATCAAACATTGAAGAGGACGGCGTCGACTGGTCGATTATATCAGTTGGTTTAGATTGTGGACCTAATAATTCAAGCGGGTCATTAGTCCAAGGTCGGCAGTTCGATCCTGTCATCGATCATGACTTTTTATTATTATTTTCCTCTTCCTAGTGACCAAGATGGTTCTGTTCACGAGAAGGGATCATCGCTTTCCAGATCAGGCAGTGATGCTTCGTCGGAAGCCATCGAAACACACCAGAGCAGTATGAACGGACGCAGAGCACATTTCAAACGCACCATCACCACTTGTAAACGTGTACTAACAGGCAGCGTCTACCAACACATAAACGGCTCAGACATCAATACGAGCATAACGTGAGATGGACGGTGGCGAATGCGCATCTAGGCATCGTACTCGGGTCGTGTTTGCGATCCGTCATTCCCAGCGATATGTTTGCATTTACCCTGCGCTTTCCAGCCCTCAACATTGCAGCATCAGCTTGCTTGCGCGTAGATGAAACCCCATAAAAGCAGGACATCGCCAAAAGGAAATAACAAGACATACAGCACAAACTCAGTCCAGATTCGCCACCGCTTACACATCCACTATGGGTCAGAAGTCATCCTCCCAACGACGAGACCGTCTCGCGCAGACATCTGTGATGAGATACAGTACCCCCGCCACAGTTGCCCAATATCACCCCCCTCCTCCTGAACAGAACCCTGCTGTCACAAACGACATTGTTCCTTCGCCAGCGATCAATCCACCGTTTGATATATATCTCAACAACCGCCAAGACCCTTTCGACCGCAACGATTCATCCGGGCTTTTTGCTCCTACCCAACACAATTTCGTCATCGAGACGTTTCGAGGGTCTCCCATAATAAGCGAAGCTGTAGGTGTCGTCCACCATCATGCCAATCCGGAACCAATTGCCCACGAGTCGATCAAATTGCTCAAAGAGGGAGTGACGATGATCCGGAACTGCGACCCGAGCTTTGTGTTTTTGAAGGAGGCGGAGGCGATAATGAGGGTAGTGGATAAGATGGTCCCAAAAGCGGAACAATTGTTTGAGTTGAGCGAATCAAGGAGGATGTCTTTTGCTTGGGTAAGCCTGCTTTCTTGATTGGGATAACGTATATGCAGCTTAGACGACACCTACAGATCGCCACAGTGGCATTCTGGACAGCCGAGTTTCTCTGCGGCGCTTACGAATTTCAGCACAGCTCCCAGCCCGGCCTCCTAGAATATGATCAGTTTACGCCAGAGAGTATCCAAAAGCTCATCAAATCTGGTTTCGCACCCTTCGCTAGGTCGGGCGTGTATGACGATGAGCTGGTCGATGACGAGAAGAAGACTGGTGAATCAAGGAATAAGAGGAGGAAGGCAGTAGGGAAAAGGATGTTGGCGGATAAGAAGATTATGGTTAAGGCTTTCCCCGCGTTCGTTGTAAGTTGTCACCTTCCATTCATCCCCGAACGATATTTGAGTGGTCACTGACGATACCCGGGCCAGGTAAGACTGAAGCCGCCCTTCCCGGGTACGGAATATCTCAGAGAAGCAACACGAAAGCAGATGTGTCAGAGGCCTTCGATCTATTGACAGGTAGAAGAGATTAGCGGGAGTAGTTATTACAGTTCATGTAACACAGTATCATTGGAGTAACGTCCATATTGCTACGATAGGGCTGCCACTAAATATGATGTACTTCTTTCTCTACGTCTCAACCGTGCTGCGGGAGCCATGCTATTTCCGTCACCCATCAGCATCATCAAGCTAACCACGCCCACTCATGACATTCATAGTGGGTGGTACGGTAAGAATGGAAGAATGATCGTTGGACGGCAGTGCGGTACGGCCGCAACGAGGCATGGGCGCGGTGACAAGAAGCACTCGAGTCGTGTTTTACCGTCCTCACTCTGGACGACATGTTTGCTTCTCCGCCCCTTTCCTTTCAGCCTTTCAGCCACCCAATGATGTCAGCACCAGTCTGTACACAGATGGTCATGCATAAATACACAACGTTCCCAAGAGAAAAGCAACAAGACATGCCACCATCTACCAAACTCGGCCAAATCGCCACCCTCCTCACTTCCCTACTCCAAGACTATTTTCTCTCGATGGGCCAAAAGTCGTCCTCCCAGCAGCCTTACCCCTCTGACCAAAGGCCGGAGCAGGGGTATAATCCCGCCACCGGTGCGCTTGACCGACCCGGAGTGCATCAGGCGTCAACTGTTTTGAGGCCGCGAAGCCCCACTACTGTCGCCACTGACCAGTACCCTCCTCCTCCTCCTCCTGCTCCGGGCGCTGTTGGTGGAAAGGCTTCTACAGCGCATAGCGGTATTGTACCGTCTACGCAACATGCCACCAACAACCCAAACACCTCCCCAACCCAAACCTTGGCCCCCACCCAAGCGACCCAACAACACCACCCCTTCGCCCCCTCCACATTCGACAAATCCCCTCTCCGCGACGCTATCCGCACGATCGACAGCCACCCCTCCCCGGAACCCATCGCCCTCGAGTCCGTGCACCTCTTGGAAGAAGGTGTGGCGATGGTACGAGAGGGCGATCCTGGGTTTGTGTTTATGGATGATGTGGTGGATGTGAAGAGGGCGGTGGATGGGATGGTGGTGAAGGCTGGGACGTTGGGGGAGGGGGTGTCTAGGAGGGTTGCTTTTGCTTGGGTACGTTTCCCTTTCCCCTCTTTCACTGGCTGGAGGAAAGCAAGAGCGAGCAGCACAAGGAGCTGACGTGAGGTGGGGGGGCAGATTGCGACGGTATCATTCGACACTGCGCACATCCTCTGCCGCTGCTACAACCTCCAACACAACCCCAACCCGCAGTCCCCCGAATTCGAAAACTTTGCGCCAAAAGGGATTCCGAAACTCAAGCTTGGTCTTGCGACGTTTGCGAGGTCGGGTGTTTATATCGACGAACTTGTGCAAGCCGAAAGGTCTGGTGGAGGGATGGGGGGGATGGGGGGGATGGGGAAGGGGCAGAGGACGAGGTGGGCTGTGGAGAGGAAGATGAAGGCGGATAAGAAGACTGTCCGGAATGCTTTTATGGGCTTTATCGTACGTCTTCTCCCCCTCTCCTCCTCCCTCCTCCCTTCTTCCTCTTTGATCTCTGAAAGCAAGCCAACGGATTGTGGGGTTATGACAGGGAAGCAACATGAAAGCCGCCGTCCTCGAAGCATTCACCGACTACAGAGCGGAATGGAAGGGCCGAAAACAGACGTTGCAGGGTATGGCGCAGTCGAGCAACGTACATGCTAGTCCGGGGGCTTATGACCCGCATGCGGGGACGCACGCCCAGGCTGGGGCAGCCCCGGCCTATACGCAGACGCAGACGCCGACCAACCTGGGGCTGGGTGGGAATGTGAATGCGAATGCGAATGTCGACAGCCCTATCAGCAACGCCGGTGGGACGAAGCTTGTTTGAAGCAATCATATTGTCACCGGTTCTGAGAAAGTTTTGTTCGAATATAAATCTGTGGTACCCCCGCGGTACGGTTGACACAAAGAAGTAGATAGCTTGTTCACGATGCATACTATAACACTTTTGTTCCCCCACCCCCCACCCCCCACACATCATACAAAAGATACAAAAGCCTGAAGACTAGAGATTCCGACAGATATCCCTCCCCTTTTCCACCTGCCCCCGACAAAGCATAACCTCCAACGGCATACTGATCAAGCTCGCCACCAAGATACCCGTCGAATCGGCGGCGCCTACGGCGCCTATGCGGAATTCCCTCTCCATCGCCTTTTTTGCTTCACTCTTCGGCGGCAGCGGCAGAGAAGGGTCGGGGTGCAGGGGTTGGTCCCCTTCGTGGTTGACGTGGTAAAAGGTGTTTACGTAGCCTGCTCCGCCGCAGAGGCCTTCGAGGCAGATCAAGAGCCAGACGATCCATATCGCCCTATCCACCCCTCCCCCTCCCCCTCCCCCTTCCCCTCCCCCTCCCTCGTTTGGACCTCCTCCGCCAGCAGGGCCGAGGCCGATGTTGGACCCAGGCGTGTAAGAAGGGGAAGAAAAGATGAACGAACGCGCTTGGAGGAAAAGCAGGGAGAGGACGAGGAACTGGATGATTGCTGGGAGTGGGAGCAGTCTGCGAGGGAGGGGCGGGAGGCCGAGGGAGAGGGATGAGCGGGAGAGGAATACGAATGATTGGTCTGTTTTTTCTTATCTTAGCTGGGGTTTTTTTCTTGAAGAAGGAGGAGAAGGAGGAGGGGGGGGGGCGTACAGGTGAGAGACCAAAAAGGATAGTAATCGCGCGGTGATTTGAAGAGGTGTGACCAGACCCCTGTAGCCGGGAGCGGGAATACCAGCGTTGGCGCAACGCCCTGCCATTGATGAGTCAGTAAAGAAGGCGGAGAGAGAGGGAGGGAGGGAGGGGAGAGGACGTACAGAGTTGATGACGTATTCTTCGACATACACCGCGCAGAGGGGTAACATGTATCTTACTACCAGTGGCCAAAGTAGGACCATCTTTTCCTTTGTCGTCAACCTGAGCCCATTCATCGTTCCTTCCACATCCTCCCCAGCAGGGTCGAAAGCCTGGGGTTCAGAGAGAGAAGAGAGTAGAGGCGAGCGCTGGGGGACGTATTCGGAGGAAGGTGCTGAGATGAGGATACCGGGGACGGTGGGTGATGCTTGGGGGAGGTCGTCGTCGGCGTCGTCAGCGTCGTCGGCGGTGGTGGAGAGTGGTTGGTATGGGGATGGATCGGAGGGGAGGTGGGAGAAGGGCGGGAGGATGTAGGTGTAGGTCACCGGGAAGAACAGGGGCAAGACCTGCAGCGTATCAGCTCTACACCAAACCCAAAGAGTTCAAGGGGAGACATACACTCGAGAGCCCCAAACCCGTCTTCACCCCCAGCCCTCTTAGGGCCCACCATATCCCCGCCCCCGCCACCCCCGCAAACCCGGTCCCACTCGCCCACGCCCCCAGCGCGATTTTAGAGGTATATTTGGTAGGGAGCGTGGTGGTGAGCTGGAGAAAAGTGAGTTCGCCCATACCAGAAGAGAGGGAGGCTAGGGATATACCGAGAAGCCGTGGAGGTAAGCTGGTGGAGAAGGCAATCGTCTATTCTCCATCAGCGAGATGACTACGGGGCAAGGGGCAAGGGGGGGGGGACGCACGAGGATGCCAAGCCAGCTGCAGGCTGTGCAGAATGCGACTCGCCGGGTATATCTTATTTTGCCATTGGAGATGAGGGGCCAGGCGACTTTGGTGAGGAGGGCGGGGAAGATGTTGAAGAGGGCGACGATGCCCTTGGGGGTTTCGGCGGAGACGAGGTCGAGGGCGGCAGAGAGGATGATGACGTAGAGGACTGCGTAGAGTGAGCGTGTGGTGATGTGGGAGGGAGGGGGCGTACCGTTGTTGAGGAGGCCGAAGAGGAGGAAGGCGGCAAAGAGACGCTTGGTGGGATGCTTGGAGACGTGGGCGGGGTGCAATGGAGAGTACGCACGGGCTATGGAGGGGTCTATCTCGTCGTCGTCGCTGTGGCTGTCTGTGTTCATGAGGGGATGGAGGGGGATGGCCGACAACGACATCCACCGGGAATATATTTTGAATTCGACGAGAGGAAAGAGGAGATAAGATTGCGCGGCATCAACAACAACCGCATCTCCCATGGACGACTCGGCCCAGCCATATACCAGCAAGGGCGCCATCCCCACCAATGTCGTCACCTACAGAGGCAGGCCTCACTCTCCTCACTATACTGCATCCATCTGACACCCCACAGGCCGGCGCATCCCAGCGAGGATCGACCCCGAAGCCGTACGTCTGTGCCCAATAGCGACGCTGAAAACTGACATGGCGTATAGCGGGTGGCCTATATCGTCGAGATCATGGCGACGTCTTTTGCGACCGAGGAGCACCATATCACGCTGTGTTTGAGGGATCAAGAGGATCATTTGGTCACGCAGAACAACCTCCCGAGTAAAGTCTATCAGCACGACGTCCTCAAGTGAGTCCTTCTACTACGATAAGGCTAGAGACTGACTCTTCCAGGCTATGTGCAGCGCCTACGACAGAAGCTCTGATCGTAGTATCCTCCCTCAAATCAGCAATCCGCCGCGACAGCGTCCCCGAATCCACCTCCAGCCACACCCCCTCCCCCTCCCTCTCCAACTTGGACACAATCCCCCTCAAACTCGCGCTCTTCAACCTCCAAAAGTTTGTCAGAGAAGAAGACTTTTCCTTCGAATTCCTCCTCAAAGGCGGTATGAAGATCCTCATCCGTCTCCTCGAACAGGAAGAGACTGGGCTTGTTACGGGGAATAGCTTGGCTTATGCGCTGCAGGGGATACGCGGGATACTGGAGTTTGAGTCGGGCTGGTCTGAATTGTCGGATACGTTCATTCGCAGGTTGTTGTCTATCCTGTTGTCTGCGACACAGCCGAATATACTCAGGCCTGCTACTGCCATCCTCCGTAAACTCGTCATCTCCTCCCCTTCCCCCGCCTCTGCTTCTGCTTCTGCTGCAGATCTCCAAAGCTCGCTCAAACCGTCCCCAGGCTATTTCCTCTCTGGCGGCAGCGCCAAAGACCGTTCCAAAACGAATCGGAACAGCAAGGATAACAGGCAGAGTCATGGGGCTGCGCTGGACAGCAAGTTTTATGGCTTTGACAGGGTTTATAGCCTTGTCAAGTCTCTGCCCCTCACCACCACCCACCCTGGGTCGGGCTCGGGATCGGGCTCGGGCTCGCGGGAAGAGGGGGAGTCGATCAAGAATGCCGAGTATTTTTACAAAAGCCTCATCAAGAGACTCGAAAGTACCGGTGATCTGGAGCTCGTCGCTCAGAGGTAAGTCCCTCCTCCCCTTCCTCCCTCTTCTCTTCCCTCTTCCATCATCTTGTGTGATTGGTAAACTAGTTCTAATGGAGGGTTACAGTTTGGGACTCATCAATGCGTCGCTGAGATCTGGGCATCAAGAAGGCAGTCTGCAGTATTACGAGCTTGTTTGGATATTGGAGAATTTGGGGATTAAGAAATACGTCGCTGTACGTCCTTCCCCTTCCCCTTCCCCTTCTTCCCCTTCTTCTCTTCCCTCCTCTTTCCTCCTCTTCCCTGAAGCAAGCTAACAGCGCCTGATCCCCTCCTCCCAAAACCCAATCCTGGCCCCGCACCTACTCAACTTTCAATCCCGCCTCGCCGTCATACTCCAACACAAACGGCTCCGGTCTGTACGGCCGGGGGAGAGGGGGCATCAGGAAAAGATGTTGGGGGAGATTTGGGAGGCGGGGAGACTTGGGGAGCTTGTCGGAGCAGGGGGAGGAGGGGGAGGTGAGGAGGTGGAGGAGGTGGAGGAGTTGAAAGAGGGCGGAGTGGGTGGAGTGGGTTTGGGGATGGGTATCCAGGGAGAGAAGGTGGGGAAGGGAGGGAGGAGGATGGAAGGGTGGGCTGCTATGGGTGGGGAGGTGTTTGGCGAGCTTGGGGAAGGAGGTATGTTTAGGGATGTCGGAGAACTTGGCCTCGAATGCTTGGTGAGTTCTTCCCTTACACGACGAGGTGGTGGTCGCTGATTAGGCGGGGAAAGCATTACTTTGCAACGCACGAAGAACGTTTCTACAATGTCAGTGCATCCCCCCCCCCCACCATCTGAATGCAAGAAGCTGACGCCAGTGGCAACAGTTGGTGCTGGAAGAAAACGCCAAACCACCCTCCCGCCGCTGTCCCCTCATAGAAGCCTCCGCCTCCTGCGTCAAACTCCTCGCCGAGCACTACAAACTCGCTTCCGCCCCGCACTACCCCCACCCCCCCAAAACATTCCGGCCCTTCCTCCTCGGCTTTCCCAAACTCCACTCGCTCGTCCTCAAATTCTTTATCCGCATGTTTCATCAATCCTCCTCTTCATCTTTTGATCTGGCGCGGCTGGTGCCGTTGGTGGGGTCGCATTTGGCGTTGACGCTGAATCCGGGGGAGGAGAGGGAGAAGACGTGGTTGGATTTGGAGAATGCGTTTTTACATGCGGAATATGGGAAGGTGAGGAAGAGGCAGATGGAGATGATGGAGAGGGAGGGGGGGATGTGGAGGAGCGGGGCGGTGAGGGGGTTGAAGGAGGTGGTGGGGAGGGAGGTTTGGGGCGTCGTCTGTGAGCAGAGGTGAGTAATTCATCTTTGAGGAGGTTGGTAAGAGCTGATGGGAATGGAGGGTGGGATGTATGTTGCAGGGAAGTTGGTTCAACTCTGCGACCTTGCTCGTCCCTGGTATCACCACCATAGCAAGGCCTATCGCCAACAAACCGCATCGCTTCCTCCGTCTCGTACGTCCCTTACCCCTCCCTCCCCTTCTTATGGCTCACAGACCTGATGATCTGGGTGACAGTCAGAAGACAGAAGGACAATAGCATGGGACGACTTTCACGAGCGCATAGGTACACCCTCCTTCAACGCCCTCACTCGCCGGGTCAACGTGGCCGACATATCTACCATCCGGCCCCAAACGTCCGCGCCCATCAACTCGCGTTCACCCAATCTAGTGTCCAAGCTGTCATTCTCCATCATCGCTGTGCCTTCGTCGTCTTCACCTTCTGCGGCTGCTGCTGCTGCTGCTGCTGCTTCGTCTGCTATGAGGAATGGCCAGGGGAATGCAGGGATGGAAGGAGGGAATGGGGGGCAAGGAGCAGGAGAGGTGAGTTTGTTGGACGTCGACGCGATCCATGCGGCGCAGATGGCAGAATGGACGGACGGGATCAGGGTGGTGAAAGATGGGGGGATGGTTGATCAAGATTCGGCCAACTATGTGCAGGTGCGTTCTCCCTTTCCTTCCTTGTCTATATCAAAGATTCAACGAGTCAAGAGAGGAAGGGGCTGATGAAGAGGCAGATATTGACGGAATTGGCGTTGAATGTGAGGTTGTTGGATATCACGGGGGATGGGGCGGAGATACCGGCAAAAGTTTCCATTGGTGTTGGTACGTCTTCCTTGTCTTTTGATATTTCTGTCTGTATCAGGAGGCGGGCATGCTGACGAGGTACGTAGCGCCGAGGAGTACGGACTTTGTTTTCGCGAAATGAGGAGAAGAATCTCGAGTCTTGATATGAAAAGGGTTGTATATAAAAAAAAAAGTATGGATGTCTAAATGGCTTGCTTCGATACATCATGAGCTCGTACGAGCAAATTATTCGACGCTAGCCTTGCTGACTATGCAAAGCGTAAAGATTCAAGGAGGAAATTAACGTTCTTGTGGTAATGCACTACTAGAAGATACGACGAGGGAATTTCTGATTGATATACAATGTCTCGTGATGCATGTTGGTATTCAACAATCTCCCGTCGCTCGCGATATACAACTTCTCGATGTACGATCTACTGCGCCACATGCCAATCGAGTTTGTCTGCAAACTCCTTGTTCTTGAGAGTCAAAAGTACCTCCGCAACGTCCTTGGAGCCGTTACCGCTCAGATTGCTATACACCCACGTCAGCCAACACCACGATGAAGGCTCGACGACCCTGGCTTACATGACGACATTTCTGTCCTTGGGCAAAGTCTTGGCCAGCTCGAACCCTCCCCAAAGCGCATGCGAGCTCTCCAAAGCCGGGATGATCCCCTCCAGCTGGGTGCACATCTTGAACGCCTTCAGGCACTGCACATCGTCGGCAACGACATACTCGACCCTACCAGTGTCTTTGAGGTACGCGTGCTGGGGACCGACAGAGTTGTAGTTGAGCCCGGCAGAGATGGAGTGGGTGTGGAAGAGTTGGCCGGGGGAGGATTCGATGATGTAGGAGGCGGCGCCGTGGAGGACACCTGGGATGCCGGTCGTGAGGGTTGCAGCGTGGCGGTCGGTATTGACGCCTAAGAATCATTAGTGCGAAGCTGACGGAAAAGCACACGAGGGGACGCACCATGACCACCGCCCTCCACACCGACCAACTTTACGCTCTCATCCTCGAGGAAATCGTTAAACGCCCCGATCGCATTGGAACCACCACCAACACATGCCACGACAGCATCTGGCAACTTGCCCGTCTTCTCATGAAACTGGCTCTTGATCTCACGCCCAATCACCCTCTGAAACTCGCGTACGATAGTCGGGAAAGGATGAGGCCCAACAGCAGACCCAATCAGGCAGTGCGTAGTATCCTTGCTCTCCACCCAGTCATTCATCAACTCGTCCACCGCATCCTTCAAAGTCTGTGTACCAGAAGTGACGGGGATGACGTTGGCGCCGAGCATCTTGATTCTGAAGACGTTGAGCTCTTGGCGGCGGACGTCTTCTGCGCCCATGTAGATGTCGCACTTGAGGCCGAACTTGGCGCAGACAGTGGCGGTGGCAACGCCGTGTTGACCAGCACCGGTTTCGGCGATGATACGGGTCTTTCCAAGACGACTGGCGAGGAGGATTTGGCCGACGGCGTTGTTGATCTTGTGGGAACCGGTGTGGTTGAGGTCTTCTCGCCTGATCAAAGTCAGCCCAGCTACCCTGACGCGAAGAGGGAGAAGATGAGACGCTCACTTGAGCCAGATATTGGCACCGCCAAGCTCCTCAGTCAGTCTCTCCGCAAGATAGAGCTCGCTCGGCCTGTTCATGTACCCATACAGGCTCTGAAACTCCTTCCAGAAATCTGGGTCGTCCTTGGCTTTGACAAACGCATCCTCGAGCTCTGAAAGACAGTTGACGAGTACGTCCGGGACGTAGGCGCCTCCGAATGAACCGAAGCGAGAGGGCAGCTCGCCTGGGGCGGGGGTGGTCGACATGGCGGCGGTGGGTGTCGTGGCGAGGGTGTGGAGCAGGGTGTGGAGCAGGGTGCGGCAAGAGGCTGCACGGTGAGATGGCAAGACGATACTCGAAACGGATGGTGAAAGAGAGAAGAAGAGAAGAAAATTGAAAAGTGACAGCAAAAGACGCCCGGGAGGCTGGTGTCTATTACCGGACGCGTTCCTGGGCGGGGATTCCGGGCGCATCCACACGGGGTGAAACCGTGAAAGTCAGTCAACGATGGAGCATCTATTGAAATGACGAACCCGAGAGTGCCTATGATGAGAACATGCACATGCAGCATACTTATGCACCTAATAACAGAGCAGACCGCAGTGCAAGGGGCGCCACACATCAAGCAGGGCTGTTCGAGGAGGCAGGAGATCAGAAGAAGGAGTACATGTTGGTGGCTGTGTTCGGTTGGCCGAGCCTGCAGCACATATAGATCGGTAGTGTATTCGGGTATCAGACACTGGCAAGCGCGTATAGGTTCCCGAGGACGTGGAAGGTCGATAGCACTTGCCTGTGGCCTTTGGATTGGCAGTAAGTCATGACGACACGCAGTGGTGCTAGCGTCATCTCCACTTCTGAAAACGCCGCCACCACCTCGCCTGCCTTTGCTGCTGTAGTACCGACTGAGGATTTGGTTCGGCTTCACTCTCGACCGTCTAGGGTTTGGATTCAGATGGGCTCTCGGGGACACGCTGTTGTGGGATGAAGCCGAAGCCGATGTACGCGTTCGGCGAGGCCGGTTGATCTTCTTCATCGGCAAACTGTCGAGAAACTACCTTGAAGATGACATAGAATACCTTCTACACATTGGATAGCATCATCATAGTATCACGTCAAAACTTCAGTGCGAACGTAAGCTCAGGTGGGCAGGCGTACAGCAATGATCAAGGGTACTAATTTGTCGTGCTGCAGCTGAAGCTTGCTCACGTATGGGGCGTGTGTGTTTGGGGTATGGACAGAAGGACTCGTCTATATCTCCTGTTTATCTCCTTTGCCAATCTCATCTTTTACCCCTCAGCTGCCTCCTAAAATGCGCCCGAGACTCGCCGCCGATACCACTATGTCGAACCCAGCAACTGGTATCCCCCGAGAAACCGTCAACTAAGAACAAACACCCGCTTCCACTCGAGCATGAACGCGACCCAAAGAACAGAAAGACCGATGTCACGGCCCACGAGAGCTGGGATGACACCAGCAACGAGATCCGGCTTGTCAGTACCGACGGTATCGCCTTCTTTGTACCAAAGTATCTGCTCCAGGCTGGGAGGCGAGCACAGTCGCGTCGTGGCTATGAGCGCGTACTTTAGCTGATCTCGGGTGTAGCACTGTATTCCGAGACATGTTCAACCTCACGGAGGGAGCGCCTGCACAGTCCCATTCCTCATCCACCACTAGAGTCACACATCATCACACTATTGAGATGACTGACGACTACTTTGAGGGATCCGACACTATCCTCTTGTTTCTCGACGCCGTCCGAGGGCTCCCACTCTCCTCTCAAGCTCAAATTCGTTCCAAGCCTGATGGTGAGATCGTCCACGCCCTCGAGTGTTTACTCCAATTCGCCAAAAAGTGGGACAGCGACCTGACCCTTGCGGCGTATGAGAGGGTGTCACTGCACGAGGTGACAAATTGTTACTGGAAGGACTGTCAATTGACGCCCATCGACATATTCGCCTTGGCTGCCCTTGGTGGCTTCTCGGACGTGGCTGCAATGATGGTGCGTCTCTATCACCCTATCAAGGCAAAAGAGGAAGTGTGGTGCAGCTCCACAAGGACCGACGGTCGATGGGGCGTACTCGACCCGGAAGATATGTTCTATCCAAGCAACATGTCGAACGCGGCTTGGAAGACAATCCCGGTTGAATACATGTATGCGCTGGAAATGACTGAGAAGCTCTTTGAACCCTTCAGGTGCCAGATTCTTGACGGCAGTGGATGCGCTGGTTTATGCTGGAAGGAACCTGGTTGTGCATGTGGTCGACTCAGGGATGAAAGGATGCTTCGAGCGTTCCTTTTTGAAGACGAGCTAGAGGACGTATATGAGGAGAGACGAGAGATGAAGAGGGATATATATAGAGAGTATTGGAAGAAGGCAAAGGTTGTAGTGAAGTAGCTATGCACCAATACCGACGACCGGCTCAAATAAGGCATCAGTAGATCAGCAGGATGTACTTCTATGGCAAGCCGCTGGGGAAATAATTCAGACGCCGTCATGTTTATTTTTCTCCGTCAATGCTGCCTGCATGTTATTGCTTCATTGCATCTCATTTTGGTATGCATTCATGACGCTTCACAGTGTACAGAGGGCCCTTGTGATTTTGTACATGCATTATTCCTTGCTGAGTCGGCTTTTCATTTCTGCTAAGCCGGCGGTAGCAGGGCCCCCGGCCCTTTCAGGTGTGTACTTGGTTGAGGGAGCTCTGTCAACACGTCAATATCCACCCTCTCCCTCCCAATAATAGCTTGGTGCTCCGCCACGTCAGTATCTCGACAATACGCAGCCACAGGCAACCCGACATACGAGATGCCTCCTGCTTTCTTTCGTAAAGCCGTGAGCCCACTGACTAGAGACGAGAGGGTGGCCGGAGCTGACAAGCCTCAGGGGTCTCTAACGTCTGAAGAGATACGGAACGTAACGTCTTGGCTGGAGTTTCAAATGCAAGAAGCCAACGACTACAATCAGCGTCCGGTCGAACAAGTCCAGCTGCGAGAGCTTCAAGAACTCATGCAGCATCTATCCGACCTCCGGGTCGACTTGATCCGTTGTGAGACGAGGGTGTCCATCGCCAATTGGGATGGATGGATGCTTCGCCTCAGCCAGCTGTATTTGGACCTCAACCGAACCCGGAAAGACTTCAAGTACATCCACGGTTTGGGTAACGCTCTCGTCAATGGCGCCGCCTTGAACGACGGTACCGTCGCTTTAGAAGACGATCTCAGCGATACTAGCTCGGAGATCTCTGAGTTCTCGGAGGACGGGGTGGGGGAGGACGGGGATGACATCGAGTATGAAGATGACAGGCCAGTGGAGCTCATGTTCGCTCAGGCAGCTCAAGATGAGGCGGAGCGAGCTCGGCGTCCCCGACGGGGGGCACCCAGAAAGCCGCTCGATATGAAGCTTTTCCAAACGCTATGGGAGGACTTGGAGACTTACGAGTACATTGGAGCTCGACTGGGGGTGGATAAGAGGACGGTGAAGAACCGTCTACGTGAGATGGGGCTTCACAGGCGGAAATTCTCTGTCATCTCTCACCGTGAATTGTCCGAAGTAAGTTGCTCGTCAGGGGGGCAATTGCATGGGCTCACTCTCTCTCACAGAAGATTGATAAGATATCCAAAGGATCAATGGGTGCTATTGGTGTCATCGGAGTGACAGGAGCCCTCAGAAGCGAACAGATATTTGTCCCCCGATGGCGTATACGCTTATGTCTCAAGGAGGTCAATCCAGCCGCTGCAGCTCTTCGCTGGCAATTTGTCGTCAATCGCAGGCGCTATTACGTCCCGTTCATAAACAGCTTGTGGCATATTGATGGACATCACAAAATGTTTAGATGGCGCATTGTCATCATCGGCATCATCGAAGGCAAGTCAAGGAAAGTTGTTGGGCTGCGAGCACAGAACAATAACCGCGCCGCCTCTGTCCTTGATGTCTTCAAGAAGGCGACCGAAGAGCATGGGGTACCAAGTCGAGTCAGGGCGGACTACGGCAAGGAGCTGCTAGATGTCAAGAACTACATGATTGAGAGGAGAGGTGAGTGTGCTTCCAACTTTGTGGACATTACTGTCGCTGATAGCAAAGAGCAGGGGACGGCAGGGGCTCGTTCATCCAAGGCGCTTCTACGCACAATCAGCGCATCGAGCGTCTCTGGGTCGATCTCCAGCGTTGGAATACGAAGAAGTACGTGGAGCTCTTCCATCAGATCGAGGACGAGCAAGAGGTACCCTTCCACGACGTACACCTCTGGTGCCTGCACTATACTTTCCTTGACCAGCTTCAGATGGAGTGCGACGCCTTTCTTGCCGCCTGGAATGAGCATCCTCTGCGTACCGAGAAGCAACTTTCCCCCAACCTCATATGGCGTAGACAGAGCCGCAGGATGCGAGAGGCTTACGGCGAGGAGTGGTGGCAGCTTGATGATGACGAAGACGACTACGTCAGGCGCCATCATGACTTGGGGCTCGAGTTCAACAGCTATGGCGTCGACGCTCATCGGCTGTGGTCCGCAAACCCTGGCGCGCGCGAGCGTAAGAAGGAGAAGACGGTGGTTGAGCCGGTGAAGAGTATGAGTCCCTATTTGAGGGACATTCTCACCAATGCGGCATTCTTGGAATGGTTGGACGGAGAGATGCCGCCGCCTGCGCTCTATCAAGAAGACTTTGGCCGCAGTCGTTACGACCTCTGTGTCGCGCGGGTCAGAGCGGTCTTTGAGAGGAACGACGTCGACCAGGTCATTTAGACGGCCTTATCATATGTGCATAGATTGATGTGACTACGAAGTATGGACATGAAAGGATTATCCACATGATTTTACAGCCCATGGAAAACTATACTTTACTCTAAACAGATGACGAAGCTGGTCCAGCCATGATCCGCCTTCCTCCCTCCACAAAAGGGGCCTCATCTCCTTCCTCGAAAATCACGCCAGAACGCCACGACCTTCTTGCCCTTCCCAGCTCCTCTCTCTCTCTGCTTCTCCTCAGCCTTGTCGACGTTCTCAGCCTTCTTCCCCTTGTTCTCCTTCTTCATCTTCTTGGCTTGGGAGACGCTCTCACTGTTCAGCCCCAGCTTACCTTTTTTTCGATGAACTCGATGTCATCGTCCTCATCTCCAGAGCCTTGAGCATCCGCCTCCGGCTCGTACTCCGCAAATACATC